AATTTATTATTGTTTTTAAATTCTAATAAAAAAAAGTCTAGTTCAGGGTCTCTGAATGTTCTTACCAACAGGGAATTTTGATTTTTCATTTTCTTTTTTTTTATACAACAATACTCACGACAAAGCCATAGCCATTCTTGATGAGAACATCACGAAAACGACCGTATCCTCTGAAAAACCTCTCAAGGTCTCTTTCCCTGGTGCCGTATGGAAGCCCACCGACATAGACCCTTGTCCCTACCATACTGTAAAAAGAAAAGCAATTGAACGACATTAGACTTACCACAAAGGCAAATCCGTTCTTCATAGCGACCTCCTTGATTCTACCATATTTCCGGAAGAACTTCTCGAGGTCGCGCTCTCGCACCCGGTATGTTAATCCACCAACGAATACTCGGGTGCTCATTCTTTAAAGGAAAATATAAAAAACACCTTACATAACAGGCCTGTCCACCTGCCTTTCATTCATCCATAAAGTATTAGAGTAATTTTTTTTTTCAGTTGCTTCTTCTCAGATTTAGGTACTTTAGATTTTGATTACATGTATACATGAGTTAATGAGTTTAGTTGGAGATAATTAGAGATTTATCAAGTTGAGTAATGAGTTACTTGCATGACCATTCAGTCGAACAGGTACAGGCCCTTTTGAAATAAAAATAAGATGAAAATAAAAACGTGTTGTGACGGTGCACTGATGGAATTTTTTGCTTATTTCTGTTTTTTTAAATTGTCTTTAAATGAACCTTAAAGGAAAAAGAGATGGAAATTTTGCTGTCTCGTGAATTTGGAGATTGAATCATCGAATGTTTCATTAGTTTTATGATGGAATTATCTTGGTAATGAAAGAATTTATGAAAAAATGTCGTAGAATCTTTTTCGTGTGGATTTTTTTCAACTACAAAAAAAGTTTTTTGGCATTTTGTCGTAAAACTATTCATTATCGAGATATTCCCGATGAAGGTGTTTTGTTGAGAATGCAAATTGATCGATTGTATTTCATTTTTAATTCTTCCAAAATATCTTTGAAATTAATTGTGAGCTATGAATTATTCTTGATGACGAAACTTTTTGCAAAGCAAATTGAGGCCTCGAGAAAGTACTCCGCGGAATTACAGTTATTCCTCGTCGATTCTGAGATATTTTAGAAAAACTGAATTTAAAGTTTAACAAAGTCATTCGACATTCATAAAATATTGTGATATTATGTCGTTGGTGGATAATTCTGAGAGCAAAATACGTTTTAAGGGAATGTTTTGAGCTACAAAAAAATCCTGTGAAGATACCGTCAATGAAATCTTTTTCCAGTGAAAATTGAAGTTGTCAATGAAATCGATCATTCATTCCAGGAACATTTTTGTGGTGAACATTAAGAGCTGCAAAGGAATTTCACCATAAAAAAAATCCCTCATTGATTATCAATTTAAAACTTTTTAACAAAAAACTAATTTAAATTTGATTTCGATCGTCAAAACTCATTAGTTTTCTGATTAAAATATCCCGGTAATGAGGGGTTCTACGACAATATGTTAAGAGACCGTTTTCCTAGAGAATTTCGTCAGCTACAAAAAATGTCTGATGCCTTCTTCTCCTAAAACCACTCCTAACCGAGATATTTTGAATACGCTCCAAATGCTCCGTTAAAAATGTTAATTTTTATTGCACTTCGAATGAAACTGTTCATTTATCAACTTCAAAAATCAAAATACGTCCACGGCTGACGCCAAATGCAAATAAACATTTTCCATCCATGACCATAAGACAAAACAATGAGTGCTTTGCACTCTCCGCCTTCTCGGGTATTAAAACGGCACGTGTGCCGTCGAAACTGTTTACAATGATCAATTTACAGTGCCTGTGGGCGTCCGAGAGAATGGCCTTGATTCATAACGGCGATCTATTCGCTTCGGGAGACTAAGGACCCTAAATTATCCTACGGTTTTGTGCTACTTGAAGGGCTGACTAATCGTCACAAGCTCGAAACCTTCCTTTAGTAATTGATTTTTACCTGAATTTCCCATTATCTAATCGTCTGAACTCTAAATTACAATCGTCCCTACGTCTGCCCCACAATTTTACTTGTATTCATGGGACTGTTTTCAGTTTACGATGACTACAATAATTATCACAACTCCGATTATTTTTACTTTGAGTTGAAATTAGATGAATGAACTCCAGTTGAGTCGTTGAGTGTAACGAGGAAAAATAAAATCAAAATGCTCAAAAGAATTCAGTAGCGAAGTGGTAAAATGGTATAAGTCAATTTTGACTATTGGTAAGTTTTCAATGAATATCTCGGAACCTAAGGGAGATACCGAAATTGTTGTTATAACCTTTTTTGTAGAGCCGATTGAGTGCTACAATAAATGTGATCACAAAAATTTCGCTATCTCTCTTAGATTCGGAAATATTCCTCATAAACTCAACTGGGAGATGAGTCGACTTAAACCGCTTTACCACTTCGCTACTGAATTATTCATCATTGATAATTTTTCTCATGGATAGTAACTTTCGTGAGTGTAAGAAATTGATCCACCAAATGCTCTCTTCTATTATTTCTTTAAATAATAGTCTCTCGATTGACACGGGCATTTCGGTTTAATGTTGGGCGCTGACGATGATTTTCATATTGGACGTAGAATTTTTATTTATTTTTTCTCATTATTTTTTCTAGATTCTGAACTTCGTTCTAACCTCGAAAAGTTCATTTCCTGATAAGACTCTGCGTTACTTTTGCACTACGAGATTAATTACTATCGCAAACCCAACCAGAATTTTCCTATTCATATTAAATTTCGTTTCGTAGAATTTATTTCAAAATTGAATCTTTACCATTCGAGTCGTGTTTGCACTACTTTAAAAAAGTATAAATAAACTCCAGTTGAGTCATTGAGTGTAGCAAGGAAAAATAAATTCAGAAAGCAAAAAAAAAATTATTCATCATTGACAATTTTTTAAATAAATTCTAACTTTGATGCGTGTGAGAAATTAACCCATCAAATTCTTTCTTCTATTATTTTTAAAAATAACAGTCTCTCGTTTAACTAGGGCGTTTCAATATACCACTCCGTTCCGAGCACGCAGAAACCTAAATTATTTATTGCAAAGGTTTGACGATAATCTTCATATTAGGCATAGAATTTTCATTTATTTTGCTCATTTTTTTGTTTAGATTGTAATCGTCTTCCTAACCTCGAAAAGTTTATTACCTCATAAGACTGCTATTTTTGCGCTTCTAGATTAATTATTATCAATAAAACAAGACTGCCGATTGACCAGAAACTCAACCAGAATCTTCCTATTCCTATTAACTTTCATTTAGAATTTATTTCAAATTTTAAACTGCAAAATTCAACTCGTTTGTATTATACTTGAACGTAGCATAATGTAATTAAAAAAGCTAAAAAAAATTACTCATCAATGGTAATTTTTCCCATAAATTTTAAATTGCGTGTAAGAAATGGACCCATCAAATTCTTTCAATTATTTTTTTGAATAATAGTCTCTCGTTTGACTAGGGCGTTTCAATACAACACTCCACTCCGAGCACGCAGAAACATAAATTATAAATTTTCATATTAAACATAGAATTTTTATTTATTTTTTCTAATCTTTTTTTTTTTTAGATTTGTCTTCTTCCTAACCTCGAAAAGTTCATTTCCTCATAAGACTCCGATATTTTTGCGCTTCTACATGAATTATTATCAATAAAACAAGACTGCCGATTGACCAAAAACTCAACCAGACTCTTTCTCTTCCTATTACCTTTCGCTCAGAATTTATTAAAAATTTTATCTTCAAAAATTCAACTTATATTCACACTCTTTAAAACGAGAGCGAAAATTCGAGAATCACCAAACGATAATAAACAATTCCAACATGGCGGAGTCTTCGCAACGCTATCTCATTTGCCTCGATGCCTCGTTGATAAAGAATTCTATTGACATTAGCTCCGAGATACCAGGTGTATCGTCCCCGACACGCCGAGCAATAAATCAATATCTCCTTACAAAAAAAACTCAAAAATCATCAAAATAAATAAAAATTCGTGACGAGGAGTCGTTAATCAAGTGATAACGCGCAAATGCAAGCGAAAAACATAATGAGACTGTCTCAAGGGCTCCACAAATATCCACAATAAATAAATTATGCGAAATAACGGAGGGTACTACAGAATTATTGCGAGCATGTGCAAAGCAGTGAATTGACAAAACTAGAATCCCAAAAAAAATGATGAAATTACGGTACGTGAATGTAGCACAAGCTGCCGGATTACGCGTCCTCTTTCTCCACTCGAAATGATACGCATTTTAAGTTTTCTCTGGCTATGATAATTCCTCTTACCTGATGCCTCCAAATTCGCTGATGCTGTGAAGAGTGACGAATGAATATCAACTATTGATGATCAGTTTGACTTTGTACACTGTTTATCACGAAAATGTGAATAATCGCGTGGTAGTAACTGTGTCGGCGTCTGTTCTGTGACCGAACACGAACGGGGAGAGAGCGAGTATGGGCTCGACTAACCGCCGGAAACAATGCGGGGGCCACTCAGGTCACGACACGAACTCCAGAATCGTAGTCTCGCAACCAGGCGCGTCTCCACCCGTCCCTTGATTTTTCCGAGTCAATTGAGGGTCTCAATTCGCTACATTTCGCACATAAATTGAATGAAACATCAACAAAAGCCGAGAAAAAATTTCCCAACCATTTTTTTTCGCCAACAAAATTTTTTTTTTCGATGAAATTAATCGATTACAGTCAATTTTTTTTTTAGTAAAGCCATGATATTTATTTCTTTATATTTGAAATTAAAGTTTTGAGGCTGAAAATTATGGAAAATGGGGGAATAATTTTATTATGGTGTTTTAAGATTTTTTTTATGGAAAAGAGGGAAATGCTGGAGTTTTTTGAGTGTGCGCATGGGTTCGAGTCTTTGTTTTGATTTGGGCGCGGGAGAGCGCGGGAAGGAGTGTCCCTAGGGGTCTAGGGAGTCTGGGGAATTGGCGATAAAGTGTTTTTGTTTTTTTCCACCGTTTTTTCTTGTTTGAAACGTTTGACGCGTTTCGGCAGGAACGTCGTCTTTTATTCAGTTCGCAGTTTTTTCTGGGTTTGAGAGGTTTCTGATTGCTTGGGAAGGATTTGACGGCGATTGAGAGGAAAATTGGGGTAAAATGGGGGGTGAAGGAGACCGGAAACGTTTTCAAGACAGGGGGATTATCGTTGAGATAAGACTGGAAAACTTCATGTAAGGACGAGAAACAAATATTTTGTTTTCAATTTTCCATGTTTTTCTTTAAAATTGTGCAAGATATTGCTGGAATGATTGGGAGTGAACATGAATTTTCGTTGATTTTTCGTGAGAAAAAGGTTCTTCATGAGGAAAAACCTTTTAATTTTCAATTTTTGATTTTTAATTTTTGATTTTTTGAATTTCAGAACTTATGGAAATGCTGTGGTGCACCCTGGTCGTCACTTAAACGTGATAATTGGTCCCAATGGCACAGGGAAGTCGACAATTGCGACTGCACTGGCTCTGGGCTTTGGTGGAACTCCAAAGCTGATTGGAAAACCCGACATGCAGGTTGGAATGACTGTCAAAGCTGGCTGCCAGAAGGCTAGGATTGATATTGTCATCAGGAACACTCCCACTGAGAATACGACGTTCTCGAGGACAATTGATCGTCAGAGCAAGTCTACTTTCTTGATTAATAATAATGTTGTGACTAGTGCCAAGTTCAAGGAGGCTGTCAAAGATTTTCGTATTCAGGTGAGAACAAATTCAACAGTTTCAGCGATAAAATAATAAAATTATTGAAGTCAAACAACAATTTTGTGTTTGGCAAATGCCTCGGAATTTAAAAGAAATTACGAGTTTTTTAAGAGTTTTTTGCACCTTTTGTGCAAAATTAACAATACAAACGTCACTTATCAAACCATTAGAATGGAGAAGATTTATTTGTAATGGACTGTATTTAATCCTCAATATTTCAAGATCGACGTAATCAAATTCGACGATTTTGTTTTGTTTTGAGTATATATTTTAGACTTTAAAATTAAACATGAATCATTCGAATCGTACCATTTGATCAGGAGATATGTTTATTCAACGAAAATCTCTTGAGAGCACCTGTGCTTGCATAATTCCTGAGATGAGTTCAATATTTAAATGATTAAATTGATATCTTCGTAGTTACATTCATTTTTTCGAATTATTTCTGCACCTAAGATGATGAAATTTTCCTAGAAACGTTTCTCCTTAGAGTCATTCATTACCGAGAAAATTGCAGTGATGACTTGAAAAAATTTTAGAATTTAAATTGATATTTAAATTGACATCCTAAGAAAAAATATTAAAAAAATGAATTTATAAAAAACGAATTAGGAGGTGATGAAATAAATTTATCTAAAAAATTGCAGCCATCCTAAAGAAATGAAAGTAACAAAAGATCATATTTGCAACTAACGAAATTTTCAACCGAAAACATTCCCCGGCATTTTGCAAAACGTTCCATCTGAATTTCTCCAAGTTCCGATGGCGTCCCCCAAATGGCTCATAAGCTTTCTCTTCCCCAGGTGGACAACCTGACCCAATTCCTCCCTCAAGAGAACATCAAAGGTTTCTCCGAGCTCAGCGGGAAGCAGCTGCTCTTCAACACGGAGCGTTCGGTCTCGGACACCTCCCTGGAGGCCCACCACAAGACGCTGATCGAGAACCGGGACCAGCAGAAGCTCCTCGAGCAAGACATTGCCCAGCGCAGCACACGCCTTGCCAGCTCCGAGCAGCGTCACGCTGCCCTCACCGGGGAGGTGAACCAGTTCAAAGAGCGCAAGAACCTGAAGAAGAAGCTCCAAGCCCTGAAGCAAAAACGAGCCTGGATCAAGTACGACATCCAGCGAAAGGAGTTAATGGACGTAAAAAAGCGTCGGGACGAGGCAGCCCAGAAGATGAAGCTCTGCGACGAGCGTCTGGCGCCCATGGACGCAGCCATCAAGTCCCTCCAAGCAGAAGTGAAAGCCCTGGACCGAAAATTCGAGCTGAACACGATGAAAATCACCGACTTCAACAAGCAGTACAAAAAGTGCCTCGAGGACATCGAGGACCTGAACCACATGATCAAAACCGAGGAGCAAAAGTGCAAAGCAGAGATGGAAAACGAGAAGAAACGAGACGACAAAATCCTAGCACAACGCCAGATGAGCGAGAAGTACGAGAACGACATGCTGGCCCTGGAGGAGGAGTACGGAGCTGAGGACGAACTCCGTCGTCAGATCCAGGAGCTCGATCCCCAGATCCAGGTCCACAGATCGGCCATCACAAGCCTCTCAGAAGAGTTGAACAACAGGAAAGCAGAGGCAGAGCAGCTGTCCTACCAGATAAACAGCCTCAAACGAGAGCACAAGTCCTTGAAGGACATTGAGTCAAAACGCCTGGACATTCTGATGGGCGCCAGCAAGGACGCCTACAAAGGAGTCATGTGGCTGCGTGAGAACACCCACCTCTTCAAGAAGAAGGTCTGGGAGCCGATGCTGCTGTACATCCAAGTGAAGGACAACAGGTACTCAAAGTACTTCGAGAACACCATTTCCCACAGGGATTTAATAGCCTTCGTCTGCGAGGATAAGGAGGACATGGGCCTGCTGTTGAGCCACCTGAGGACTCGTATGAAGTTGAAAGTGAACGTCGTCCACTCCGACGTCTTCAGGCCCATCAACATGACCCCGAGGATATCGTTGAGCGATATAAAACGATTTGGCTTCACCCATTACTTGATCGACCTCATCGACGCCCCAGAGCCCATTCTCAAGTACGTGGTGAACATGTATCACCTTCAGAACATTCCCATCGGTACCAACAGGGTCGAGGAGACTTTCGAGCAGGTGCCAGCGACGTTCTTCTCGTTCTTCAGCTTGAACAAGCATTACGCAGTCTCTCGGTCCAAGTACTCGGGGCAGAAGTCAACGAGGATCAGGGAGACGACTTCCTCGGGGACTCTGTCGATAACTTTGGACTCAGCCAGGATCAGTGAGATTGAGAGGAGGGTGGCTCAGCTGACCCAGATGAAGGACGGTGCCGTGAGCAATTTCCAGGTGCTCGAGGAGAAGATCAAGCGAGAGAAGGCCGCACTGGATCAGCTCAGGGAGCAGAAACAGGTGTTGACAGGGCATTACAACAGGATTCAGAGCACCACGTTCAAGATCAGCGAGGCTGAGAAGAAGCTCAAGCAGCTTGAAGCTGAGAGGATCGATGTCGAGGACGTTAAGAAGAGGAGGGATGGCGTCATCAAGAACCTCGTGAGAAAGCAGATGAAATTTTATGGGCAGATTAATGACTCCTGTGAGGCGGTGTTCAAGGTTGCGAAGGTCTGTGAGTCTCTTGAGCTGCAGATCAAGGCGAAGAATCATCTGGTCTCTGAGAGGCAGAGGGAGTCCAGGGAGCTGAGGGAACAGGCTAAGGATGCTGAGAGGGAGTGGAGGGTACGCGAGACGGCTATGGTGGAGCTGAATAATAAGACTAGGGAGCTGCAGGCCATTGCCAGGGACATGACTGATGGCAAGACTCCACAGGACAAGGAAGGGTTTGTAATGAGTTGTTCGATTATCCCACGCAATTGATTCCAAAAATAATTGAATTTAATTCAGTAAATTTTGGTAAATTTAAATAATAAAATGGGGGGATTTAATTTTATGAATTGGCGAATTGTGTCGCTTGTGGTTCGACGAATTACTTCTCACTTGACGCAAGACACCTCGGTCTCTTGCTTCTCAACCTCTGACATGACCCTTCAGTCAATCATTTCACTTTGCATTTTGTGATTTGAAGCTTTGAGTAATTGTGTTAATTAGGGGAGAGTGGGAGAAAATGAAACAGTCAAAAAACGACTGTTTGACGCAATTCAAGCAAAACGAAAGTTTAATTAATTATTTTATTTATTAAATTTTGGATATTAACTTTTTTTATTCTTGGGAGTACTGATGAGAATAAGAATTTTTCATTCAGTAGAATGGAAATTATTGAAAAGAAAATAACACAGCAAAATCCAATGTCAAGAGCAAGGCCCAGAGGGAGACCCAGAGGGGGAAAAAGGAAAATGTGATGTTGAATTTCAATCGAGAGAAAAAAGAAAAGTGTAATCAGCCTAATTTAATCAATTGAATTATACGACGAACAGAAAATTATTATTCTCATCAGTACTCTAAACAATAAAAAAAGTGAATAAACAAAAGTTAATAAAAAATTTTTTTTTTGCCTGAATTGCGTCAAATAGTCGTTTTTCGGCTGTTTCATTTTGCTCCACTCACCCCTATAAATTGTAATAATATTTCGTCGTGTTTAAGATTGTTATAAAGATGAAATTATATATTGTAACTTGAAAATATTTTTTACACATTATAATCTCGTAATTTAGCGTGAAAGAAAATCGATTTTGATAACTCAAATAAATTATATATTTCAGGGTAACAAATTTGTAATTTCGATCGCACTCGTCATTTTTAATTAAATAATAATATCACCTAAATACCAAAAATATTACAGGTTCAAGCAATTCAATGCTGCATTTTCCAAGTTACCACCGACGATTGACGAAATCGATGAGATGATACAGAATACTCAGATGAGGATTTATGTGTCGAAGGATTATCCTGATGCTGAGAACACAGTGAGGGAATATGAGAGAATTGGTGCGCAGATTGAGAAGTACAGGGAGGAGTTGGAGACTTTGAACAGGGAGCTGGCGAGTAATAGGGAGGAGACTGAGAGAGTTAGGGAGATGTGGCTGCCTCCGTTGAAGGTCTTGGTCGACCAGATCTCCTCGAACTTCTCGGGGTATCTGGAGAAACTCGGCTGCGCTGGGGAGGTCAAGTTGATACATGGGGATAATCCTAATGATTTTGATGAGTACGCTCTGAAGATCATGGTCAAGTTCAGGGCTGAGGAGCCACTGCAGGAGTTCACGAAGAGCAGGCAGAGCGGGGGGGAGACCTCTCTCACGACTGCTATGTATATGATTGCTCTGCAGGAGATGTCTCAGGTGCCTTTCAGGTGAGCAGGGATTGGAGGGAATCATTGCTTGAGTAATATTTTCCGATTAAATTATGTGAATAATTGAAGATTGTTATTATTCGTTGAGATATGAATATTGAGAATGCGATGAAAATTTACAATTGTCGATTGATCGTTTATTGAATAATTGTGAATTTCTTTAACTCATTCTTGATTAAGGATAAAGGCAAGTACTTCGATTATTTTTCCTCCAGTGAAATGATTTTCTACTTTTGTGGTGGAACAAAAGAGGTTTCAATTGAACCCCATTTGACCCTCCGGACATTTACAGTGAGTTTATTGTTTAAACATTGCAGGTCTGAATTTGAATCGTAATATTGAGCCATCAGAAAACATTTTTTAAACCTGAAAAAAAATCAGAAAGTCTATTTTTGGGGGAAGATTGATAAAATAGTTGAAAAATTGCAATTTTGGAAAATTACGAGCATTTCATATAAATAACTTATAAACAATCAATTTTCCGCTATCAAAATCATTTGTTCGAAATAGTAACAAATTTATTCATATTCAGACATTTACCAAAAATCGATCTCATGCTTTAAAAAATTAGGTTTCCGAAAGTTTAAACAATTTCAATTATTTATTTACAAACAAGGGATGTTTAAAAAAATATCAATTCTATGCAAAACTTAATTTTGTGGGCACTGTATATTTATGATTTTTTTTTCAAATTTTTCTCACGCAATTTGAAGATATCCAAGCACTTCAGCTGTTTTTTCTTCAGTGAAATGAATTTTCTACTTTTGCAGCCGAACATCAGAGTTCTCATTTGAGCCTCATTTGACCTCAAGTTTCCGGATATTTTACAATGATTTTATTATTTGAACTTTGCTGGTCTGAATTTGAATCTCGATATTGAACCGTTAAAGATTTTTAAAAACTGAGAAAAAATTAGAAAGTCTACTTTTGGAGGAAGATTGATAAAATAATTTAAAAAATTGAAATTTTTGAAAATTACGAGTATTTTTTATGAATAATTTATGAACAATCAGTTTTCCAGAATGAAAATGATAAAATCATTAAATTTATTAATATATTCCGAATTTTACCAGAAATCCATTTTATACCTAAAACAAGGTTTCCGAAATTTTACACAACTTTAATTACTTATTTATCAATAACAAATGTTTAAAAAACTAAGAATTCTATGCAAAATGTAATTTGAGTAACGCTGAATTTCAAATTTTTCTCACGCAATGTAACAAACAAATTTGATGATTGAAAATGGTTGAGTCTATAGTGTGATCTGTACCAAACTGTACAAAATACTTAGATATCCTTAAGGATGTTTATAAAAAAACACAAGCACTAAAAAAATATTGATAGACATTTCAATTGCACATAACGCGTTCTTCATTTTTGGGAACTTCATTGGGCATTTCTCTTCATGAATTTATCAAGAAAATACTTGCGTTATAAAACGATAACATTTCCTTACTAAATTTTGATCAATTCTTGCTCTCAGGTGTGTTGATGAGATTAACCAGGGGATGGATGCCACAAATGACCGGAAGGTCTTCGAGCACATAATGGAGATCACAGCGAGAGGAAACAGCTCCCAGTATTTCTTGCTGACACCAAAGCTACTGCCAAATCTTCCTTACAACGACAGTGTCTCTGTGCTCTGTGTGTTCAACGGACCTGCTGTTGTTCCACATACTGTCTGGACACTTGAGAAGTACTGCAAGAAACTGAAGGGGAGGAAGAGGCAAAAACTCAAAGAGAGGGCTTAATTTTACTCAACATTCCAGAAGTATTCGTTCCTCAGTTACGAGAAAGATACCGTTGCAGTTTTTTTTATTAAGAAAAACACTTTTCGTTGGAGATAACATATTATTATAGTGTTAATGATCGTCCTGGTTTCATTTTAACTGAGAAAGGTTATAGAAATGACTGCGAAAATTGTTAAGATTGATTCGACTTCCAATGAGCGTTGAAATGGATAAAAAACCTGAGAGAATTGATAAAAAATTGAGGATTAACGAAAAGAGTGAAAAATTGACTTTTTGGAAATTTATGTCTCTAAATTTTTTAATTAACCACGAGAATTTAAAACGGTTTCGTTTACTTTCAAAAACATTTCTCAAATTCTAATCATTCGATTCAAAAATATTGATGACGACGAATTAATTTCTCTCATTATTAATCGTTCGACGGAAGAATTATGTATTTTGGATAGGTAATAATATCTTCAAGATTTAGTTGTTTTAATTGTCAGTGGGAAAGAGAAAAGGCCATTGGAGTGAGTGAAAATTGATCCGAGTAAAAGAAACCAGGAGAATTCCAAAGTCACAAGAGAAGGTTGATCTTGTATTTTCATACTTAAAAATAAATTAATTTACGATGTTCAGAGTTATACGACCAAAATGATGTTCAATTTGTTTCATTCCAGAAGAAAATACCTTTTGATTATACCAAGCTCATACATTTTTCGTAAACATCGGCGGCCCGGCAGATTTTATCTCAGTGCAAAAATGTTCTCTCAGTGCGTAACTATTCTGAGAGAAAAACAGCTGAGTTCTCAAATAAGTCTTACTTGTGGCAAAAAATCGTTTGTTAAAAATAATCAAAAAACTATTTTTTGTGTCAAACATGCGAAGCGTACGTCGAGATTGAAATTTTTTATTGCAGAAATAGATTTAATCTTTTCAAAAAAAAATTAGTCCCTGTGCAAGCAAGAAATGTAATTTCTAGCACTACTGCTTCGTTATTCGATACTCCCATACGTATTTTCCTCCCGAAAAATCTTTGTTTTATGCGAAACAGGGGATAGTAGTTTTTCGTTTCGGCTGTCTAATAATCACAGACTAGAAATGAACTCTTAAATGAAACAATAATAATGATATGATAGCAATCTTATAACTTAGGAATAAAATATTTGTTGAGAAATTTTCCTCTATATGAGATATTTTCATCCTGAAAAGGCACCATCTGGTGTGAATTATCCGCCTCTTGAGCCTCTTGAATTATTCATGTTTTAGACTTTCAAATTCAAACCAAACAAATTCTTTTTTGGCAATTTTCAACTAGCGATTTTGTTGGCCCAAACAAGACTTGTTTGAGAACTTGTTCGTTTTTCTCTCAGTGTTTATTCAATTTGGAGAAAAATACTCATATTGTCCTCTAAACCTACTAGGTCTTGACACATTCCCCAAACAATAAAAATCCACCTGTTCTCAATCATAAAAATCCACTCGAACTCATCGAAACATCGGAAATTATCAACGGCTTTATCGTTTCTTCTTTTTCTTCTTCTGCGCATCGGGCCAGGGAAATCCTCGACACTTCAACACATCCATAATATTGTGGCAAGTGTAATAAGCATTTTCCATAACTTCCTCGTTGAAAATATCCATAGCAAATCGACTCTTCCCCCCACTCCTCTTGGTCGCCTTCGATGTTTTCCCATTTCCTCCTTTTCCCTTGCCATTTCCATTTTTCTTCTTCCCCTTTCCACCCATTCGACTCTTCTAGAAATGGAATTATTTAATCACTCAAGCACATGCACTGGCGATGGATTTTATCATGATTACTCACGTTCTTGTGTTTTTTTAAATGTTCTTTTTGTATTTTTTTTCCTTTGTCCAAGGAAGTAACAATGCACGAGTTCAACAGAGTATCACTAAGGTGCTTGTGGTATTGTTTTATCAATAATTTCTGGAAAAGAAGAATGTGTTTTATGTATCGATCTTCTGAGCCAAAATGAAACGTAATTAGTATATTTCGATACAAATACATAAAAGTGTTTTTCACTTGTGCGTAAAGTGAAATCTTACGTACGCTTCGCGTGCGTAAAATTCCGCTTTCCGCACTCGAAATTCATATTACACACGTTCATGAACTTTACGCGCATGGAAAACAACCGCTTTACGTGCACTAAACCGTTTTGAAAAATGTCCTTTTCAGGCATGTATCACAAAATAACTATTTTCGTCACAAGAATTTTGAAATCATCAAAATGGAAGTTAATCAATTTGGTTAATCAATTTACTCTTCTCAGGTGTATACGAAACAAGAATTTTTAATCATCAAATGCCAGTTGTTTAATTTGGAAGAGGAAAAATGAATTGTCAAGGAACCAAAAGAAAACACAATTAATTCCTTTTTCTCTCTATTCATAAAAAAAGTAGAAATGTAAAAAATTCAACATTAGAAAAAACGTATCACTGTTCAAAAATAATTGTCAAATAATTCTTCAATCATGTGCGACGCAGTCCACGCAAAGTGCTCTCCTATGCTCCTCACAGGCGGGTCTTCTGCACTCCGAGCACGCTGTTTTCACCTTCTTATCCTTACTCCTTGGGCAGAGACTGCACCGAATCTGTCTGTCAAGCTTCGAACTCCCCGGTTCATTCTCTGGCTCCTCCATGTGCAATATCTTACTAATCGAGACCCTCAACTCTCGTCGAAGATGCGGCGAGGCAAGTCGTGTGAGAAGATGGGGCTGAATCAACCCCATGAAGAGAGCTTTCAGAAAATCCCCCCTGGTCAGAGTCCTATTAGCACTATTGGAATTGTACAATATCATTGCATTGACTCCAGCCTGATCCAGCATTGTGTACCACAGCCTCATCGGCCAGCGATGAGTCTTCCTAGCAGTCGTGTACTCACGACAAAACTGATCAAAGCCCTTAGTCCCTCCTTTCGTCTCCTTGTACATCGTCAATACCTCTGGTTGTCCCGTATCAGAATTGATCCCTGCGGTCTCGTGGAGTGAAGACACCAGCAACATGACTTTATTCCTCTCAGGTGTAAACGAAACAAGAATTTTGGAATCATCAAACGCAAATTTCGACGATCCAACCCCTCCAGGTCTCTTAAAATCCCCAGGAATTCCCCTCTCTCCTTTCCTAATTGTCCCAATCATCGTCAGAGAGTACTCCCTCAACATCTTCTGCACAGTCTCCACAGACGTCAACCAATCCTCACACGTGAGGTTCCGTCCAGTTCCATGAATTGGCTCAGACAGTTTACGAACGCAATATGAAGACAGGGTTTCATTGCTATTTTTGCCTATGGCATTGCCAGTGCAAGGTTCAGCATTGTGCATGTAATAGGTCTTAGAATCGTTCAGCATGACGATTTTCATGCCATATTCGTTGGGCTTTTCTGGCGAGGACATTCTGAAGGGACAGCGCCCCCCGAAAGGCACCAGTTGTGCATCAATGCTGCAGGAGCTGTGGGGACTGTAGTATTTCCTGCAATTCGACACGAATTGTTGCCACACGTCCCTGATCGGGGCCAATTTGTCAGTCTCTCTTCGATAGTCACGTGTGCTCTTGTCGTCAAATCTAAGGGAAGATAATATCACTTTGAATCTCCTCAGGGGCATCGTTGCTCGATAGAGTGTTGGACCGAATTCATACGACCACAAGTCCTCTAAATTCGTGTTGTTCGTCTTCTGGAGGCCTGAAAAATAGAGGAGACCGAGGGAGGCCTTCAGCTCGGAGATCGTGAGGTCCTTGTAGATGTGGGCATTCGTCAGGTTCATTTCTATCTCGGTTGACAGGCGGTATCGAGAGATCTCTTGGTTCGTGTGGAGCACCACGTCGTAGAGGATCTCAGGGTCGAATAGCAGCTCCCAGAATTCAAGTGGAGTCTGCTTTTCACGAGCTGCTCCCAGAGGCCCGGGGGTGTAAGGGACATTTGGGGAGGGACGAGGGGGCAATCGCTCGCGGGGTTTCAGGCTCCAGTTGTGGTCAGTTTTATTAGGGGTGATTGCTGGTTGGGGTTCAGGTGCCGAGTCCAATCTCCTTCTTTTTGGAGACAACTCATCTTCGTTTTTTAGCGCAGATTCATCCTGTGGAATGAGGAAATTTTCGTTTACATAAGTGTTTTTGCGAAATACTTGCGGAAGAGGAAATACACGAAATAATTTCACAGAAGTCAGAGAATTCGATAACAAAATTTATTGATAATTTTATTAGTAATTATAATGTATAAGGATTAAAATTTTATTAATAATTAATTTCTAGTGAACTTCTATTGAAGATTTTAGTAGTTTTCGACCGGTTCTAGTGGGGAATCTCGCAGCTTTAATGAGCAGTTTTAATAGAAAATGTTCGATAGAAACCAATTTCTCAATTTTTAACGTCATCAGGTGCAAGAGCCCTTGCGACTGGCCGGTGTCCGACGGCCTTCAGCCAAGAAATTACGACTTGTTTTTGGATCTTAAATTTTAGGGTACTGTTTAACCGTAAATATATATATGTGTATATATTTATTTGGTTCCGAATGGAAGCAAAAACAAAAATTCAGAGTCATTTGTGGTTTGAGGTGATTAGCAAATCTGATCAAATTGCGGTTCAGCGACACTTGTTGTCTATAAAACCCCTGTGACGGTTACGATCCAAGGAACTCACTTTTAATTCAACACATTCAGTACTCCTGTTTTGAAAAAAAAAACACAAATTATCAATTTTCTGTCAGTGATCCGTTTTGCCCTAGGGGTCCGTCTTGCCCTACCCTCCCCTAGAAAAAGTCAATGGAATTTCATCGTTCACAAAAATCTTTCTATTGAGAAATTTATTATCAAAATTTCTCGACATCAATTTTCCCAGTTGTTTTCACTCTGTTTCCCTTCTCTTTTCATTGAAAGAATCAAACAAAAAAAATTGGAAAATTCCAGGCAACTTGAATTGGCATAATCATAAATTTTAAATAAAGTTAAATTTTGAATAAGTCAATCGTTAATATTATTCATCAATTTTTTCATTATTAAATTAATCATCAATTAAATATTCAAATTCCGAATTATTTTATCAATCAATAATTGATACATAATTCTCAACTCAATAGAATAATTTGTATAGAAAAATCGAATTCTATTGACTTCTGCAGAATATTTTCTATTGAACATTTCAATAGAATCGGCTAAAAACTAATAGAAAGTTCAAGAGAAATTCAATGGAATTATATTGAATTTCTTAAAGCGACTTCGCTAGGTTTTTCTATTAAATTTTTTCCTACGTGGAGGTCCATATCTCCATAATTTACCAAAGTATTGTTCATATCTCCTCCAGTCGAAGATACGATTTTTTTGCATGCCTCGTCTTCCTCGGATGCAGAGTGAGATTGACAGATAATCTTATCTTCCTCATTGTCGGATGGCAGATCGTCCACTGGGTGGACGGATGTTTGACGCAGAGAACGTGCAACACTGTCTGCACTTCTCATATTATATTTTCGGTCCATTCCTGATGAGGAGATTAAAATCTTTCAATCGCAAACAAACAAATTCATTCGAAATTCCTCGTTCTCGAGATCAATTCGATTCTATTATTCAGTACAAATAAATAAGAAAATTATTCAGTACAAAAAACTAAATTTAAATATCAGGCGAATATTAGGCGAATTCAAATATTATTCAAAGCGAAATTACTAATGAAATTACTAATGAGGGTATTTTAACCTCTCGAGTGAGTAACTCGGTCCAAGAGAGAAAATGGAAATGAAAATGTCCCTATGAATCATTTACGGTATGAATTGTTTTTCGTATCAATCCAGGAGTGATCGAGCGGACTTTGGATTATCGTAAACAAAAATTACGGGGAATGTTTATAAACATGGGACTTCAGAGGACTTGGACGCCATCGTCTCACAAAACTAACACTAACATTCCCGCAGTAGATCGATAACCATATTAGAGCTGCGGAACACCCTCGATTTTCAGACATTGTTCGACACTCGCGTTCTAATGCGTAAATCTTGTTTTAAACGATAAAATATGATCACTGAACGTCAAGTAAACGATTTTCAATTAATTTTAGGCGTTGGAATTATTGATTATGAACTACACGGAGAGAAATGTTCAGTAAAAATTACGGAACTCACAATTCACTCACCGATTACCGAATTGACTCAGAAAATTTAAGTGACGGTATCGTAATTTTTCACAGGAGATTCAGATAAAAAGTACGGAACACTCCGGAAAATTTCCGTGACAGTTTTGTAAAATTTCCTACAACAACATTTCGCTCCGGAATTACGGCAAAGATACGTAATTTTTATTGAATATTTCTCTCCGTGTATTAAATTGTTCAAATCGACCTAATAGTACCTAAACTATGAAGAATAGACGAAAATGTTCAAATCATGATTTTCTTGATGAGAAGAAAAGAAAAATAATGAAAAACCCTTTGTAAATTTGAACCGTGCACGGAGAGAAAAATTCAATAAAAATTACCAGAAAAAAAACGTAAACATTACGTTTCGAAACGTAATCGGCGAGCGAAGTAAAATTGCCACGTAAATTCTACGATTTGTTCCGTAAAAATTAACTACCCGTCTGGTGACTTACCGCTGTGGGGACAACAAGCCGTTCCGCAATTTTTTCCCAACGATTGAGAAATTTTACGGCACGGAACGTAGAAATAATTCACCAGGTTCATAAAAATTGAAGAACGTTCAAGAATTTTTGATTTTGGGGCATAATAAGTCGGGAAGTTTCTGCAAGATTTTACTTCTTCGGGAAAAATGACGTGACAATTTCGTATTTTGTTCGGTGATGAACCTGAGAATTCACTGAACGTTTGATTTCTTCTCTTCCATTCCTACAAAAATTACCGGAAAACGATTCCCCATTGCGGATTACGTGAATTGTTCCGTAATTTTTTACTGAATATTTCTCTCCGTGTGGAAATTCTGTAGAAAATATCTGAAGAGAATAAGTTGTATAGAAAATCGAATTCTATTGCGGTTAGAAGTGCGTTACTACCGCTAGACCACTCTACCTCGATTGCGAAACGCACCCCATATCACATAGGCCCGATTGCACCAGTTTCAGTTAACTAAATCGTGAGTTAAGAAAAAATGTAAATTTGGATGTTCCATGGATTATTTTACCAGGGGGAGTATCTGAAATTTATTCCACACAGCAAAAACAAATGTCTAAATTTCACATACCTTTTGGGGACATTTTTCAGACACTAAGAACCGTCTGAATAAAATGAAAATTTGTTTGAATTTCAAACATGAATAAAGATGTTTAGGCACCTGCTCGTTTAAAATTCAGACAAATTTTCATTTTATCCAGAAGTTTTCTAGTGTCTGAAAAGTGTCTAGAAAGGGTGTGTGAAATTCAGACATTCGTTTTTACTATGCAGAAACAAGGATGAAAAAATTCAATAGAAAACATAGCGAATTCACTAGAAAATTCTATTAGAATTCTATAGGAATTCTATGGGTCTTCTACAGAATTTCTATTGGAATTCTATTGAAAAATTCTATTTGTTTTTTGCGCTGATTCTATTGGATATTCGATAAGAAAAAGTCAATAGATTTCGAATTTCTGTTTGAATTTTTCTCTTAAATTTTTTTCTATTCGAATTATTGGGCACAAAATTTTCCAAGTTTTTCCCGCTGGATTTTGTTTTGTTTTGAATTGTAGAATCCGAGTGGAAAAACTTAGAAAATCGATGCCCAAGCATTGTTATCGACAAAATCTCAAGCGAAAAATTTAAACGGAACTTCCAAATCTATTGACTTTCTTATCGAATATCCAATAGAATCAGCGCAAAAAACAAATACAATTTTTCAATAGAATTCCAATAGAAATCCTATAGAAAATCCCTAGAATTCCTATAGAATTTTTTCATATTGAAGAAAATAGTATCTTTCATCACTAGACCTGAAAAAACTTTTTTCTGAGCGTAGTAAGCTGCCCCGGAGTTGGACCGCCAACTTTCGGATAGGAAATTACGCGAAGAAATTAAAAAATCTAAACTGTTGGCTTGAATTTTCATTAACTGTTGTTATTTTTATTTTTTTGCCAAATGACGGTTTCTATCGAGTTTCTTTTTTAATTCTTAAAAAAACAAACGTCTGTCTACTGGCAGTTTACCTTATGCGAGTGAATTTTTTCTTCAACTAATTTTCAACGAGAGTTTTTACGTCCACAAAAACTATTGCTGACGTACCACCTCTTTTCATGGGATATCTTCACGTTTGAAGGTTTCCAATAATACGATAATTTCCGATTAATGTGTGAAATATCATAAGCAATGGTCAGAGTTCACGGGCCATTATCACTTTACATTGGACTTTGAAAATACGAAATTGCAATAAAAACCTATAGTAGATGTGCATGTGCATCTAAATATCATACGTAACACAAACGTATCGGTTGTTTCTTTTTCCCTCGAGAAAGTTCGCGGATCTAATCTCAATCTCGGTCTATTCTTATCCTTCCGCAATCAATTGACTCTCTCCACGATTTTATCGAATTTTTGTGATTTTAGTAAATCATATTCGAGAATTTGAATTTGAAATAATGTCAAGAATGACATTAAAAACCTTTTAAATTTATGAAAATGGAAATTTGAGAAAACAAGAAAACGATAGTTACATGTTTCAAAGAAGTTTTATGGGGCTTATTATTTGTAAGTGGAGCTGAAGGCATAAAACCCCAAAGAAAAGGAAATAAGGTCGGACGCACCTCAAACGTTGGCTTTTATTGACGCTCATTCCCGCTTAGAAAATTCAGAATCCTAGTGGTATGAGAAAACGTCCTCATTACGTCGTTCTATTTTTATGCTCCCCTGTCCAATCAATTTCTTTCCTCTGACTTTGTTGACGATTTCACTGATTCACGGCTCATGTAAATTTTATAATTCGTGCAACTCAGCAATACGTTAAGGGGATACCTACGTCAGTGAAATTTAAAAGTCTTCACTGGCGACCCGTGGGACCCATTGCACAGTGACGGAATAGTGAAATAACTAGGTAAAAGCGCGGACCCGATCGATTTTGCCCCGTGTAACCACAAAAAACTTCATTTTTTGCTGTTTTTACCTTCAAAATGCTCCTTGCGCCGTAGTTTTCATACCATTTTAGCTTTTTTGACGTGAATACGTCTACGGTTTCAATATGGGGGATCATTTTGGGAAACTGTCCTTATGTGCAGTATCATCTATCGGAATTCTAGAAAATTCTAGACATTTCGAGGTAATTTGAGAAGTTTCTTGATATTTCGAGGAAGTTCAGGGAATTTCTAGAAAATTAGAGAGAATTCAAAGAGTTTCTAGAAAATTCGAGGGAATGCAAGGAGTTTCTAGGAAATTTGAGAAAGAAGGAAAGACCATGGACATATCCACGTACAATTACAGCTATATCGAAGATACAGCCGCCTGCAATTTTTTACATAAATGTTCGTTACCCTCCAAAAAATAAAGTTACGCATCAGTTTTACTTCATTCGCAATAGATTCTGAATAAATGAATTTTGAATTTTATAAATTTTACTCTAGAGACGCGAAAAATTTATGAAATTGAAACCTTTCGAGGTTTGAATTTGACGATTTTCCTTCCTACTCCCTTATAATTATTAATTATAACTAGCGTTATAATTATTCTTCCTACTCTCCGGTTGCAACTTGTTGTCGTTTGACCCTCATGAGGTCTGACCCTTGCGATGTTTGACCCTGGTAGGAGATGAGAAAAGGCAGTTTTGGCCAAGATCTCAATCACGCCCAGAGAACAAGTCTGGTAAAATACCGATGCCCGACCCTGAGTCTTGTTCCACCGGGAGCTGGACACTAGAAGAGTTGGCCAAAGTTGGACGAAAATCGCGGTGGAAACGAAACAAAGTTCGAATTTATACCGTTTCCACCGAAATTTTTGTCCCACTTGGCCCAACTCTTCTCTTGTCCAGCTCCCGGTGGAACACCCTAGTGGAAAAACCTAAGGCAGAGGCGTCACGCCTGATCAGAATTTCGGATCGGACTTGATCAGTTTCTGATCAAGACCTGAACAGAATTTCCACTCGGGTATGAGTCAATTTGAGAGTGAAATTCGTAAGTGTCCTGGTAGCTCAGATGGTAAGAGCACCCGACGCGACATTGGGAGGTCCCGGGTTCGATTCCCGGCTAGGAAGTTACTAATTTTTTCTCTCAAAAAAATTAAATTTAATTAATGCCTAATGATGGAAGGCGGAGAAACCCTAGTGGAAAAACCTAAGGCAGAGGCGTAACACGCCTGATCAGAATTTCGGATCGGACTTGATCAGTTTCTGATCAAGACCTGAACAGAATTTCCACTCGGGTATGAGTCAATTTGAGAGTGAAATTCGTAAGTGTCCTGGTAGCTCAGATGGTAAGAGCACCCGACGCGACATTGGGAGGTCCCGGGTTCGATTCCCGGCTAGGAAGTTACTAATTTTTTCTCTCAAAAAAATTAAATTTAATTAATGCCTAATGATGGAAGGCGGAGAAACCCTAGTGGAAAAACCTAAGGCAGAGGCGTAACACGCCTGATCAGAATTTCGGATCGGACTTGATCAGTTTCTGATCAAGACCTGAACAGAATTTCCACTCGGGTATGAGTCAATTTGAGAGTGAAATTCGTAAGTGTCCTGGTAGCTCAGATGGTAAGAGCACCCGACGCGACATTGGGAGGTCCCGGGTTCGATTCCCGGCTAGGAAGTTACTAATTTTTTCTCTCAAAAAAATTAAATTTAATTAATGCCTAATGATGGAAGGCGGAGAAACCCTAGTGGAAAAACCTAAGGCAGAGGCGTAACACGCCTGATCAGAATTTCGGATCGGACTTGATCAGTTTCTGATCAAGACTTGAACAGAATTTCCACTCTGGCAGGGCTCCCTGAATTCCGGTACAAATGGCCGCTTTGATCGACTTGAAGTCCCCGGTGTAAGTAGCGCCCATAAACGTAGCCGTACTTGGCGCCACTTGAAATCCCGGTGTAAATAGCCCCAACAAGAGGTCAACACCCTCATTCCTTTCGCCAAATTACTCATCACCGAAATCCGAATCTCGAAGGATCGAAAAGCGATTCCCCGCCATGCGCCTACCGTCTGCGCACTCCCCCCACCCCGCCCAATGCACAGCCGTGTTGGCTTCGTTTCGGGGCGGCGCATTACCAAGAACTGACATGTGAATGACGGACGTACGATTCCCCAGCTATGAGTTCCCTGTGATTAACCTAATCTACTATCACTCTCGACTTCCCCAAACCCAATTCTACATAACCAAAACATCAACCGAGGAGTCCAAAAGTATCAGAATGTGAAACAATCGTCAGCAATCGGGCCTCAAGCGACTGTTGAATCAAGTGAAGCGAAACTCGCGATTTTCTCCGAACGAAAAATTGAACTCTACGTGGAAATGGAGAACGGAGAAATCGAATTTTCGTTATAACCCCTGATAAACAGTGACAACAAAAACTGGTGCATGAATGGTGTAATTCAGTGTTGGAGGGGTTGAAATAGTGAATAATTTGAGAATATCAGAGCAGTCAGAACAATTTTCAGAGAATCTTGAAACTAAAAATTCAAAAGTGAATAAAAATGTCGACAGCATTGCTCGCACTGATAGCTGTTATCCTCTGCATCCTCTTCAGAATTCTCAATGTCAACAGTTCGGCCCAGAAGCCGGTGTTGGTGTGTCAGGACCAGACATTCCTCTCGACAGTCCTCAAGATAGCACCAGTGATCGCTGAACCGTAAGATCCAGTTTCTCTCTATCATTTCCTCGTTACGGCCCCGAAAAAATTCGATCAAATGACTCAGACGCGGCTCTCGTTCGAGAGAATGACGCCGTAACGAGGTTAGATCGATGGGTGACGTGCATTAGTCATCACTGGGAATAAAATCCGCAGCGAAGCGCTAAAACGGTTCAATTCGATTTTGACTATTAGTCAGTTTTCCGTGAATATCTCGGAATCTGGGGCAGATAGCAAAATTTTTGTCGAGACCTTTTTTGTGGGGCGAATTGAGAGCTACAAAAAAGGTTATTAGGAAAATTTTGATATCTCCCTTAGATTCGGAGATATTCCTCGAAAAATACCACTTCACTAGTGAAATCGTCTCGCGAAATGATAGTAATCCGATGATTCTTATTTTCATGTCGTTATTTTCATTGTTAGTGGGTCATGAACGTTTTTAACACCGGGAAATTGATGGGGAAATGCGGTAGAAGCTTCGAGACACATCTAGAGGGCTATTACTCGATGGTGATAACGTAGCATTTTACATGAGTTGCCGTAGTTTATTGTTATGACGGTTGAATTTTTTTCTCTATTGTTGTGGGTTAAATAATGGCTCGGAGCTGATGGATGGGAAGGACACGTGGGAATTGATAAGGTAATTGTTGTCCTATCGCTGGATTATGTCGGGCATGATCGATACTCTTTTTATTTTTCCTTTTCCTGGGGGACAGGTGAGTGGGGATTGGGGTAATTAGACTCGAACTGTTCGAGGGATGTCCTCTTGAGTGGACGGGTATGGTCCCTCCCGTCACGCCTTCGTCGATCGAAGCGTAGACTCGACGTTGCGTTGGGTGCGACGCGGCCTAGACCTTGAGACCGAAGTTTACAGTATCACTTATTCATGACTTAATGAGGGGTAGATGGGAATTTCTTTGACGCTGATGTTGTTTTTCGAAAGGTTCATGTTTTTTTGGGGGACCATTGGGAGAAGTTATTGATGACGAAATAAATCAAGAAGAAAAAACATTTTTAACTTCTTTATTAACTTTTGGTTATTAACCTTTTTTGTTATTGGGAGTACTGATGAGAATAATAATTTTCTATTCGTCTTATAATTCAATTGGTTAGATTAAGGCGATTACAATGTTTTTTTTTCATCCGATTGAAATTCAGCATCACATTTTCCTTTTTCCCACTCTGGATCTGCCCCTGGGCCTCTGGACTTTGGATTTTGCTGTTGCATTTTCATTTCAATTAATCCGTTGACAAAATCTTCCCCTGTCAAAACTTCTCAATAATTCTACTGAATGGAAAATTATTATTCCCGTTAGTATTCCCAAGAATAAAAAAAATTAATAAACAAAAGTTGATAGAAAAAAAATAATAACAAAATTTTGTTTTGCTTAAATTGCCTCAAACAGTTGTTTTTCGACGGTTTCATTTTGCTACACTATCCCCTACCTAATTCATCCAACTGTTTGTATTCACTATTTTAGAACAAGTCCTTCCAGCCATGAATGAACAAATAATTTGTTTTAATGAAAACAGAGACTCGACCACAAATTGCCAATTTTACCTCGTTTCGAGTTCTGTGTGCACTCCGCTTCAGGACAGGTCTAAAATAGTTACAAAGAAATTGTTAAATTCAATGAATATTCTCTCAGTAAACACTCATAATGTCCACGGAACAAATGATAAATTGGAGGGCAATCTTGCACTTCCTTCACGAAAATTGTCTTACTGCAAAAAGTGAATCATATTTAGGAATGGTATATTTCTAACCTAGGGAGGTAAAATAAAGGACCCTTGCCCACGTGCAGAATGATAAGGACGTGGGCAAGGATCTTTTATTTTATAAGATCTATGCGCGCGCTGATCTATTTATTTGTTGAAATGAAGAAATGGAATTCATTGAATTTCATTTTCTCAGGAATACCTTATAAATATTGATAATGAATCAGAGAGAATTCGACTAATCATTGAAGTGCATAGCGAAGTAGAGTAAAAGAATCTATGAAGAATTTTTCATTTTCAATTAATTATCTTCAATTTTTTTTAATATTCGGTCTCCATAAAAGGAGAGAATTTATTAATTTCACCGATGATATATATACATGTGAAATATATATATATATATATATATATATATATATATATATATATATATATATATGACGTGAAAAATAACTTACCACTGAAGAATTTGAAAATGCCACGTGTTTTTTTTGTGAATAACTTCGTGTCACATATTGAACAATCAGAATTAAGGATTAGCGGTCAGACAGTTTCGAGATATTTCGATATAAACCAACTTCACGTGTCTTTCATCTTTAGTAAATAGGACCTGCCGTGGTTAGAACGCGATTTTTCTGTTCCGGCGTAGGAGCAGTCAGATTTCCCTCCCGCTTCGCGGGAGGGAAATGTCGCTTTGCTCCCGTCAGAAGAGAAAAGTTGTTTTTTCTGGGAAATCAAGATTCCTTCCTTCCTTTCAATGTTTCCTTTATGTGATAATCTTATAGAGTTCTCTCACATCAACTGATTGTGATGCAATGAATTTAGATTCCTTCCTCACGTGTTTCTGCGGAATTTCCGATGCTCACTATTAAAAATTGTCGTCTGAAATTTCCGGTACATTTGTTGGACATTTTTATTGAAACTAATTACCACTGAAATTTCAAGGAATTTCGTCATTGAAAATTTCGAATTTTGTGGAAAAATCAAAGAGAACTATAAATTTCAATTCCATTTTTCTCTGAAAATGAATAGAAAATCAGAAAATTTCGGTAAATATATTCTGGAATTTTCAGGACAGTGGCACTGAATGCCATTTAGGGGGAAGAAATCATGAAGCTTCAGAGTACACTGAAAATTCGATGTAATTTGGCACTGAATATTCAGATTAGATTGGAAATTCAAATAAATTAAGAAATTCTCGTCTTTATGCTGGTTAAAATTCTGGAATTTTACTGAATTTTCACGGAAACCTGAAGTTTCATTTTTTTTAAACAGTGCTCACTACAAAAAAATATTTTGTCATATTTAACTCTACCATTCTACCATGCGTTAATAGTTAACGAATGTCATTTGAAATACATGAACATTTTATCAGTGTGTAAACGAAAAAGCCCCTTTCGGTACCAGATAAATGTAGCAGCAGTGACAAAATATTATTTGTCCGGGCTGTTGCCATGGGGTTTTTACTCGTGTGGAGTTGGTGTCCGAGCCGAAGACGCAGCTGGCCAACCACACGAGTAAAAACCCGATCGCAACTGCCCAGGAAAAGATTTTTCTTAACATGCTTAAGGCTAAACTAAACATGCTTAAGGCTACAAGAACGCCTCTTGTCTTTTTTGTTTTCTAAAATCAATCGTTTTATGATCATAATGTCATTAATGGAGATTTGTCAATGACTCACTAGTCATTATTTGATATTTGGTATTTGATATCGGAATAGAACATTAAGAAATTTTTAAATTGAGGATCGGTATTCTTTCCCACTATCCCATGACCTCAATTTACGGAATTTGAAAACGGGCATGAACAACACAATTCACATTAAAAACCTTTTCTGTAACTTCTTCTGAATATACTCATTCTTGGCCCAGAATTCCTGGGATATTCACAGGATAATGATGGGATGTTTTTTGATAAATCTCTTTAATCTTTTGAAAGCATAATTGGGAATCCAGGTGAAGGAAAGGAACCAATGACAACAATACGCGTGACAGCATTCTTTCCTGAAAGAAATCGCGTAAATACGAAGTAATCACAGGATTGCTGATCACTTCGAACATTCTCTTTACCTCAACTGCAAATTATTTCCTGAGATTTTTTATGGGTCAACAGATTGTTTTTTCACACTCCTTCATAAAATCATCCATATATTAATGGGAATCTGAATCATTTTACCATTTATTTTAATTTTTGGATCATCGTCGTAGCAGAAATATAAAATTAAGACTATTTCTTCAACGAATTTATCTAAATCTAGTCATTGCGGAGATATTCCCTGGGTAATGCCCAGATATTAGTTAGCGGATTAATATTCTCCTTTATTTTCTCGATAATTGCTGATAATTTTGAACATTCTCTTTATTTCAACTATGAATTATTTCCAGGCATTTTTATTGGCACCAAGATTGTTTTTTCACACTCCTTCATAAAATCAGACGTATACTAAGGAGGTTCGACACCCTTTTAGCCAAAATTGACGTTGTTTTTATTTTTCTGGCAAATTATCGATGGGAGTGACGTGAAAAAATATAACGATTTTGTGGTTTGTCATTCTTTAATGGCTCACGAAGTTGCGTAGTGGTGCGATAATTTTCATGCGTTTTTTCTACAGTTTTGTGATTCTTTTTAAAAGTTTAGAGAAAACGCAGGAAAATGTTCGCACCACCTTAAAATTTCGTCAGTCATTAAATAATGACAAAACGCAAAAACGTTATATTTTTTCACGTCAATTCCATCATAAGTTTGCCAGAAAAATTAAAAAAACGTGAATTTTGGCAGAAAGGGTGTAGAACATCCTTAATGGGAATCTGAATCACCTTCATTATCCAATCATTTTCTCAATGAGTGTTCCGTATGAAAATCCCCGAGTCGAATTTTCTCTCCATAAAACAGATATCCCACAAAAAAACTGCCTGAGCAATCGAAGAGTAGAATTGTGTTCCGGGGGTTTCTATTCCCAATCAATCAAAAAACTCTCCGGTCTTTAATTCAGTAACTAACGTAATATTTTTTACACCTTAACTTTCCTCGTAATTTCTATTGACTTATCCGTGTAATGTAAACCCACCCGTAGCGGGGCTAATCACAAAATAATGTTCGCAGGAAATGTTCTTCTGTTTACTCTTACCACGCAACTCGAAAAACATTTCAATAATTGATTGAATAGATCCATAATCATTACAGATACAAACCAACGAGACTGTGGGGGTTCAGTGGTCACGTGCAGACTATAGTTCACAGTATTATAGGAAGGGTGAGATGCCCGTGGCCAATTGGTGACAGAATCTACATGAGCCTCACTGATGGTACCACACTCACATATGACTTGTATCAGCCACTGAGCAGTGGTCACGAAGGTGTGTTTCACTCACGCAACAATTCTATCCACAAGTATCATCAGTGGATACTAAAACAGCAAGCGTAAATAAATGAAGAGCACTAGAAGTCATTAAGTTCATTACTTCTTCATGAGTTTGAAACATCAGTGGAAATGATAATCAGGGCAATTAGTTAGGAAAAGCATGAAATATTATTCATGATGAATGGAAGAAGTCATTTTTTGCATTTCAATCGTATCTTGCAGATGATATCACGGTGGCTATTGCCCCTGGCATTGGGAATAGTTCGGAGAGCGTTTACATCAGGACATTTGTACACTTTGTACAGTGCCACGGATACAGGTGTGCTGTACTTAATCACGTGGGGGCACTTTCCAGTGTCAAAGTCACCGCACCGAGAATATTCTCTTACGGTAAATATAATAATGGTTCATTTTAAGGCCCGGGTGTACTATCTTTCGAATGTTATCTGGATTTTGGATTTCTTGCCTGAAAAAATAAGTTTCCGAAAGCTTAAGCAATTGCAATTATTTATTTATAAACAACACATGTTTATGGAATCGTAATTTACGGGAATTTTGAGCGTAAAATACACTTTAGAAAGCGTTAATCACGACTTATTAAGGGCATTACGTTTCGTTTACGTTTCGTTTTTTCTGCGCGTATCTGACTGTGATAATTTCAATGTCTTCATAAACAAAATAATTAATTTTCCAATAGGACACACTGATGATTACCACGTAATGCTCCTCAGTCTCGCAGAGAAGCACCCCAACACGAAAATCGTGTGTGTTGGCTTTAGTCTAGGGGGAAATTTAGTGACTAAGTACATGGGAGAGAGAGCCACAAATAAACTGCCTCAGATCATCGGCGGGATTTCCATCTGTCAGGGTTACGATGCCATCGAGTACGTAAATCCTCAATCCAAAAAATATTGAAAGTATAATTCCACATACATTCGATCTCGTGATTAATCAGCGTAATTGCATCCAGGGGGACGAAATTTCTCCTCAATTGGCAGAACTTCAGGCGATTCTATCTCTACATCATGACAGAGTCTGTGAAGAACATTATTTTGAGACACAGACAGGCTTTGTTATCTGAGAGTGTCAAGCTGAAGCACGGACTCAAGGAGAAGGAGATACTCTCTGCTGCCACGCTGCCAGAGCTCGATGAAGCTTATACGAGAAGGGTGAGAGCATTTTTTTTTATTACTGAGGAGCAAAGTTGCTGCAGTAAAAAAACAAATGATTCTACCGATAAAATTCGGTTCAGACACACAAATGCCTGAAAGTTGGAGACAATATCTTGGGGATTTGTGTGTCAAAAACAACAGAGCTCTCAAACAAATTTTATTTATGCGAAACGTGCGCCGAGATTGAAAATTTTTATTGCAAAAATAGATTTAACCTTTAAAAAAATGTATTCGCTGTGCAAACAAGAAATGTAATTTCTAGCACTACTTCCTCGTTATTCAATGCTTTCATACGTATTTTCTCCCAACAAATGCTTATTTTGGATGAAACGACGTATAGCAGTTTGTCGTCTTAAATCATAATGATATGACCACAGTCTTGTGACTTAGGAATATTTTTATTCTGAAAAGACACCGTCTTGCATGAATTATTCATGTTTGAGACTTTTAAATTCGAACTGAAAATTTTTTTTTGTAATTTTCAACTAATCGTTTTATTGGCCCAAACAAGACTTGTTTGAGAACTTGTTTGTTTTTCTCTCAGTGTAAATCCTTGCCTGAAACTAATTTGATTAGCAGAATTAAATTTTTTCCTCGGTGTAGTTTGCAATTTTTTTACAAACTACACCGTTTGCTGATTTTACGAAGCTCATGCTCTGTTGAAAAATTTTTGCTGAATTTTCCGGAAAACGACCCTAAATTAGGTTTAAGGGAAAAAAGTGAATGGAATTTCAAGTTTCTCTGAAAATTTAATTGAAGTCCCAATTTTAAGCGGCAAGTAGACGAAAATTCCACGATTTACATGAATTTTCAAGTACAATAAAATGAATATTCAGTACTAAATTCCCTTGAATTTTCATAGAATTTTTTTTAACATTTTTGACCTTCTAGGAATTTTTCAAGGAATTCCCTGAAAGGACACAAGAATCTGGAATTCATGAAGAGATTTCTCTGTATTTTCCGGATTTTTTATTAATTTTCCCAGAATAATTAAACTGAAACTTGCAGTTGCCACGGATTGTTTCATGAAATTATGAATTTTCAATGACAAAATTATTTACGAATTTGTGTAAATTTTATTTTTTTGAGTCCTCTGTTTTGATGATGAAATCTTGTCTTTGAATCACCAAATCACTATTGTTTATGATGTTTTTTTTGTTCATCTAGATACACCAATTCAGATCTGTGAAAGAATTGTACAGGTGGAGCAGCAGCATCAACTACCTCAACGAAATAAATTCACCAATGGTATTTATTAACGCTATAGACGATCCAATCGTACCTGAAGCACTCCTGGACCCAATCAGAGAGTATGCAGGTACTAATCTCTCTATTATGATAATCCAAATCGACTTTTGGTGCTGAAAATTTGGTACTTGAAATTAAGCCTCCAAAATTAAGGGTCAGAAATGGAGGGTCACGAGTCTCAGATTAAGGGCCACAAGAGTCCAAATAAGGGTCAAGGGGGTCATATGGGGGTTTTCGAGAGCGAGCAGAGGGCGTACCCCCCTAGTCAATGACTATTCTCCATAACAATAGTGGAAAATTCAAAAATTCTAGGCAATTTAGTCCGTCAATATTCCTTCAACTATTAGATTTAAAGAAAAATCCCACAAAAATTTTTAAAATTTACGAAATTTTTGGGGAAAAAAAATATTTTGACATTTTTTTTTCTGAACCTGATAATATTGAAAACACTAGACAAGCCATATTTTTTTTCAATCAAAAATTTAAAAATTAGTGCACCTATTTTTCTCTCAATGCCTTAGCCCCAGAATTCTTTTCTTCTATCAAAAATTTTTACGAGACTATTCAGTAAATCACAAAATTTTTCACAAAACTGCATTCTTCCCAAAACGGCACTCGATCTATTAGTCTAGAAAACATTTCAAACGCAAACTAAATCAATCAATTAACTAATTTTTTCATTATATTTTTTTATTGTAATTAACTTATTTTTACTCTTCATTCCACAGCCAAGAAGAGCAATACCCTCTACATCGAACTAGCCCATGGTGGTCATCTGGGTTTTTACGAGGGTGGTCTCCTCTACCCAAACCCAATCACCTGGTTGGATCGTACTCTAGTGTCACTAATCGGCTCACTGACACTCTTCCACGCGGATCGAGTAAAAGTCGCTTAAAATATCCTCCCCTAGAAGCGTCGATGGACTTACTGCATTTTTAGCTTGACCAAGAAACGATGAGCAAGCTGTAATGGGACCCCCAGTTGCTAAATGTGACTACCAAGTTCTTCATTTAAACCGAAATAACGTGTATCATTCAGCATTTATCATTAGGCTTTAAAGTCATTCGAAATTCATTAAAATTCATTTAAGAATGCAATTATCACTCGATTATTATCATTCCAATGTTGCACATGTGTCGCGTGCCGATCAGCATTGATTTGAGTGTAATTTATCTGCCACTTCCCACTAGGAATTAAAATTAATGATTTTTCTTTAGAACTTTTGTTTTCATTCGTGTGAAATTTCCTTGGGGCTTGCAGTGATCTTTCTCTCATTTGATTCTATGATTCATCAGTTTCTGCGCGAATAGTTGTATTCAGGATGTATTGAAGCTCCCGAGTCCCCGAGCCATGATGAAAAGAATAGTCATTAAGAAGTAGAATTAATGGAGACAAATGATGATATCGAGGCAATTTCAAGTGCAGACGACTGGATGTTTTCTATGGTATATTGATTGAGACTGGAATAATGTTTTGTACGCATTTTACTCACCTCGAGTGGTAAAGGCTTGTGACGAGGACGATGTGGAGGCGTCAAGTGAAACCAAGAAATCCTAGATTAAGGGGAGACTGCTATGAGTTTTAAAATTTCCTGACTATTCGAGTGAGATTTATCATGCGTAGAAGATCGGTTATATATGTCGAAAAACTAATAATTAGTGCAAAAAAGTCAATTGTTTATTGTTCGTTTATCCCGCAGACGCTTGAAGTGTTGAAAATAGTCCAGTGCCTCCAATTTTGGAGTTACACAGGTTTTTTTTTTTTCAAAATTTTTGAAAAAATGTGTAGAATAGCAATTATGAGTTAGTTTTGGAAATTTGACGCCTACACCGCTAATTTCTTTTTTTGTTAATTGTACCATTCATGCAAAATAGCCACAAAAATGATCCTCAAAATATTCAAAATGTATTCTCGATTCTTCCGGAAACATTTTTCTGATTATTTTACATGAATGGTCCAATTTTTATATTTAAAAAAGTGAAATTCGCTGTTGTGTAGAAGTTAAATTTAAAAAAAATTAACTCGTAACTGTTATTGTACACATTTTTCAAAAATTTTGAAAAAAAAACCTTGGTAGATCAAAAATTGGAGGCCCCAGACTGTCTTAAACATTTCAAGCGTCTACAAGGCAAATGAACAATAAACAATTAATTTTTCTGCACTAATTATTCGTTTTTAGACATATAATCGATCTTCAATGTATGAAAAATCTAACTCGAATAGCCCACGACTTTCGAAACTCATAGTAGTCTTCCCTTAATTCGTTATAAGATTAATTGTAACGCAGTGGTTAAAGGAAAACGAAAGAGATTAAAAAACACTCAAAATCGTTTTACAAATATCTCGGGAACTAGTTGGTTCAGAGAAAAGTCTATAAAATTTGTTGTAGCTCAATGAATTCTATTGGTGAAATAACTTCTGGTATTTTTCCAGATCTTTGCAAATATTCCCGAAATCATGCGAACATTCTTTTTAAATTCGAAAAAATTTGTGGAAAACAATTTTTTTTTTATTTATGTAAAATAATTTTCAATTCCTAGCCCGTGAAATTCTTCTCAAAAAATATCTCGTGAGGTTTTTCCCTAAAACTCTTCCTTCTGATAAAATTTAAAAAAGGAATTCTACATTTGTTTTGGAATGAAAAAAAATACACCTATTATTTTGCAAATATCTCGAAAACTATCGTGTCGCGAGGAAAATGTCACAAAAACTTGTTTGCAGCTCACAAAATTTTCTACAAAAAATGTTCTACCCCATTTTTTCCTAAACTCCTTCGTCTCCGAGATATTTATAAAATAATATGCCAGAAAAATTTCGACTTTTTTACCACTTTATCAGGGAATTTTGACATCTCATGGATTGAGATGGTGTATCATCTACTAGGAGTTTCACTGGCTCACGTTGAGTTCATTGTTCTTAGGACAAATCTGCTGTAATGCTTTCCTCGGATGGCTAAAGTAATTATGTTAATGGCATTTATATTTAAAGATGAATTTTATTATTTATAAAAGATGATATATTCGTAAAAATAAAGTGACATAACGTACACCTGGATTACCTTCATTATTTGGTTTCGACTGACATTAATACGCGAGGCTGGAGCCATGAGTGATTAGAAACAGTTTCTGATCACTTATGCATTCATTGAAGGTCAATAATTGTCAATAAATTTCAATAGGCGTTCAATCATGGAACATTCCACACAGCATGCTGATGTAGAAGATTAGCATGAGAGTGGGCACGTGATTTACCCTGAATTACTCGCCCAGCGGTTCTTTCGAGATTTTTTGCACAATTATGCATTAAACATTACATTTATTGACATACTTTATGGTAAATCCGATATCTTCTCTCTTCGAACGCTCAAGGAGGAAAGACATCAGTTTGGATGTGTGAGAGGTGCGGGAAAGAACAGTGGCGAAGTGATAAAACGTAACAGAATATTTCGATTTTACGTCTCGCACTTCGTTGAACATGGAATTGTCTTGAGTGATTCTCGGAGGAAATGTCAGGTGACACTTTTCGTCGGGAATTTCTTCTATTAAATTTCTTTAACACGAATATTAAAGAACATGATCTAAATCAAAATTCAATTTATTAAAATTTATATTGCAAATTCCGGTATTTGTTGAAATTTTTCAGTGAGAAGACATTCGTTTTGTCCAACTGGTTTTCGTGATGAATGCAAATTTCCATGAGGCGCGATTAATTTGTGACGAATCAGGTCTTTGCTATTGACTTCGAGTTCAGCAAGTGGAAGATGCATTGAGTTACAATCAATTCCATTATTCATTAAATATAGAATCATTAGAATTGTGCATGACTCCAGGGGAAATGTTGAACATTTTTCAGGGGAAATTCTATAAGATACCACCAAAGTGTGAGAGGTGCGATAAGGTTCAGCGGTGAAGTGATGAAACGTAACAGAATATGTCGATTTACACATCTCGTTGAATATGGAATTATCTTGATGAGCGATTCTCGGAATCTGTTTAATATTTTTTATTTATTATTTGCCATGTATACCCTACTCGGGTTTTTACAAGTTCGTTAATTTGCGGTTATCATGGGCCGACTTCCTCTCCAATCGTGTCGCATTGTACCCCAGGAGCTGTACGCCGTGCACAGACTCTCGGTGACGAAGGGAAACCATGGAAAACCTTGGTCGACACGGACGTTCATCGACCGAGCATCATCAAGGAATGTTTTTCTACCATTTCTCCGATGATTCTCGGTGTCTAGACTACCGTTCGACGGTTTCCGAAGGATTAAAAAATCCCTGCGCCAAGCCGGACTCGAACCCGCGCCTCACGGGTCCCGCCATGCGGCCGAGTTATTTAAGGGTGCCAAGTGAATTGGCGATGACCTTGAAAATTGACATTCACCAACAAAGTTATAATTTTTTTAATTAATAGTATTAGACAGATGGTGACCATCGGTGACAATTTTAAGATTTTAGAACTTATGGATATCGAGAAATTGAATAAACAAAATCAGTCTTATACACGGCCTCTTATGGAGTTTTGATTAAATTGAACGTTTCAACCCCCTAGGAACTCAAGAAAAATTTGAAAAAATTTGAAGATATGGGGAATGATGTGTTCAATGTGATGGCGACAAAAAACAATGGGGTACCGGGGTGAATAAGAGAGATATTTCAACCCGCCGTACCCATTTGATCCCATGCTTTCTCGAGGTTCGTCACGCGAAATAGAGGATTTTCCGCATTTATTTTCTCGATGTCTAGTTCCGGTTGCGGGTTTGAAATTTCGTCGGATGGATGAATACATATTTCTCCAATGATGGAGGGAAAGAAAAATATTTTTTTAAATCTTTTCAAATTCACTTGGCACCCTTAAACACTTCGGACAGCGTCGTCGGTCGAATCTCTTTAATATGAAAATTAAAGAAATAAAAATTCAATAGAATAATAAAGAACATCATCTTCTAAATCCCCTCGTTTATTTTGCAAATTTTGGTATCGGTTGGAATTTTTTGGTGGAAATCCACAGCTATGACCACAGTGTGAGAGGTGCACTATAGACTTCAGTGATGAAGTGATAGAATATGTCGACTTTATACATCTCGTTGAACAGGGAATTATCTTGATGAGTAATTCTCGGAGGAAATGCCAGGAGATACTTTTCGTTCGAAATTTCTTTAATATTAATATTGAAGAAATATAAATTTAACACAATAATAAAGAATATCATTTTCTAAATCCCCTAAATTGTTCACTGAGAAGATATTTATTTTGAAATTCATTTTGTCCTACTGATTTTCGAGATAAATATACATTACCATGAGTCGTATTTAATTTGTGATGATTCAGTCCGTTGCTACAGATTTTGAGTTCAACAAGTGGAAAATGCATTGTTGCAAATGTCGAGCTGCAATTTTGGTAATCGCATTTCAACATAGCTGAGTCGTTTGAAATTCCAGGGCAGAAGATAGTCCGACGAGTAATTTTATTGGGGTTTGATATATTCATGGGTACAAGGATTATAAACAATAAGTGATTATCTCGGAAGAGAAACTTAATTTTTGTCATTCCGGCTGTAAGACAGGAATTCCATGGCCGTCATGACAAAATCGTATTTTTTGTCACACTGTCTGTAAAATGACGTTTACGGACATTGTGAAGACAAATTATGTTCGTCACTCGGTCGAAAACAACTTTTCTGACTCGTGTGATTGCATTCCTCGGCTTCGCCTCCGTCTGCAACCCTCACACTCGTGAGAAAACTTTTTATTATCACGCTGTGCGAAAAGTCACTTTTTAGGCACGCTTTTCGTGCCTCAAAGGTCCCTTTTCCACACATTGTGTTGAAAAATATAGTTTTTGTCATTCCGGCCATGAGGCAGCGCTTCACGGACGCTCCGCTCTCCGCTCCGCGTCCGTGAATCTCTGTCTACGGCCGTCATAACAAAAAATACTGTTCGTCATATGGCCAAAAAAAACTTTTCTAGCTCATATGATTGCAACTCATATTCGCCAGAAAAGTTTTTTTCGGCCTGGTGACGAAATATACTATTTTGTCATTCCGGCCGTGAGGCAGCGCGGAGCGGAGCGGAGCGTCCGTGAATCTCTGCCTACGGCCGTCATAACAAAAAATACTGTTCGTCATACGGCCAAAAAAAACTTTTCTAGTTCATATGATTGCAACTCATATTCGCCAGAAAAGTTTTTTTCGGCCTGGTGACGAAATATACTATTAATGCTTATGGGAAAAGTGTTTTCTGTACTGCTTCTCACGATTTCTCGTCTGGGAATTGGGATTGCATATTTCCCAAACTCGAAAACTTGAAAATCACTACAGAAAAATATTGTTCCTGGGCTGTTGCGATGGGGTTTTTTTACTCGTGTGGTTGGCCAGTCCTCGCCTTCGGCTCGGACGCCAACGCTACACAAGTAAAAAACCCCATCGCAACAGGCCGGAAAAATACTATTTCGGCACGAGGTGAACGCAGCAGAACTGTCAAAATAGTATATTTCGATACGAGTGCGGAATAATATATATCAGGACGAGTGCCATGGGGTTTTTTACTCGCGTGGAGTTGGCGTCTGAGCCGAAGGCGAGGACTGGCCAACTAGGCGACTAAAAAAACCCCATGGCACTAGCCGTGAACGATATTTTTCCGTAGTGATTTTCACTTTTACGAGTTTCAAAAAGGGCCAATACCAATCCCCGGATGAGGAAAAGTGAAGATCAGTACGGAAATCGTTTTTTGGCTCGTGGAGCGTGCTTAAAAGTTACTTTTCCGCACAGCGTGATGAAAAGATACTATAACCATTCAATTATTGAAACCGACTTTACTCGAAAACTATCCTAAGTAGCAAAAAATAGTTGAAATGAAAGATGCTCCTCTTGTCAAACTGAACGCGATTGCTCTTATGCATTTTTCCGCTATCCCAATTATTTCCGGTGATATTGAGGGTCAAAAAAACCGTTCAGTTTTTGCGTCCCGCGGGGCGATCCGTGCGGGGTATTCTGTCGCACGCATTTACACGTGAAATTTGCAATTCGGATATCTCGAGAAATAATCCAGATACGAAAAAATCAGTATCTGAATATATATTCAGTTTAACAAGAGGAACATTTCTCATTCGAACTTTTTTTTCTATCATGGATAATATCCGAGAAAATTCGCTTTCAACAATTAAATTGTTAATATTTTTTTGCATTGCTCTTCGGTAAGGCGACCTTCAAATTCGGATTCCACGCACCAAAAAACAGTACCCCTCAAAATGTATATTAAATGATACTTATCGTGTGGACTAATAGAGGGGTGTACCGTGTACACATGTCAGATAAGTGATGTAAAAACATTCATTTCGTAATATCGACGCATCAGATAACAATCTCGAGGGGCCGTTGCACGCAATATAATTATCGATCGTCAGTGGAGAATCGCAGGTTACAGAGACCGCGGGGTTTTTTTGGAAGACCACACGCGTGTAAACATCAGTCAAGCTTGACTGACGGTTGATTGGCTCAGTCGAACGTTGTCTTGCGGGGTAGCTGGACGTCCTTCCGTTATTCTCCAGGAGGTATTTTTCGTTTTCTAGTAAAACCCATCGTCGTGGGGTCAAAGGGGCTTAAAAGCTATGCTTAGACACATCACTTATGCCCCTCTGACCCTACGACGACGATGTTAATTCTAGATTGGTCACAATAGGAGGGAAACGCTGCGCGTCGGCTTTCTTTAAGGGTGCCAAGTGAATTTGAAAAAAGATTCAAAATAAATTTTTGCTTTCCCTCCATCTTTGGAGAAATATGTATTCATCCATCCGACGAAATTTCAAACCCGCAACCGGAACTAGACATCGAGAAAATAAATGCGGAAAATCCTCTATTTCGCGTGACGAACATCGAGAAAGCATGGGATCAAATGGGTACGGCGGGTTGAAATATCTCTCTTATTCTCCCCGGTACCCCATTGTTTTTTGTCGCCATGACATTAAACACATCATTCCCCATATCTTATAATTTTTTCAAATTTTTCTTGAGTTCCTAGGGGGTTGAAACGTTCAATTTAATCAAAACTCCATAAGAGGCCGTGTATAAGACTGATTTTGTTTATTTAATTTCTCGATATCCATAANGAAATATCTCTCTTATTCTCCCCGGTACCCCATTGTTTTTTGTCGCCATGACATTAAACACATCATTCCCCATATCTTATAATTTTTTCAAATTTTTCTTGAGTTCCTAGGGGGTTGAAACGTTCAATTTAATCAAAACTCCATAAGAGGCCGTGTATAAGACTGATTTTGTTTATTCAATTTCTCGATATCCATAAGTTCTAAAATTTTAAAATTGTCACCGATGTTCACTATCTGTCTAATAGTATTCATTAAAAAAATTATAACTTTGTTGGTGAATGTCAATTGTCAAGGTCATTGTCAAATTCACTTGGCACCTTTAAGGGGAGACGGAACTCCTTTGTCTACATCAAATCTTAGAATTGTGTTTTCTTCTACAATTATTAATTTCTATCTATGAAATTACTTTATCGACTCGATTATCGCATTGTTGAGTCAATGAAGTAGTTTAATGAATACAAAATGATAATTGCAGGAGAAAACAATTCTAAAGATTCATATAAACGCAGGGATTCCATTTCCCCTTAAGGATATCGAAGTATCTTTTACAGTTTGGTACAGACCACACTATTGATTCAACTATTTTTAATCATTAAATTTGTCAATTAAATCGCGTGAGGAAAATTGGAAAAAATCATGAATATTCAGCGTATTTCAAATAATATTTTACACAGAATTATTATTATGTTAAACATTCGTTGTTTATAGATAAATCATTTTTCAATCTCTAAAACTGATTCGGAATAAAATGTTGAAAATTTTTTTTTTTGAAAATACAATTTTCCAAAGTAAAAATCTTTCGATATTATCTGTTGGCATGGCAATGCCCCGGTATAATTCCATAATTCCTAAAAAATGTCATTCACAATCGACTAGAAGCTTTCATCACTCATTTCACTGATTTCTTTTTATTCTCAATTTAGAATTTTTCAAACATCATGGGGAAAATTATATGTTTGTTGATGCTATTCATTGGACTAGTTTCCTCGGCGGTAATCCCTACTGAAGATTACTGGTCCCTTCGCGCTAGTTTGCTTCATGTTGAAGAAGTAACATCAATTGGAGGTCGTCTGGCTTTCAAGGAAGGCGAGCACAATGCCAACGATCTCTTGATGACTCACAAAAGGGCGGAAATTGACGAAGGTCAGGATTCAGTGATTTATACTGTTCGGGTATAGAGGGGTTTAATCTGAGAAAAAAATTATGGCACTAATTCGAAATTTTTATGGAATATTCATCATAATTTCGCCTCCACGTACTCGCACAAAATGTAAACGTTCGTGTTATGTACTGTATAATTGGTGTCTTTATCAAATATTGCTCGAAGAGTTCAGACGGTTTGTCCCTGACGTCTCGGTTGTATTGCAAATATTTTTTTCAGAGCATGTTTTAACAACATAACTCGGTATTGAACACATAATAAAAATTTCTCGATGAATTTTCGTTATAATAAACTTACTAGTTCCAAAGATCTTTACACATTTCGTATCTTAAAAATGACCCAACAGCGAAGGGACAGAAAATTAATGCAGAACGTTGTTAAAAACTATTCTGTAAAAATCTCTAAAAGAATGAGACGTACTATTTTAGAGAAAATAGTCGTTTTACATTTCACATCTCATTAAAATTGTCCCTTTTCAGCATTCTCGAACCCCAGGAAGTTCCTCCCTGCAAAGAACTTTCTAGAAGTTCTCGGAGGAATCGAACAATCGAAAGTGTTCAAAATAATGAAGAAGGTCCCCAAGGGTGCAGTTCTCCACGCACACGACACTGCATTCGTCCACTGGGAATTCGTCTACAACATAACATTCCGAGAGAATTTGTACATATGCGATAGCGATGGGGAATTGTCTCTTCAATTCTTCCAAACCCCATCGAACAGCTGCGATTGGAAGCTGCTGAGTGACCTGAGGGAAGAGCTAGCAGTCGCGGATTCCCTCAACGAGAGGATCCGCCGAAAAATGACGATGCTTGTTGAGAATCCCGACGAGAAATACCCGGACGTCGACGCTGCTTGGGCCAAGTTCATGGACATCTTCATGTTCATCACGCCGATGCTCACTTACAGACCTGTCTGGGAGGATTATTATTACCAGGGGCTCAAAGAGCTGTATGAGGACAATGTCTTGTATTTGGAGTTGAGGTCTACACTTCCACCACTCTATGAACTTGATGGGAGGGAGTATAAACTACTAGAAGTTGTGGGAATCTACAAGAATGTTACGGCAAGGTAGGATGAAGAGATGATTGAAGAAGGGACTGACGAATGAAACAATTTAACAATAATAGCAGGTCTATCATTTTTTCTTTCAATTTCTACATATGATTACGGGTAACACTGAACATAAAAAAACTCATGGAACTTCTTCAAGTATACGATCTAGATTACTCATGATTTTTGTCAGATTTTTCCTAGATCTTTCAAATTAATCATTATGTCGATTTATGCTGATGCGGTGCTTACCGCGCGACTAATGGCGTTCGTAACTTTAGCGCGACCAACGGAGTGTTAATCACATAATGTAAAAATCAGAAATTCATAACGCTATAAATTTGTGACATTTATTTTTAGGTTCAAAGAGGATTATCCTGACTTCATTGGTGCAAAAATCATTTACGCCCCGTTAAGAATGATGAGCGAAACCGAAATAGGAAATTTCATAAACGAGGCTGTGGAAATGAAGAGGACTTACCCCCATTTTTTCGCAGGATTTGACTTGGTGGGTCAAGAAGACAAGGGAAAAACTTTGAAATCATATGCTGACAAACTGAATGCAGTTAAAAACGAGATAAACTATTTCTTTCACGCTGGAGAGACGAATTGGTACGGCACCAGTACCGACGACAATTTGATTGACGCTGTTTTACTCAATACGAAGAGAATTGGCCATGGCTATGCAATTGTGAAGCATCCGAAGGTGTTGGACTACGTCAAGAAGAATAAAATTGCTATAGAAGTTTGCCCGATTTCGAATCAAGTACTTGGGTTGGTGAAGGACCTCCGTAACCACCCAGCGTCAGCATTATTCGCAGACGATGTTCCAGTGGTCGTTTCCAATGATGATCCAGGGCTCTTCGGCTCCAGGGCACTCAGTTACGACTTCTATGAGGCCTTCATGGGCATGATGTCCAAGAATGCAGACATACGGGCACTCAAACAACTCGCTATGAACTCTCTCATCTACAGCAGTCTTTCCCAAGACGAACGGTTTCACGCCTTCAACATTTGGCAGGGGAGATGGGACCGATTTATTAATGAACTCAACAATAAAGTTGTTTAAACTCATTGTACACCGTATGATAACAATGGGATTGTCGATTTTCTACGTGACTGCCATTACGATTGCCATAATTTGTGAATTAAATGCAAATGCTCGTTAATTAAACGTTTTCACCTTCATCAATTTGCAATGTTTTCATTTATTGGTATTAATGATCACCTAAGGGGCCGATCAGGCAATGACGTACGAAAATAAGTCGTAGATTAATTTAGCGATTTTGCATCTATAGAACCTAAGAATTCGACTTTTCTCGACAACTGATTGTATTGAGATATGTTGATGAAGAGAGAAGAAAAACTTTTGCTTTTAGTTGAAAAATAAAAGCCCAATCCATTCTTGAAGGAGAATTAGGATCTATCCCGCAGGTTCAGCTCGACCCTTTGCTTCACGAACGTCGCAAATCGTCTCGGTGTGAGAGGAGTAGGGGGGTCTGTCCTATATCAGCGTGCTATAAGAGAAATACGGTGACGCATGCACACCACTATAAAACGGCGAAGAGTGGGGTATAGTGAGAGGAAGCAATGACATTGGAGAGGAGAGTTAAATGACATTGGATTCTTATCTACAGTTGCTTGTAATTGATTGTAAAAAACGATTCTTTTAAATCGAAATTTACATTAGCGTTCAATCGATTTAGCCATTAGTCACGATTAATTACAAAAATTCTCACAGAAGTTTGAATCGGAGACCTTGATATTCGGATTCAGCGGGACGAAAAATGCCGAATTCAACAGAAAATCCATTTTTACCTGAAATATACGCAAATGACCCCCCAGTTTACGGACTATATCAAGCTTGCCTGACGGTTTATTAGATCAGTCGAAAGTTGCCTTCCGGTTGCAAAAGAACTTGTTCCTGAAATTAACAATTGAAAAATAAAGAACTTCGTTTTGCGAGGTAGCTGGACGTCCTTTCGTTATTCTCCAGAAGGTATTTCCCAGCGTTATGATTAATTTTTGTCGCGTTATATTATATTTTTCGATTGAATTATATTTCTTCTTCAATCAATTGCGTTGGATTTCCTGTAAAAAATCTTGAATAAAACAAACGAAAAAATGATGCTACCTCAATTATCTTGAGACTTCGATGAAATGGTTTTACAAAAATCTTCTTCGTGCATAATTGAATGAATTTGAAACATCACATTTGAAGAAACCGTCGGTTTTTAAAATTTCACTTTAAAAGAACTTTTAGAAAAAATCAAAGTAGAGCTGTGGTGACTGTGACTACAGATTCTATCAACCTGCTCACCTCCACATAACTATCGTAATGATCTTCTAACTACGATTGGATAACAGTGAGAAAAATATTCTGAGCTATGTTTGAATGAATTTGAAGCATGAAATCCAAAGATATCTAATAAATTCTCGTATTCAAAAAATAGAAAATCTTTGAAATCTGTTCTATAAATAAAAAAACAGAGATTATTCCGCATGAAAAAATTAAATAGAAAACCTAGCGAATTCCCGTCTCACATGTGTCGAACAATATTTTTTGACGATGATGGTGATGTTACGTTCAGCGAGTGACAGAACTGTGTCTTTTTCGTTTACGAGTACATGAAAAGACACTTTTAAGCACGAAGTGGTAGTAACAGTGTCAAAAAATATAATGGGACACATGTGCGAGGGGGATTTTTTAGCTCGTGTGATTGACAGCTCTAGACTTCGCACTCGTGAAAAACCCCTCGCATTTGTATCGAAATATTTCAATGAATTCAGAATATTTTTTTATCTATCGTGAAACAACGGATTATTGAAAAAAATTGAAATTCTAAAAATGAAGCAATTAATGAAATTTTTAATGGGGCTCGAAAATACATATATTTGAAAAATTTTTAAATTGCATGCATTCATTATCGCACAATTGAAGAAAAACTTGGTCACATACATACGGACAGGGTCTCAAAATGTAATTTTCGCGATTTTTGGATCATAAGGGCTTGATATAACACGACAAATCCGAAACTTAAATTTGTGCGATTACCTCGCTTCCATGCGGAAGCAAAAAAAATCAACTGCACGGAGAGAAATGTTCAGTAAAAATTACGGAACTCACAGTTCGCTCACCGATTCCGGAATCGATTCAGAAAATTTAAGTGACGATATCGTTTTATCATTTTCCACAGGCGATTCAGATAAAAATTACGGAACGCTCTGGAAAAATTCCGTGATTTGAGGTAAAAATTACGTGACTGTTCCGAAAAATTTCCCACAACCATATTTCGCTCCGGAATTACGGAAAAGATACGTAATTTTTATTGAATATTTCTCTCCGTGTATATGCTTTCGCCATTGACTTTACTGATTAATTTTTATTCTCAATTTAGAATTTTTCAAACATCATGGGAAACAGTATATATTTGTTGATGGTATTGCTTGGACTAGTTTCCTCGGCGGTAATTCCTCCCAAGGACCTTCACGGCGGTTTGCTACATGATGAAAAAGCAAAATCAATTGGAGATCGTCTGGCTTCCAAGGAAGGCGAGCGCAGTGCCGTGGAAGACGGGTCTGACGGGGTTACTGGACGTCCTTCCGTTATCCCCCAGAAGGTATTTTTCTTCCTCCGCAGGGTTTTCGTCAACTGAGCGGACATACTGCGAGGGTAGCCCGAGGGATCACGTATAAAAAAAAATAGAAAAACTTATCCCATTCGCTAGACAAATCTATTGGAATTCTCTAGAAATTCTATTGGGATTCTATTAAAATTCTAGGGAATTGTCGTTACAATTCTATTTGTTTTTTTGCGCTGATTCTATGAGATATTTGATAGGAAAAAGTCAATAGATTTCGATTTTTGTATATGAATATTCTCTTGGAATTTATTCTAAGAATACCCGGGCATGAATTTTCTAAGTGTTTCACTCTGATCCTGCAATGCAAAACAAAACAAAATACAGCGAAAAAAACGTAGAAAATCCGTGCCCAATAGTTTTAATAGAAAAAATCTCAAGAGAAAAAATCAAACAAAAAGATCGAAACCTATTGACTTGTTCCTATCGAAGATCTGATAGGAAATGTGCAGAAAACAAATAGAATTTTAACGAGAATTCTCTAGAATTTCAATGGAATCCCCATAGAATTTCTAGAGAATTCCAATCGAATACGATTTCTATTGAATTTTTTCATCCATGATCTTACTGATTTATTTTCATTTTCAATTTAGAATTTTTTAGACAAGATGATGGATACTGTAGGTTTGGTGATGACATCGATTAGACTACGTCTTTCGGCGACATCTTCTCCTGAGGACTACTGGCACCTTCGCACTGGTTTGCTTCATGAAGAAGAAGTCACATCGATTGGAGGTCGAGTGACTCTCACGGAAGGCGAGCGCAATGCCAGCGACCTCTTGATGACTCACAAAAGGGCGGAAATTGACGCAGGTCAGGATTCAGGGATTCACGCTGTCCCTGGTAGGAGAGAAAGAACGGCCCAGGATTAACCGAGGTTGGCCCATACTGGGCCAGCGTTGGGCCAATCTTGGCCCATTCCTCATCTTCCACCAGGAATTCTAGGTCTAAGGGGTCCCCTCAGAAATCTATACTTGTTAGAAATTTCGCAAGATGATGAAGACATCGAATTTGACTCGTCTAGGGGTGGCTCAACCCTAGTCTGGTCGCCATACGCGAGTGTGCGTGTTGCTTCGACGTTGCCGAGTCCACTCTATACTGCCCGGGCGCGATTAGCGGGTGTCCGACAACGTCGCGTAACGGGCAATTTCATTTAACATGAAATTGTGATCACCTTTTTTTAAGAGATAAAAAAAGAACTAAAAGGCATATGAAATTTTTTAACTTCTCTCCACTCCAAACTATTGCGTTTCAAAAATTTATTATTATTATTATTATTATTATTGAAGCTTTTTATTTATGTCCTGGGGTTTAATGAGGATCCCCTAAGGACAACCCATGTAAATTACATGATCAATAATCCATAAAGAAAGAGAATATGATAGGAGTTAGAGAACAAGATATGCATAAATCACCCACAGGATATACCCAGATAAAATGATACATTATCATTGTCATTATCAAGGTCTATGATTTCTCATCCCGTTAAAATTGTTAATTTTCAGCATTCTCGAACCCCAAGAAGTTCCTCCCTGCGAAAAACTTTCTAAAAGATCTCGGGGAAATCGAGCAATCGGAAGTCTTCAAAATAATAAAGAAGCTTCCCAAGGGTGCAGTTCTCCACGCACACGACACTGCATTCGTCCACTGGGAATTCGTCTACAACATAACATTCCGAGAGAATTTGTACATATGCGATAGAGACGAGGAATTGTCTCTTCAATTCTTCCAAACCCCATTGAACACCTGCGATTGGAAGCTGCTGAGTGACCTGAGGAAAGACCCAGCAGTCGCGGATTCCCTCAACGAGAGGATCCGACGAAAAATGACGATGCTCGTTGAGAATCCCGACGAGAAGTACCCGGACATCGACGCTGCTTGGGCTAAGTTCATGGACATCTTCATGTTCATCACGCCGATGCTCACTTACAGACCTGTCTGGCAGGATCATTATTACCAGGGGCTGAAAGAGCTGTATGAGGACAATGTCTTGTATTTGGAGTTGAGGTCTACACTTCCAGCACTCTATGAACTTGATGGGAGGGAGTATAAACCACTAGAAGTTGTGGGAATCTACAAGAATGTTACGGCAAGGTAGGATGAAGAGATGATTGAAGACGGGACTGACGAATGAAACAATTTAACAATAATAGCAGGTCTATCATTTTTTCTTTCAATTTCTATATATAATTACGGGTAACACTGAACATAAAAAAACTCATGGAACTTCTTCAAGTATACGATCTAGATTACTCATGATTTTTGTCAGATTTTTCCTAGATCTTTCAAATTAATCATTATGTCGATTTATGTTGATGCGGCGCTTACCGCGCGACTAATGGCGTTCGTAACTTTAGCGCGACCAACGGAGTGTTAATCACATAATGTAAAAATCAGAAATTCATAACGCTATAAATTTGTGACATTTATTTTTAGGTTCAAAGAGGATTATCCTGACTTCATTGGTGCAAAAATCATTTACGCCCCGTTAAGAATGATGAGCGAAACCGAAATAGGAAATTTCATAAACGAGGCTGTGGAAATGAAGAGGACTTACCCCCATTTTTTCGCAGGATTTGACTTGGTGGGTCAAGAGGACAAGGGAAAAACTTTGAAATCATATGCTGACAAACTGAATGCAGGTAAAAACGAGATAAACTATTTCTTTCACGCTGGAGAGACGAATTGGTACGGCACCAGTACCGACGACAATTTGATTGACGCTGTTTTACTCAATACGAAGAGAATTGGCCATGGCTATGCAATTGTGAAGCATCCGAAGGTGTTGGACTACATCAAGAAGAATAAAATTGCTATAGAAATTTGCCCGATTTCGAATCAAGTACTTGGGTTGGTGAAGGACCTCCGGAACCACCTAGCGTCAGCATTATTCGCAGACGATGTTCCAGTGGTCGTTTCCAATGATGATCCAGGGCTCTTCGGCTCCAGGGCACTCAGTTACGACTTCTATGAGGCCTTCATGGGCATGATGTCCAAGAATGCAGACATACGGGCACTCAAACAACTCGCTATGAACTCTCTCATCTACAGCAGTCTTTCCCAAGATGAACAGTTTCACGCCTTCAACATTTGGCAGGGGAGATGGGACCGATTTATTAATGAACTCAACAATGAAGTTATTTAAACTCATTGTACACCGTATGATAACAATGGGATTGTCGATTTTCTACGTGACTGCCTTTACGATTGTCATAATTTGTGAATTACATAAAGGTGAATACTCGTTAATTAACGGGTTTGATTTTTATCTATTTACAATGCTTTCATTGATTGATAGAATTAGTGATAGAATAGTGAATTTTTCTCCGACTTCAAATATTTTCGTATATATGTCATTGTATGGGACGCATATATATTTTCCCTATAGATATTTTTCCGTGGAGTTGGTAATCACGCCGTTAAAAATTTATGGCTGAATTTTCTGGTTCATTTTCATCACATTTTAGTGCAACTGAAATTTCAATGAATTTTGTCATTCAAAATTCAGAATTTCATCGAAAAATCAATGAGAACTGTAAATTTTAGATCAATTATTCTTTGAAAATTAGTGAAAATCGAGTAAATCCCGATTAATACATTCTTGAATTTTCAATCAATTGATGATTCATCGCAATTCGGTACTGTATGTTCATGATTTCATTGAAAATTCAAATAGGTTGGTGAGTTCTCATCTCAATGCCGTTCAAAAATTTGTAATTTTATTGAATTCTCAGTGAAATCTGAAATTCCATGATTTTTCCCCCTTCAGGGGATATATCGGTGATATTTAAGTCTTCAATAGGCCTTGGGACCCATTGAACAGTTTGTGATAGATGACGGAATACGGGCATAATTAGGGAAAATCGCGGACCCGATCGATTTTACCCCGTATAACTACGAAAAACTATTTTTTCCTGGTTTTACCTTCGATTTTAACTCTTTTTTTAATATTCGTTACACTCCAAACAAGAAAGTTAAGCATCCGTTTTACTTTATTCGCAATAGATCATGAATAAATGAATTTTGAATTTCATAAATTTTCTTTTGAACCCGCCTCTTCGCTTCAAGCTGCCATTTTTTTATGTTCATAGAAATTAGATTACGCATGATTACAATGTTCAATTACTAAAAACAATGAATTTTTAGTTCTACTCTAGAGACGCGAAACATTTATGAATTTCAAAATTCATTGATTCATGATCTATTGCGAATAAAGTAAATGGGATGCTTAACTTCATTCTTTGGAGTATAACGAACATTTAAAAAAAAACTAAAATCGTATGAAAACTATATCGTCGCATTAAAATCAAAGGGGCGTAAGTGCCAAAAAACCCATTTTAAAAGTGAAAGGGGCGTATGTTCCGAATTCCTGTTTTTTCGGTTTTTCATGGAATTTCTGACCAAAAATCGGAAAAAAAAATCTAGGAAAAAGGCGTAATTGCTATATTTCAACGGGAAAGGGGCGTATCTCCACACTTACGCCTGTTTCATTTCATTCAAAAAATGACACTTACGCCCTTTTTACATTATGTGTTGTGCACTTCGGATGACACATTTCATGTTGAAATAAAACGAAAAGGGCGTAAGTCCCACATACGCCTCTCTCTCATTATATCTTAGGTCTACTCGCGATAATGAGTTTTATATTGTTATATCAACATAAAACGCTTTAACTATTTTCTTCTTCCTTTATGGTCTCATTTTCTTCCGAAGTGTTCAAAGCAGTCACGACTCGAAATTTCATACAGATAATTTCCTGAAATTCGCAGTCATAATTTAAAAAAATGAAATAAATTAATGAATGAAATCGAATAAATTTAGAAGAAAATTTTAGAAAATTTTAGTTTAGTTACTGATATTTCTCATGAAATTGTTTCATTCAAGCAAAAAATCAAAGGGAAATAATTTGAACATTCATGATGAGAGGGAGGGAGGGGAGGTTAATGTAGAATCAAATATTATTTATTATTAGGGCTGTAGTGCATGTGATTCCGTTTATACTTGATGAATCAATAGGAACGAACAGTAACAAATGAAGGGACATATATATTGGAGTTACGCCCCTCTGTGATTATTGCTTCAAAAACAAAGGGACGTATGTGCCTGAGTTACGCCCCTTTGGAATTATTCATTCTCAATATGAGCTAGAAAAGAAACAAAAAGTATAAAAAGAAAGAGGCGTATGTGCTGGAGATACGCCCCTTCAGTACTTGCTAGTCGGACTTACGTCCATTTGCCACTTCAGAAATTTGTCCACAAAAAACCTTTCATAAGTTGAGAAAACTCCATTTCGAAGGAAAAAAAAACATACGCCCCTTTGGTATTAAGAGAAAAAAAATCTCAGAGAAATGGCACTTACGCCCCTTTGATTTTAATGCGCCGATGTATACGGCGCAGAGAGCATTTTGAACGTAAAAAAAAGCAAAAATTAAGTTTTTCGTGGTTTGCGATTTTTCCAAGTTATTCCCATATTCCGTCATATCTCACAAGCTGTTCAATGGGTCCCAAGGCCCAGTGAAGACTTTAAATTCCACCGACGTAACCCCTTGAATCACATTCAATGTCACTCTCCGAAAAACTACTAATCAACAGTCAATGAAATTTCAATTTTTTTCAAAAAGTGCATACTACGAATCCGGTAATCAGGTGATTACAAATTCCGTAATCGTTTCTTTTCCGTGAAAGTTCATTTCCTTTATTCAAAATCACTCGTTCCTGTAACGATTTCAGAATCAACAGCGAGGTAGGAATTTATTACCGTCACAATCCAAGTCTCCACCTACAATTCATTCTCAATAATTTAATCATTCGCAATGAGGCCACGATTTTATGTAACACATTAAATACGCAAAAGGTAATCCACGTTAGAATTTGCACGCTGAAGAGTCCTATCAGGGCGAAGAGAGTATGTAAAGAGCAGTGAGCAGTGAGCGTGAGCAATGTTTACTTGTCAAATGTTGACACGGTTGGAAGGACAGATGTTTCAAAATACTCTCTATAGTGTAATTAATCTGCTCTAAAAACTCCAGCGCCATTTAAAACTGGTGCATTTGAACGTTGAACTCTGGTAAATGCGAATATCCCGAAATTATTGGCCGTTGTAATTTTAGCTGAAGAATCATCAGCCAAAAAATCAGCTTAATTATTCGAACCGAAAAGCCGAATCGAATCCGAAAAACGTCGAGTCTGATCTCTCCTACTTTCATTATTATTTGCAATTACCGGTTCCATATTCTTCAACAATGATGGAAAGAATCATTGTTCTATCGATTTTATCTGCTGTGTTGGTTTCGTCAGTGCCAACTACAACTCCGAATTACTGGGCTCTGCGGAATAATATTCTACACGAGGAGGAAGTAAAATCCATCGGCGGTAATCTCCCGTTAGAGGGGAAGGAGAGAATTGCCAATACACGTTTGATGCTTCACAAAAAGGAGGAGATCGCCAAAGGTCTGTGACTAACACAACAAAAACGGTGGTAGGAGATACATATTTTCCCCGGACAGAATTTCCTGGACAAAATGTCCCCGAACAAAATTTCCCCGGACACAATTTCCTTTTTGAATATATGGACAGAGGAAAGACATAACAAAATTGTCACACAGCAGTTTTGCAAGAAAGTCACAGTCTTTAATAAACAATAAGAATTCACACCTAATAACATGCATCAAGGCAATAAGCATTGACTCAAACTAATTGCTTAATGATATGAATGCAAATGCTTGCTTGCTTTAAGAGTTCATAATATTTGCGATGCTCTTCAAATAGTCATTTGCATTTTCCACGTTATAATAAGTATCTACAATTGCTTTCAAGATGTGAGAGGCCTGCGGGGGAATTTTTTCGGAGAAATTTTGTCCGGGAAATTCGGTCTCGGGGAAAAGATTCCTCGATTCAACAAAAACAATAACTGCACGGAGAGAAATATTCAATGAAAATTACATATATTTTCCGTAATTTCAGAGCGAAATGTGGTTGTATGACATTTTACGGAACTGTCACGTTATTTTTAGCTAAAATCACGGAATTTTTCCAAAGCGTTCCATAATTTTCACCTAAATCTCCTATGAAAAATTACGATATCGTCACTTTAATTTTCTGAGTCAATTTCGTATTCGGTGAGGAACTGTGAGTTCCGTCATTTTTACTGAATATTTCTCTCCGTGTGTAAATCGATACTTGCTTAGGGTATTCTATCCCGTGTGGGGTATTCCGTAAGTGGGATAAAATAGATTTTATGTAGTATTGATAAATCCTTTCCAACGGTTTGAACAGAAATCCGCGCAAAACATGATTATAATTTTTCAATCAAAATTCAATGAAATTTATTGGTGAAAACGCTCGATTTTTTCATTCAATCTTCATATCCGGACCGAAGCGATAAACTAGGATAAGTGCAAAAATGGAACTATTTCAGGAGAGTTCAAAAATTTGACCACAGGGAGAGAAATGTTCAATAAAAATTACGGAACTCACAGTTCACTCGACGGTTATGGAATCGACTCAGAAAATTTAAGTGATGGTATTGTAATTTTTCACACGAGGTTCAGGCGAAAATTACGGAACGCTCTGGAAAAATTCCGTGACAGTTCCGTAAAATTTCCTACAGCCACATTTCGCTCGGGAATTACGGAAAAGATACGTAATTTTTATTAAATATTTCTGTTCATGTATCGCAATTTGTCACAGGAGATTCAGGTAAAAATTATGGAACGCTCTGGAAAAATTCCGTGATTTTAGGTCAAAATTGCGTGATAGTTTTGTAGAATTTCCTACAACCACATTTCGCTCCGGAATTACGGAAAGAATTTTATTGAATATTTCTCTCCGTGCACGTTTGAAAGAACTTTTGATTCAAGCAATACACGGAGAGAAATGTTCAGTAGAAATTACGGAACTCACAGTTCGCTCACCGATTACGGAATTGACTCAGAAAATTTGAGTGAAGGTATCGTAATTTTTCACAGAAGATTCAGGTAAAAATTACGGAACGCTCTGAAAAAATTCCTCGACAGTTCCGTAAAATTTCCTACAACCATATTTCGCTCCGGAATTACGGTAAAGATACGCAATTTTTATTGAATATTTCTCTCCGTGCGCGGGTGACATCTCCACCCAATTGTTGCAAACTGCTACATCTTCCGCAGAATTTGACCTCCGTGTAGAAAATTTTTCAAAAAAATTGCACTTATCCTCATTTACCACTTCACTACAGATATATGATGACATTGATTTCTTGTTGTTTGAATTCTCTCTTCTATTTATCATCTATCGACGATTAAAAATGAAATATATCGTAAAACGATTCAAGTCGATTTCGCTTTTAGCTAAGTCTTCGAGGAATATCTCCGAATCTACGGGAGATAAGGAAATTTTCATAATGAACTTTTTTATAGAACGAATTAAGGGCTACACAAAAGCTCTTAACAAAAATTGTGCTACCTCCCTTAGATTTTGAGATATTCATTGAAAACCGGCCAATAGTCAAAATCCGCTTGAACTGTTTTACCGCTTCGCTGCTGAATTCCAAAATGGTTTAATCACATTTCTCTATTTCCAGCATTTCTAAACCCCGACGTATTCCTCCCAGCAAGGAATTTCCTGGAAGCCTTCGGGGACATTGAAAAATCCCGAGTATTCGAAATAATTAAGAAGCTTCCAAAGGGTGCAGTTCTGCATGTCCATCACAAAGCAATGGTCCACGCCGACTGGATCTACAACGCAACTTTCAGGGAGAATTTGTACGTCTGCGATAGAAACGGTGAACTCTCGTTCCAATTTTTCCAAAATCCGTCGAGGGATTGCAACTGGAAGCTCTTGAGTCATCTCAGAAATAATTCAGCACTTGCTCAATCCACTAACGACAGAATTCGAAAGGAGCTGACGATGATCGTAGAGGATCCTGAGGAGGTATATTCACATATCGATGTTGCCTGGATGAGGTTTGAGGAGATTTTTGATTTCATCACGCCGATTATCGGCTACAGACCTGTCGCCGAGGATCACTTCTATCAGGGACTCAAAGAATTATATGATGACAATGTTCTGTACCTGGAGGTGAAATCCGGAGTTCCAAAACTTTATGATCTTGATGGAAGGAAGTACAGTGACATAGAGGTCGTGGGTATTTTCGAAAAGGTTACACAGAGGTAAGGCTAATCAAAGTTCAGTGAAAATTGTAGGCGGCTGCACTGAGAAAATAAGTCTTTTTTGAGAAGTACTTCCCTACTTGTATCAAGAAATTCGCCGCTTGAAAATTACCAAGCCACAATATCTCACACTAAGAAAACAAAATCTTAAGTCAAGAAATTTTACACTTGTCCGAAAGATGAGGACAATTTTTTTATATCAACAACACGAATTCTCAAGTCAATTAAAGTGGTTTTAGCATTGAAATATTTTAGAATTGACGCAAAAAAATTATTAAATGAATTAATTCAATTTTACTTGGTTGAAGAAATACGCTTTATTGTCGTCAAGAAATTGTCCTCGTATTTAGGACAAATACAAAATTACTTGACGAAAGTTTTTAATTTCTTACTGCAAGATATTTTACTCTTGAAAATTTTCAAGTCAGAAGTTTCTTGATGTAAGTAAAGACGTATTTCTCAAAAACCTTTGTTGTTGTCAGTGTGTATCTTTGATACAGCTATAATCGTACGTGGATACGTCTATGGTCGTTCCTTCTTTCTCGAATTTCCTAGAAACTCCTTGCATTCCCTCGGATTTTCTATAAACTCTCTGAATTCTCTCGAATTTCCTAGAGACTCCCTGAATTTCCTCGAAATTTCTAGAAACTCCTTGAATTTTTTTCGAAATTTCCAGAAACTTCTCGAATTACCTCGAAATGTCTAGAATTTTCTAGAATGCCAATAGATGGCGCTGCACATAAGGACCGTTTCTCAAAATGAACCCCGATATTGAAACCATAGACGTATCCACGTCAACAACATTTAATGTTTCGATTCCCCAAGTAAAAATAATGTACAGAAAACCTAACGCGTTTACAAGAAAATTTTAGTAATGAAGGAAAGACTAAAGTGAAATTTCTCATGCATTGAAGGTCGATTATATATGTCTAAAAACGAATAATGAGTGCAAAGAAATGAATTGTTTATTGTTCGTTTGCCCCACAGACGCTTGAAACTTCTTGAATTCCAGGGTCTCTAATTTTTGAGCTGCTGTTTTTTTCAGAAATTTTGAAAAGATGTGCACAATAACAATTACGAGTTAGTTCCTTGAAATTCGACTCCTACACAGTTAATGTCGTTTCTTTAAGTAAAACACCATTCATGTAAAATAGCCATAAAAACATTTCTGAAAGAATCGAGAATATATTTTTAATATTTTGAAATTTTTTTTGGCTATTTTACAAGAATGATGCAATTTTTTATATCTAAAAATCTAAATTAGCTACACAGAAGTCTAATTTCAAAAAACTATCTCGTACTTGTTATTGTACAGATTTTTTTTTCTAATTTTAAAAAAGAAAGCTCTGTAGCTCAAAATTTAGAGGCCTTCGACTATTTTTAACATTTTAAATGTATGCGGGATAAAGGAACAATAAACAATTCATATTTTCGCGCTAATTATTCGTCTTTAAACATATATCTTCAAAGTACACTGAGAGAAAAACGACCAAGTTCCCAAAAAAGTTTTGTTTGGGCCAACAAAATCTTTAGTTCAAAATTACCACAAAAATAATAGTTTGGTTTGGAAATTCTCGTAGATTCAAGAATGACTACCCCGACTTCATCGGTGCGAAAATAATATACACCAAAGGGCGAATGCTGAGCGACGCCAAAGTTCACAGTTTCATGGACAAAGTTGTGGAATTGAAGCGGGCTTACCCCGATTTCATCGCAGGGTTTGACTTGGCTGGTCAAGAGGACAAAGGAAAACCATTGCGATCGTTCGCTGACAGACTGAACGAGTTAAAAAAAGAGATAAACTTTTTCTTCCACGCCGGAGAGACGAATTGGTACGGCACGAGTACCGACGAGAATTTGATCGACGCTGTGCTACTCAATACCAAGAGAATTGGCCATGGCTACGCGATTATGAAGCATCAGAGGGTGTTGGACTACGTCAAGAAGAATAAAATTGCTATCGAAGTCTGCCCGATTTCGAATCAAGTGCTGGGGCTGGTGAAGGACCTCCGTAATCATCCAGCATCCTTGTTGTTCGCCGAGGGAGTCCCGGTGGTCATTTCCAACGACGATCCAGGTCTCTGGGGCTCCAGAGCACTCAGTTACGACTTCTACGAGGCCTTCATGGGCATCATGTCGGGAAATGCGGACATACGGGCACTCAAACAACTCGCTATGAACTCAATTATCTACAGCTGTCTCTCGCAGAATGAACAAGCCCGCGCCTTGGACATTTGGAGGACGAAATGGACCAGTTTTATCAATGAACTCAGCAGCGGAATAATTTGAACTCATTTTTTTATTATTATTGTTACTATGGGACGGAAATGAAAAATTAAATTTTTTACGATACCACAATCTTTGCTTTTGTAATGACTCTGCACTCATTTCGATGAGAGATTCGCGTATGAAAAATTGAATAGAAAATCTAGCGAATTCGCTAGAAAATTCTATTGAAATTCTACGGGGTTTTTTATAGAATTTCTATTGGAATTCTATTGAAAAATTCTATTTGTTTTTTGCGCTGGTTCTATATTGGATATTCGATAAGAAAAAGTCAATAGATTTCGAAGTTCTGTTTAAATTTGTCTCTTGAGATTTTTTCTATAAGAATGCTTGGGCATCAATTTTCTAAATTTTTTTCACTCGGATTCTACAATGCAAAACAAAACAAAATCCAGCGGAAAAAACTTGGAAAATTTTGTGCCCAATAATTCTAGTAGAAAAAATGTAAAAGAAAAGTTTAAACAGAAATTCGAAATCTATTGACTTTTTCTTGTTGAATGTCCGGTAGAATTAGCGCAAAAAACAAATAGAATTTTTCAGTAGAATTCCAATAGAATTTTCTAGCGAATTCGCTAGGTTTCCTACTGAATTTTTTCATGCGTGGAGATTTCGAGGAATCCTAAAAAAATTGATTAAACTAATTAAAGGAGATTAGGCTTCGATGGGGTTTCGCCAGAGCCGAGAAAAAAGGGAAAAACTTCACGGAGAGAAATTTTCTAGAAAAATTCTAATACGAGTACTGGAAAAAATCACAATTCAGCGGCTGTGAAAAATTCTAGTGCTGTCAAGGTAAAATTTCTTGCTATTTCCGGGGATTTCGTGAAATTTTTACAGAAATAGGGGAAAAATTCACGTTTTCCCCAATAAAATTTCTCTCCGTGTTGAGAATTGAATTCTGGGAATTATCAAGGACTTCAAAGGATCGCAATTTTCCTCACTAAATGAATGCAATTGCATTTAGAACGCCAGCTCCTTAAGATTTCGAGAAATCCTAAAAAATCCAATTGATCATGGATTAACTTGTTTTCACGGTCACTTCTAGCCATTCCCAAGAGTCTAAAAAGGCCGGAGATCCAGAAACCTAGTCTATGATCTCGAAAGAAGCTCTAATTCAAAAAAAGGAACAATTTCAATTTTGTTGAGTTCAACAACGGCATAAAAAGATCCTAAGTCTTTCTCTAATTACTCATCCCCAGAAAATTCTCTCTCTGACCTGGGAAGGAATTGATCCGAATGGTTTCTTCTTGACTGCAACGTACTTCTGATACTTCCGCCGGGAACGAGAATCTGATCCTCCGTTTTCGTTCACATTCAAGCCCCCAACGATTGGGCCCTCGAACGCGTAATAAAGTTTCAGGGATTTCCCCGGCTTCGCGTCCTTTCGCGGTTCAGGTTTCGCATGGAAAACGACCGGACTCGTGACCGAAATTTCTTCTTCTCCCTCTGGAGAAAATACAAGAGAACTTGTCGTCTTTATCGTTGTGGGTTCTAACGGTGTTTTTGTGCTTGTCATTGATCTACTCGAGTCATCCATCTCGTCATAATTGTAATAATCCTCATTTTCTCTCTCCTGGTAATAAAGTTTCACCGTAGTCGTTTGAATTCTATTCCTCTTTATGAAAGTCATGGGAAGTACTGTTGTAAAATTACGGTCATCATCAGCAATTTTCGTTGATGTTGAGGAGAATTTTATATTCATCCTCGAGGAAATTTTCGTAGTCATTGGTGAGGTCGTAACTGTCGAAGGAGTTGTTGTCTGCGAAGTGGTGGGAGTCACTTGATGGCCGGAGGGTCTCTCGGTTTGAGCAGCCGCATCGTTCGTCATCCGCTGGCAGATGTACTCCCGCCGTCTATCGCACGGCGACTCGATGAACGCCGGCTCCTCCCAGTGGTGCCAGTCAAACAGCAGACAACCCCTGACTGACGATTTTTTAATCGTTTTTTGGGGTCCCCTCCACAGGATTGCCTGCGATATTTCCTCGTTTGTGGATATCCATCGCCAGGTGATACCGCGGGTCTTGTTCTTCGCGTAGCCGCCGATCCATGCACTCTCAATTGCTTCTGAAATGCGGGAAACGATAACTGAGACTTTCGAAAATGTAATTTTCGTTTTTTTAGATTAGGTACAGTCCGGTCTCCCTACAAGATACTCGACAAAGGGGCTAGAATTGAGTGGGAATGAAATTGAGATATTGCAGAAATTACTGGAAATATATGCATCTATGATCTAGAACTTAAGGGTGCCAAGTGAATTTGGCGATGACCTTGAAAATTGACATTCACCAACAAAGTTATAATTTTTTTAATTAATAGTATTAGACAGATGGTGAACATCGGTGACAATTTTAAAATTTTAGAACTTATGGATATCGAGAAATTAAATAAACAAAATCAGTCTTATACACGGCCTCTTATGGAGTTTTGATTAAATTGAACGTTTCAACCCCCTAGGAACTCAAGAAAAATTTGAAAAAATTTGAAGATATGGGGAATGATGTGCTCAATGTGATGGCGACAAAAAACAATGGGGTACCGGGGTGAATAAGAGAGATATTTCAACCCGCCGTACCCATTTGATCCCATGCTTTCTCGAGGTTCGTCACGCGAAATAGACGATTTTCCGCATTTATTTTCTCGATGTCTAGTTCCGGTTGCGGGTTGGAAATTTCGTCAGATGGATGAATACATATTTCTCCAATAATGGAGGGAAAGAAATAATTTTTTTTGAATCTTTTTTCAAATTCACTTGGCACCCTTAATTGCACATCAATTGAATTTCAAAACGAATGGGTACTCGTTACAGTTAATAAAAAAAATTGAAAGAATGTGTCATAAAACTTGATAAAATATCTATTTTTTTACACGTATTGCACCATGTGTTTTACGTACATTTTTTGGATGGGTAGATAGATAAAACAAAACAAGATTCCACCTAATTTTTATGAAAACCAAAATTCCAATGGAAGTCTTTAATTTTGCCTCGCAGGCCCCTATTAACAAACTAAGTTATTCCGAATTTCTAAACTGTTATTTTGAAAAGGAACCATACCTTCTAATCAAACATTCGTGTTTTACGTCAGGAATCGTACTCAAATGATCATGAAAAATGAAGATCGTATAGTATCTTGTACGAAGAATATAAAATCAAAATATTTTCCCTTCCGAGCGCAAGTAAAGTAGGGGATACGTAATTCTCGGAATTTTATTCCCCTACAGTCCCTGTGGTATCTTGTACGAAGGTGGGACTGTATTCAATGCCTAATGAGTCAACGGCTAACTCTCACCATCATTTCCTTTTTGAAAATTGATCTCGATTTTTTCTAGGATTGGAGGGCTAGAAAAACTATCTCTCAATTTTTTTCAGATTTTCTCGACAGAAAAAATCATATCCATTTTGGAGATACGATTTTTCCTTTTTTTTGCTTCCGAATGGAAGCATTGTAATCGTTCAAATTTAAGTTTCCTATTTTTTGTGTTATATTGACCCATTATGATCCCAAAAGTCCGAAATAGTATTTTCATCACGCTGTGACGAAAAGTCCAATTTCCGCCACATTGTGATGAAAAATATTGTTCGTAACTCGTGAAAAAATGTTTTTTACACTTTTTTGCACTCGTTACGAAATGTACTATTTCCGACGTGTTGCGATGGGGTTTTTTACTCGTGTGACGTTGGCCTCCGAGCCGTAGGCGAGGACTGGCCAACGTCACACGAGTAAAAAAACCCCATTGCAACAGCCCAGGAACAATATTTTTCTGTAGTGATTTTCAAGTTTTCGAGTTTAGGAAGTATGTAATACCAATTCCCAGACGAGAAATCGTGAGAAGCAGTACAGAAATAGTATATTTCGTAACGAGTGCAAAAAAGTGTTTTTTGGCGAGTCTGAGGTTTATATCACGAGCCGAAGGCGAGTGATATAATCCCACGAGCTAAAAAACATTTTTTCACGAGTTACGAACAATATTTTTCATCACAATGTGGCAGAAATTGGACTTTTAGGCACGCGGAGCGTGCCGAAAAGTTCACTTTTCGTCACAGCGTGATGAAAAAGCATTTTTTAGACGGTGTCCGCACGTTCGTATGTATGTATTTGTTTATGTAACAAACTTTTTTTTTAATTTCTCGCTAATGAATGGATGAAATTGAATCTTTCTTTTCTCAAATGTCGATATTACGAAGCCCTATCCATGGCCATTAATCAAAATTCAATTCATTGATTAATTTTTTTAATTTTGTAATTTTTTCAAAATTCAGTTGTAACATGATAAGTAAAAAAATGTTCTAAATTCATTGAATCACGGCTTAAAAAATTCATTGGAATGTCCTTTTGACCCAGTTCGAAGATGGAAGCGATAGCAATAATCGTTATTTTGATTTCTGTGAAATTTTTCTAAAATTTCCTACTTTTCGAAAATCGGAATTCCGCAGATATCTATGGATATTGCGCTTGAAATGAATTCAATCATAGCTTAATATGTTTGTTTCTGTGCGACTCTATCGAAGTTAGAAGATGGTTACAGTAACTGTCTCGGTTAATTTGATTTTTAGGATAATTTTTAGAAATTTCCAATTTTTCATGAATTCCCCGGAAAGTTAGCTTTCTGATGGTTCCTTTAAATGTGATTTTCCAAAAGCATTAAATTAAGTATAAATGAAATATTCCTAATAATATTTCATAGAAATTTTCAGAAAATTTTAGCATTACATTAAGTGGAAAATCTAAAACCATTAGTTGGAAAGAAATTGATTCAATTCAAGCGAATAAAATAGGCTATGAATAATATACAATGGAAAAAAAATGGAAAATATTAGCAAAAATAACTATACTATACGCAATACAGGAGCAATTTCCCACTTGTTTCAATAACTTGGGTTCCATTCAGCTGATTTTAATTTACGACGGCTCAAAAATTTTTAATTATCTGCCATCTATCAGCAGATTTTGAGTAATTTTTTTTTTCAATCCCCAGATGCTCATAATTCATTTATTCACGATCTATTGCGAATAAAGAAGAACGGATCCTGAACTTTATTCTTTGGAGTGTAATGAACATTAAAAGAAAGCTAAAATCGTATGAAAATTACGGCGCAAGGAGCATTTTGAAAGGAAAAACACGAAAAAATGAAGTTTTTCGTGGTTACACGGGGCAATATCGATCAAGTCGGCGATTGTCCCTAGTTATTACCGTATTCCGTCGTATCATAAACTGTTTAATGGGTCCCAAGGTCCAGTGAAGACTTAAATTTCACCGACGTATCCCCTTAATTAAATGAATGTGACCAATAATTTCAATTACCCGGTCGATTTCTCATCATAATTTGAGCAAGCCTCTTCGCCTCGTCCATCGTTCTGACCTCGGCGATCTCCATACCCTCTTTTTCGCATTGGAGAACAGCCTCCGGCCAGGTCCTCCTCTGCTTGAACATCCAGTACTCATAATCACCGAATTTACAGACTGAAGCCCTTCGATTCCCTCCAACAGCCACAAAATTTCCCTCCTCTTCACTAGCAATGAGGCCCACACACTCAGGTATAACAATAAAAATGAACAATAAATTCATTTATGCCGGAACACTAAAGTTCGTTCTTTTCATTGCGAAACGTTCACTTGAAATGATTAGCGAACCCATCGATTTTGTGATGAAAAACATTCGTCTTATCGCGAATGCCCATTTTTATTGAAAAAGTCGCAATCAATTTCCAACTGTCAACAATCGAATTGTTTTCAAATCGAAAAACTCGGGCGATTGTTATCCCCCTTTCGGAAATTCCTAGCACTTTCAAATTCAGTTCCTTAACCTTCAAAATTTTGCTGCACTTTTGGCAAACAAAATATTTTTGTGCTCGTCTCGAAGAAATTGTCAACATAAATTAGAACATGATAAAATTTTCAATCGTCAAAGCACTCTATAAACACTAGGACAAATTAATCACGTCTAATCTTGGAAAATGATTTGAACTGAAGACTAAATTGTGTAGAATAAGTGAATATTTTTTTACTTCGCGAAGTTCAAGCTATTTAAAACTTTTCTAATTAATTAATTAATTAATTAATTAACTGGAAATTTATGAATGAAATGAAAGAAGCGGCGAATTCAGTGACGGAAAACAACGAATGTGTTCTTGGGAATGGAGAGGTAGTTCATTTATCCTGTTTTCTTATAAATATATTCTTGTAAATAATTAATTTCATTGAATAATTATTGGTTCATCTATTTTATTTATTATTTTATGAATGAAGTGGTGAAACGTAACACAAGAGTCAATTTTTTCACATTTTCACTATGTGAAATTATTTTGCTAATGATAACGTTTAAATAAAATGTCAAAAAATGTTTTGCAGGAAAGTTTTTCGATTACAAAAATGTCTCGTGACCTTCTCTCAGAAAAAAATAGTAAAATAATATATAATGATAAATTATTTTGATAATGAGTGACTTCGGGAAGAAATATCAAGAAACATTCAATTGCACATTAATTATCATAAAAACAAATATGAGAGACTAGCTGAGTCTATTTTCTTATTGGAATCGAATTGTCAATAAAAAAATTGTTTTTGTAGTTGTTTTCTGGTCAAAATAACCATTTTTACTTTCAACTGTTGAACATATCTGAGAACATGCTGCTAGAAATTGAGAGGTCCATTTTTTATCTGTTTTCAGAGAACAACATTCTCATGAATGAACAAATGCGTTGAGTAACTATTGAATTATCTATTTTATTTATAATTTCATTAACAAAGTGATGAAACATAACAGAAAAAGTCCATTCTTCACATTCTTATTATCAAATTATCTGGTTAATGATAAAAGTAGAAATGAAATGCCTAGAGAAATTTTTTTCAGGAAATTTCCTTGGTTTTACAAAGGCCATTTGAGAATTTCTCCTGAAGTCACTTGTTTCTGAGATTAAATGACGATCAATAATAATTCTACACTTTAAATATTCTATATTTAATGATTGATAGAATCTCCTCAGTAATGAGTGGCTTCATAAGAAAATGTAATGAAACATTTTTCAAATAAAACGATTTCCTTTAAACATTCATTATCGATGGAAATTGCATATTTGCCTAGAACTTTCCCATCATTTCACGATTCAGTTGTTATTGAATTATCATAATAATGAGTGATGCTACAAGAAAATCGGGAGGAAATCCTCCGTCGAACCACTTGTTTTCAAAATAACCGTAAAATGAACAACAGTGGAAAAATAGAATGATCAATTTTATAAAATCATTTAACTAGACACATTTGGCTTTTCTCCTGCAGACGTCACCGAGTGAGGAGACTTCTGGCAAGAGAAAGTTGCGTTCCTGGTTGAATCGATTATTGAGAATAAAAATGACTGATGGAAGGGTCCTCACAGGTGCATTTTTATGCACTGATCGCGATGCAAACGTTATTCTCGGTTCCTGCGAGGAGTTTCTCTCTGAGGATCACACAGAAGCGAGGGCACTGGGGCTGGTGATGGTGCCAGGACGTCACATTGTCTCGATTCACCTCGACCCCTGGTGGAGTGAAAACGAAAAAACAGCCTGAAGATTGAATTCTGTGGTGAAGTGGTGGAATTAAAGAAAATCAAAATTTTCCTTCACTATTTTGCAAATATCTCCGAAGCCAATAGCTTCACAAAAAAAAGCCAGAGAGATTATTTTCGGCTCTGAAAATTTCCCATAAAAATATCTTATAACATTTTCCTTCAAACCTCATCCCTTCGAGGATATTTGCATTATAATTTCCAAATATGTAGAATTCATTTTTACCACTTTTGTACTGAATAACAAAAGCCACAATATTTCCCTCGCTTTTCACAAATTTTTCACTTCTAGTCCAGATCCAACTCTTCTGGAACATTTGTACTGTCTGAACTCTTCGACTTCTCCCTCGTTTCGTCTGAAATTAATAAAGTACAATGAAAAGTGAATAAAAGTTTGGAGAATAAATATCATATGTGTATAAAATTGAAAATATAATTTCGTTTTTAAGAGATGGTGACATTCTTACGTTGCCTCACACACTGCTCCTGGATTTTGTAGTACTCTGTCTCCAGCTTCTGATTGTCTCGGACTTCTCTCTCCTTTTGTTTCTGTGCATCTTCCATTCTTTCGGATAACGAAATTGATAGATTGTCCATTCCCGCGAGGAAACTCACGTTCGTCACAGCTTCTGCCATTTTCTGGACGTACTCCATGTAACCCAGGAGTTGCTAAAAACATTCATAATACTTCAAGGTAATAGTTCCAGCAAGGCCCAGAGTTTGGACGATTATGGAAATGTTTCGAAAATAAGCGGTTCTGTGTCCAAATATCAAGAGTTTTTTTCTAAGAAATTTCCTCAGCTACGGAATCTTCTACAGTATCTTCAAAAATTCTTTTGTAATAAAAAATGCTTGTTTAGAAAATAGACTGCATTAAAATCTAAATGATAAAACAAATATATCAATTCCATATTGTCTGTTACATAATGATTTTAATAATGAGTAATTTGAGAGTGTCCAAGGATCTTTTACAGATTTTTCAATTATTAAATTCGTCAAATAAATTACGTCATAAAAACAATATGAATAGTAAGCGTTACCAAATTCTGTATTATCTATTTCGAAATTATATTTTAGGTGATGATTGATTGATATAAACTTTTTTAAGAAATTTTTTTTTTAAGTTTCAGAACAAAGTAGAATTTCAGTTTCGTTAAAATTTCTGAGATACTTTCTAATGTTTTAAAACGGAAATCGTTCGAATGATAAAATACTCGCAAAATGTTCGATAATCTAGGGTAAACCAGAGCTTAAAGGGAGGCTCTGATATTTAGATACAAAGATTAAAAAGGATTTCTGTGAAGAAAGGAATAGCTAAATTGTTTGGACATTCTCAAGGAAAAAATCTTACACTGCGACAAAGAAGGTTTTTTGAGAAGTAGAAATTCATGGCTCGAAAATTGACAAGATCTTGGTTTTTAACCCTCATCCCGCTTATTTGGACCCTTACTCTGACCCTTCTGGCCTTTATTCTGACCCTCATGACGCTCAAACTCAACAAGAATTTCACATTGAAAATTCCAAAACATGATTTTTTAAGGGAAAATTGTAATTGAGGGTTTTTTCCTTCTCTTTTCCCCTTTTAAACTACAAGATTAAAAGAAAAATTTATCTTGAGAGAAATGAAGAGACATATTTATTTTTAACAACATTTTTATAACAAAAATCATTCTCCATTGATTCTTCGGGTCGAAGGATCGATTGAAAATGGGATGAATAATCTTCAAAGACCAATAAACTAGAAAAGTAGGAATAGTTTTAAAAAAATGTGCCATAATTACACTCAAACTCAACGAGAATTTCACGTTAAAAATTTTAAAACATGATTTTTAAGGGAAAATTGGCATTATTTTGACCCTTGCGACCATTAATTTCGTCGTCTCAATTTCGAGTACCAAATTTTTATCACCAGAAGTCGATTTGAATTTTTATAAAATAGAGAGATAAAACCTGAAGAATGAAAAATTCTCAATTCTCGTAAGACTTACAGTCAAAACCTCCTTCTTGCTCTGCATCTCCATCCTAACTTCGATAATCAAATCCCGATGTTCATCACTGACCTCGAAAATCATCGTCTCCTCCATCAGATTAATTAATTGTCCCAAGAGTACCCTGCAACCAATCTTTAATAAATTATTAATCATCAAGGATGCACTCACCACTTCTCGAATCTTACCTATACTCCTTACTAGTGCTCTCAATAGCCGAATAAGTGACAGTAAGTGCCTGGCTGGCACTGTTAACCGCCTCAATACTCGACTGTTTGATCAGATAATCGAACGACAGCTTCTCAAACTCCTTCACCTCGAACTTGACCCTCTGCTCCTCCTTCAACCCGCTGTTATCGAAACCCTCGCACTTCGCGAATATTCCCGCTCCCACCTACCCAAACATGAGTAAAATGTGAGGTTAAGCCGATTAAAAGCCCTCTAAAATATTTTCTCACCATCACAGCGCCTCTCATCCTGCAGAGACTCCTCACTGCGTGTCTAAATGCCATCACAATCCTCCGAAAATCATCAAAGACTGCTAATAACTAATTGAAAAACACTGAAACAAGCCTCATAACACTTCATAAACGTTCATTCGCCGGAAGTCATCCCAACCAAACCTCGAAATATCTTCACTAATAGTGAAGTCGCCGCCTCCCATTGGCTCATTCCCCACTCCTCCAGCAAACCGCGATCTTCTTCGCAAAAAAAGTAGGGGAAGTTGGGGTAAAATCGACACTTTTGACTTTTTTTAAAATATTAGTGACGGGTTGAAATGTTGATGAAATTTAATAATTTTTTTTCAATACAAAGAACAATTCTTTTCTTTTGAGATGAGCCTAAACTGAGCTCTATTGTTACATTTGTTTCTGAGTTATGAATAATTTTAAAAAAGTCTAAAGTGTCCATTTTACCCTACCCTCCCCTAACATTTTTGTGAAGAAAACATCGCTCGTGTTACGTACGACAATTTTTCGTAGCAAAACAGCGAATTCTCATTTCTGAAATTAGTAGGGGAGGGTGGGGTAAAACGGACACTAGACTTTTTTTTAAATTGTTCATAACTCCGAAACAAATTCATCAATTGAGCTCAGTTTAGCCTCGTCACAAAGGGAAAGAACTGTTCTTTGTATTGAAAAAAAATCCTTAAATTTCATCAACATTTCAACCCCTAATTAACATTTTTAAAAAAGTCAAAAGTGTCCGTTTTACCCCAACCTCCCCTAGCGAAGTGGTCAAACGATTTAAGTCAACTTAGCTCTTAGCTGAGTTTTCGAAGAATATCTCAAAATCTAAGGGAGATAGCAAAATTTTCGTATACATCTTTTTTGAAGCTCTCAATGTGCTCTACCGAAAAGGTTATTACAAAAATTTGGCTATCTGCCTTAGATTGCGAGATATTCATTGAAAACTCATGAGTAGTAAAAATCGACTTAAACCGTTTGACCACTTCGCTACTGAAATGATATTCTGATGAACGGAAGTTCAATATTTTTCCCTAAAAGTGCGTATTCCTCGGAGCCCTATCATATATGATAGATCTCATATTACGCATATAAATATTTAAATGAACAATGAATATTAAAGATTTATATGAGCAATATGCGATTCAAAGAGAATTGACTGAGACCTGTCAACCACTTTTTTGGAAAGTAATCGGACGATAACGGCCACATACCCTTGATCCTATTAATTCTCATAATTTTCTCAAACTCCAAACTCTACCTACCAGCCAATCGGAATTTAACGGGCAAAGGCAGAGACATTATTAACGCCGATTCATTTCTTATCACCCAGTCGGAAATAATCGGACTGTTTTACCATTGTAGAATGTTGTCGTCTTCATTCTCCGGAAGTCCCCGAACTAAACCTCGCGCCACCATCTCTCCTCTCTCCAATTGGCTGATCCCCACTCCCCGAACCACAATTCCCCAAATAGTAACATTTGTGGGTGGTAAAAAGTCCCCACGCATCTCCAAAACGAGGAGGATTAAAAAACTAAATACCTAAAACAACAAAAAAGAGAAAGAGATCCTCAAATCTCCCTTCCAATTAAAAAACGAATCATTGTTCGAATCATGTCCTAATTACACCTAGAGTCATTCCAATCCACTCAGCAGTCTCATCACACTGATCTCCACGATAAATAAGATCGAGGACCAGCTGAAGAAACCAAGACCACAGAACAGACTAGAGATAAGACGATGCATTGTCTTAATTGTGTATTTTCGTACTGTTCAGGATATTAGACGTTCAATAAACCAAGTTTCCTCAGTCTCTGGGGACATGATTATTGGTGTTCAGTGAAGGAGTGCTCCAGTGGTGGATTTGACTGTGAAAAAAAAAAAGAAGTGATTTAATACGGGTTATGGGAAGATGGTGAAGGGGCAATACGGTCACTGGAATGGGTTCGCAATCGCTGGAAATATTGAGACAAGGTGTTTGGGCGAGTTTGACTGGAGGATGGTTCTACGATCCACATTTAGATGTTTTTTCAAACACTTTTCATCTTTATACGTGGCTCTTTCTACTCTGTTTGCCATTCACTATTTATCTGGTGGGTTCTGGTGTCCAAATGTTTTTTTTTATTGCTCTCGAGTCACGATTGGAAAACATTGCTTTATGCAGAGGGATTCAAAGTTTCTAGCTTCTAGAACCGAGTTATTAATTTTGAGGAGGAATGGAATATTGCTTAGTTTGAAAACTTTCGAACACTTTTCCTGCGAAATGTTATGGACATTTTTCAAAAGCGAGGGATATTGACCTCCTGGGGGTGATGATAGAGATCAATCTGCTTTGATTTTAAAAAGTATTGACGATTTTTAACACGAAATTTGTTTCGAAATTTTGAAAAATCCATGGTTACTGTATTTTGAGAAACACATTTGTAGCATCAATTTTTCTGAAGGAATTGACCTCCAGGAGGTGACGATAAAGATCAATCTGCTTTGATTTTGAAAAATATTGATGACTTTTAACACTAAATTTGTTTCTAAATTTTGAAAAATCCATGGTTACTGTATTTTGAGAAACACATGGTTGTAACATAGATTTTTCTGAAGGAATTGACCTCCAGGAGATGATGCCAAAAAATAATCTGCTTTGATTTTAAAAACTATTGACGACTTTTAACACGAAATTTGTTTCGAAATTTTGAAAAATCCATGGTTACTGTATTTTGAGAAACACATGGTTGTAACATAGATTTTTCTGAAGGAATTGACCTCCAGGGGGTGGTGACAAAAAATAATCTGCTTTGATTTTAAAAACTATTGACGACTTTTAACACGAACTTTGTCTTGAAATTTTGAAAAATCCATGGTTACTGTATTTTGAGAAACATATTTGTAGCATCAATTTTTCTGAAGGAATTTACCGCCAGGAGGTTATGATAAAGATCAATCTGCTTTGATTTTGAAAAATATTGACGATTTTTAACACGAAATTTCTTTCTAAATTTTGAAGAATTCATGGTTACTGTATTTTGAAAAACACATGGTTCTAACATAAATTTTTCTGAAGGAATTGACCTCCAGGAGGTGACAATAAAGATCAATCTGCTTTGATTTATAAAAATTCTGGAATAATTGATAAATACATAAATTCAACATTAATTGAGTCAAGGTGTCAGATGGAAGATGGACTTATAAATTATAGAAATATTCCAAAAGACAATTAAAACATTAGTACACGAATTTTGAATCCATAAAAATCATCAATTCATGTAGGATAATGTTCTCAATTTCAGAATCAATCATTTTCTTCAAGTGAGAATACAATTATACTAGACTCTTTCGTCTGATTTTCAGAGAAAATTTTCTGAGAAACAACCGAAAACTTTACATAGAGTAGAATAGGGTAAAATAATCATAATTGGGTCAAATGACCACTAAATGTTTTTTTCAATATTCATAACTCAGAAACAACTGCATCAATTGAGCGTAGTCTGCATCCATCTGAAAGGGGAAGAATTCTATTTTCCATGGCAATAAAAAATTTTCCCATTTCATTAAACAATTCAATGAACTATGAACATTAAAAAAAAGTAAAGTGTCTATTTTGCCCACCTTGCCCTGCTCGCAAAATTTTTTGCTCGTTAAATTTTATTACGCCAGAGTTCAAACACTTTTTTTCCTCCGTGTGGCTTATTCTGATCCATTTAATGCTGATGAGTAATTTCCAATTTTTTCCCCTCCAGTTTTTTCCACCAACTTTCTACGTATGGCTCGCCTACTGTGTCTCCATCGTCACTCTGTTTGGCACGATAAAATGTGTGAATCATGCTCTACATTGTGTTTACGATACCAGCGAGTGCCTGGAGGAGCCAGGACCAGCTGTAAGTCTCAAGAAGTCAGAGAGCGAGAAGCAAAGGGCGGCACGTAGTAAATGCCATGACAGGTGCCAGGATCAGGTGGATCTTGGGATTGAACTGCAGGTTTTGAATGGTAAATTTTGTTTTTTCTTTTTGTTTTTTATTTTATTTTTTTTTTTTTTGAGGGGGAGAAGGATTAGAGGAAGTCTTAGGAGGTTCCTGAGAGGATTTTGGGGGATCTTGAAGTTGATAAGACTGTTTAGGACTAATTCAGTAGTGAAACTTTAAAACGGTTCCAGTCAATTTTGACTATTGGCCAGTTTTCAATGAATATCTCGGAATCTAAGGGAGATACCAAAATTCGTGTCATGACCTTTATTGTAGAGCGAATAGTGGGCTACAATAAAGGTTATTACGAATATCTCGTTATCTCCCTTAGATTTGGAGATATTCCTCGAAAACTGAGGTAAGAGCTAAGTCGACTTAAGTAGTATCAACATAACTTTAATTTTGAAGATTAAAACCGGAAATAAATTCTAAACGAATGTTAGTATGAATAGGAATATTCTGATTGACTTTGTGCTCAATCGACAGTCTAGTATTATTGATAATAAAATCTAAAATCATCTAAAAAAATCAACTCTTAAAAGTACTCATTTCTGAAATGATATTCTCATGAACGGAAATTCAATATTTTCCCCTGAAAGTGTGTATTCCTCAATCAATTTGCAATTAGAAAAACTTGATGTTCTGTTTACTCCATTATTGATTACTAATTCATCTTAATAACGACAAAAGTTGAAATACGTTTTTGTGCTGCAGAAAATTTCCTCCAAAAAATTTGTCAAAATCTTTTCCAAGTGTACTTCTTTCTCAGATAATGAGAATTACCCTCACCCAATGAAATTTTTATACTCCCCTGTCCTCTCAATTCTAATCACTTAATAACCGTTCCAGGAAAAACCGACACACCACCAGTGGAATGTTCCTCAAGAAATTCATACATCGAACAGAATGCAGCGAGTGCTGATGCTGATAGTATAACATCAGAGTACAATCGTGAAAAGCCAAATTCAACGATCGATTTGAAAGTTGAAATACATCGTAAAAATAGTTCAGAGAGTTCTGAAGAGTCCCAGCAATTGAAGACAACTGTGATGAATGTAGATGACGAGGTTGAGTGGAGAAAGAGACGTTTGCAGAGTGGAGGTGTGTGTAGACATGCGTCTGCAGATTCCCACTGCAGACACTCGAAGCAGGGTGCCTCGAAGGCGGGATTCGAGGGGAGTAGAATTAAGCAGACTAGTTCGTTGGAGCTGGAGCAACAGCATGGGGAGGATTATCCTTACTGGAAGTCCAATCAGAGTGTTAGGAGGCTTGGATCCAATTCTGTGCCAATGGAGACACATCTTATTACTGATTATCCGCAGAGTCTTGAACAAATTATATCGAAGAAGAATAAGGAGATGGATAAAATGGATAAAATTAAAATGCCAACGCATCCACAATCTTTAGAGGTACTCACTGAATGTTAAAGGTTATTAATACCTGGGAACAGACATTGAGGCATTTTGTCGTAAAATTACTTGCTTCGAAGTAAAGTGTGTAATTTTTTTTAAGCTTCAAACCTATCGGTTGCACAGCTAAAAATCAACGAACATTGTATGTTTTCAATATCTTTTGTTATCCGGGTAATTGTTTGTCAAGATAATTTCATTGGAGGTTTTCTTCAGTGAAAATAAAAATTCCCATATATTCTACGTTTTTAATATTTTGTTATCTGAGGTTTTAATTATGGAATTATCTTGGTAATGAGTGATTGTTAAGAGTCATCTTTTTGTAGAAAATCTTTGCAGTTGTAAAAATGGTTTCTTGAAATTGGTTTATTGACTTCTGACCATTCGCTGTTTTCTTAGATTGATAAATATGATTCTGATTGAATTTATTTTCATTCCAGGTAATTGCTAAAAAATTACACCAGCAACTGGTGCACCCCCAGAGTTTGGAAACAATTGATGCAACTAGCAAGAATGCTGGTCCATCAGACGACAATAATTTGCCACTGCATCCCCAGAGTTTAGAAACAATCAATACGAAAAAAGTGAGTAATTATTGTTCCAAATTCGTCCTCAAGACCTCAATAAAATGATGGAATTCTGTAAGGCATTGGAAAAAGCACGTCCACTTATTTTTTCAATAACTTTACTATCAGTCAGTTTATGAAAGAATGTTTAAAAAATATAAAAAAAATTAATAGAAGAACCTAGCGCTTTTTTAAAGAAATCTACTGAATTTCTCTTGAAACTCTACAAGAATTACTTTTGAAGTTTGATTAGAATTTTATTAAAAAATTCTATTTATTTTTTGCACCATTTCTATAGAAGATGCAATTTTACCATGTCATTTTGTTAAGAGACATTGGATAGAAAAATGTGAATTGACTTTTTTTTCTATAGAACTCAAGTACAATATGGATAAATATGAATACATTTTTGCATTTGGCATCGTAGAATAATAAATAAGTTATATAGAAAAATCAATATCTATGGACATTTTTCTTTAAACAAATATCTATTCAAAAATTCGGGGGCATTGTATAATTTTTAATAGTATTGGCGCAAAAAATGGAATCTTTTAATGGAATTCTGATAGAGTTCCAATATAAATTGAATAAAATTTCTCGGAGAAACACTAGGTTTTTCCATTACATTCTTCCATACGTGGACTCATTCAGTGAATAAATTGATGTTTGGATTATTTAATGATTGAATTCAATCATTGCAGGTATTAAGACAGAATACCCTAAAACGTAATCAACTTCAATTACTTCCATACCCGAGTTATGGCTCTGAAATAGTCCATCCAATAGCTGAACAGAGTGACGAACAATTTGTAAATGAGAGTGCAGGTGGTTACAGTTTGCGTGACTCCTACAGTCCACTATTAGCAAGAAAAACGAAGGGAGAATCGGGTGTATGTGCCAATCGTGATCGTAGTTTGAGTGCCGGTGGGTTTGAGGACAGATTTTCGAGGTTCAATGGAGAAGTTGCTATTGACGATGACTCTGCCAATTCTCGTGAGGCACTTCTCGAGGAAGCGAAGCCAGCGTACAAAAGGAGGTTCAGCAATGCGAGTCAGAGTAGTCACGAATTGTCGGACGGTGAGAGACGAAAAGAAATTGTAGATGATCGAGAGAAAAAATTGGATGACCCTCTGAACTCGGGGAGTATCGTTGGCATTGACTGGCTGTTCGAGAATGGAGACTGTGCGGTGGAACCTTGGGCGAGCAAAAGTGAGTACTGGGAATTTATTAACATTTGTTAGCGGTTTATGTAAGTGGTGCTAAAGTGAGAAGATCCTGGTTGGAAAAAATTGAGGAATTTGGATTTTTTAAAATTTATGATCTGTGTGTTTCAACAACTATTACGTTTAGAGGAAATGTGAAATGACTTTTTTGTGAAAATTTTATGAGGTACCAAAAATGTTTCAGGATATTTTTTGATCAACCTAATGGTTTCAGAGATATTTACAAAATAAGGGCTTGAAACAGAAGAAGAAATACTAATTCCTGATAAAACATAAAATCCATAAAATCAATATAATTTCACATAAATTCAAACAATAGCAAAATAATTACATAATTATACAGAAATTTTGAAATAAAATCATTCACAATTAAGGGGCTTTAGGGAATTTTATAAGCAACAAAAAATGTTTCAGAATTTTTTTCGATGAACCTAATGGTTTCAGAGATATTTACAGAATAATTATTCAGAAGAAAAAAGACAAACGCAATAACAGATTCACATAATTTTGGTAAATCTTTCTAAAACTATGAAAATCATTACAGAATACAAAATGCATTTTTCTTACTTGAAAGAGCGAAGAAATGTTCTGTGAAATTCTATTTCCAATCTAATCCTTTCAGACCCATTTCCACAGTAATAATAAAAAAATAATAATAAAGAAAGTGTTAAAAAACTTTTCTTCCAGGCCCTGAAATTATTTACAAAAAAGATTTGCTGACACATCTAAACCTAATAGTTTGTTTTTAATAATTAAAAAAGTAATCCTCTCTTTCATAACGAAGTTGAGGGAATTAAGTATATTTCATTGAATGAAACACCAGGATCTCTTGAAAGAATTGGAAAGATGAAATTAACAACCCACGTAGCTAGAGAAATTAGGGAATAGTGGCCCCCGCGCACCTAAAATAAGCCCAAAACATTATTATCAATTTCTGCTGCCCAGTTTATTGGACATTCACGCATTCTGAAGATACCTCCACTTCAGGAAGTCTGCAAACAGCTAGTACCGATTGTAAGTCTTCCAAAGTAGGAAAACACAGCCTCGAATAGAGCTGTGAGAAGTCTGTAGGGATTAGGCATTATTAGATATAGCAATAATAGTATTACAACTTTTTATGGAATGTCTTTATTTGAATCAAATGATAACAAATTCATCACGTGTGTTATTCCCTCCTCATCTCCCTAACAACAGATTTTACAGGAATTAAATACCGGATTTTTTCAGAAAATTAAATCGCAGTATTAAAATTTCTAATGTTCACTATTTGAAAGTCTATTCTCGGAATGTAATCATTTTTGTTCCATTGAATGTCCCATTTTCTATTCGCCTGAAATTCGTAAGCAAGATGCTACCATCACCCTGTGTATAGAAATGCCGTCGAAATTAGTTTTAAAAAAATGTTAAAAAGTTTAACATTTCAAAAATAATTTCCCGACAGTGTAGCTTAAAACTATATTACCAGTACAGATAGTAGCACAGGAATGCTTTTAATTGTTAATAACTTGAAAACAAAATGGAAAAAATTTTAGTAATTAATGCATAACCTAATTAAGACTATAACGATCCCACATGACTCTCACATTGATATAATCATTTTCTTCCTCGAAGGAAATACCCCAAGAAATAAACAGTAGAGTTCCCTTTATTTTCCGCTTCCATTATTTGTCTTCTCTTCTCCTCTGGGCTTGTTCTCCCTCAAAAAGTTCTCCCACTCCTCATGCATTATGCATCCTTGTTTACAACGTCATGCGCGTAGAATTGCGCAATGTCTCCGTAACGGGATGGTTGCCACATGGTGAGAGTCGTAGCTTATATTGCTTCTCTCCCACTACTACGATTCCCCCTACCCAACATCCACCTTCCCCCTCCAATGCGTCCCACAGTGAGGGAGTGGGAGAAATTCCATTATTCCGACTTCACACGCAATTCACTCAAGGACACGTCCCGAGCCGGGAAAATAAAGGGAACTCTACCGTAGATCAGATAAATGAGAAGGATTCGAGACACACCACAACGAAGCACTCCCATTCTAGTGCACATTTGATTCAAATAAAAAATGTCCTCGCCGCCGTTTTGGCCAGCTGACGCCCCCTCTCTTTCTAGACTACCAACCGAAAGACCCAGATTCAGGGTCCTCGAGTACAACCACCCTCAGCATCGACAACGAGGTCAAGAAGACCCTGCTGCCCCAGGGTCCGCCCCTCGACTCAAAGCGTCACCAAGGGGCGATCCCTAAACAGCACCGTCCGAAGTCCCCCAAAGTCTCTCGACTCCTCTCCTCCCTCCCATCACCCCCCTCCCCCCTCGCGGAACCGCGGCGGCCCCTGACGCGACGCGACTGCATCCGCCGCGATCGCCCCGAGCCGAAACCGGACCCGCCAAACAGTTCGAATCACGAGCTCTCAATGCTCCTCTCGAAATCCACCCCCCGGAATCAGCGATTAAAAGAAGCGATCCTAAAACTTAACACGGAATATCAGTCCCAGACCCCTCAGCCCACGCAAGATACTCCGGGCCCGAGTAGAGTTCCCGTCCTCATGCCGCGGAGGAACCGCCCTCGAAGGTTGAAGAGCAACCACAGAGCGCACCGCGCAGGTCCTCGTTACGGATCTCGCGAGGATTTCGCACCGATAGCTGCCCTGCTCGGTCTGATCTCAAATGGCGAGTGCCACCTCGCGACGAACCACAACGACACGACCGAAGGTGCAGTCCACTGCTACCGCGACGACAACGGTCGCTGGCTGGCCTACACCTTCGACGAGAAGGGCTCCGGGGTGGCGACATCAGTACCAATTCCCCCTGGGCCCAGTGACAAGCTCCTCAACACGTTGCTAATGAGACAACAACTTGGAGTCGATCATTACCCGCAACTGGACGGGAACCTAGAGATAGCTGACTCCTTGAGCAACAGCTACAGCAGTTTGTCTCTAAACTCAGCAGGATTAACTGTGATCATTGATACACCCCCTGTATTATCGAGCCCTGCGAGCAACCAGCTGAAGAGGACAATTTCTCAAACGCTTGTGGCTTCTGAACTAGCGGACTCCGTTCACTTCGAAATTCGTAAGATGGCTGAGCGAGACGTCTTCTTTCGGATGATTGCCGAGAGGGATGAAAGGATTCAAAATATTTTTGAGACACTAAGGTCCCACGTGGTAGAGAATCCCAACCCGAGACCTGCCTTTCCTTCTCCGAATCATCAAGAAGCGGACATCAACACTAGTCTGTCCTGGAATCGTTTCATCGATGGGTTAGACGGTCCCGGTGAGAAGGCGAAACCCACGAGACATTACTACAAATGGAAGATTGGTAGGCTACCTCATATCAAAGTGAGGTTCGACAGGCTATCGTTACTTGCACTGTTGGATAGGAATTTAACGGTTGTTGAGACTATAATCTCGACGTTACTGGCCGTTCTAGTTGCTGGATTGGGTCTTAGATTGCTGCAGCAAGGCTTCTACAAAGACATCTTCGCTTTCATCTTCTGCTTTGTGACGGCAGGCTGTCAATACTCGTTACTCAAGTCAGTGCAGCCCGACGCGGCTTCTCCGACTCATGGCTTCAACCGGATCATCGTCTTCTCAAGACCGGTCTACTACATCATAGTCTCGAGTATAATCCTTATCCTCAACGAAATATTGAGGAACTTCAAAACATCTGACTTTCGAGTCTATGGGTTGCGAGTGGCTGACTACGATGTGATAATGCAGGTGAGGAACGTGTTATTGATCTTCCTGTTGACGTTTCCCATCATCTTTTCGTTGGGACTGTTCCCCCAGATCAATACCTTCCTCATGTACATCTGTGAACATCTCGATATCCATTTGTTCGGCGGCACAGCGACAACCGGACTCGTGTCTTCGATCTACTGTTTAGCTAGAAGTGTTATTACAGTCGCCACACTCTACGGATTCGCTTACGGCGCCTTGACTGAGCCCAAGTCCTCCCAACACATCCTCTTCTCCATCTTCGTTGGACTCCTAGTCGCAATCTCTTATCACCTCAGCAGATCCTCCTCCGATCCCAGTGTAATCTGGGACATTGTCAAGACAAATCTCTGGCCTCCGGAGATGTACCTCGAAGAGATGGAAGCGAAGATCATAGAGAACACTTCGAGAAGAGAGCCACCAGCTGCTATTTACAAAGAAACCAAAATCAGAACCTCAGGAAGGAAGAAGGACGTCAAGATCAAATTGGGAGAGCAGATCTCGGACTCCGAATTAGTCGATCCTCTCCCAAAGAAGCTGAGGACAACGGTCAAAGCCAGATTAAAGAACGATCTCATAGTGTGTGCTGTCATTGGAGTCTTATCCTTCGCGATTCATGCCTCAACAGTTTTCACTGCCCTCCAACCAGAATTGAACCCAGTCCTCTGGGGGATCGCCAGTTGCCTAGGTTTCCTCCTCCATTACATAATTCCAGAACTCAGGAAGCAGCTTCCCTGGCTCTGCCTAGCCAGACCTGTCCTGAGATCCCACGAACACGCTCAATTCGAAGTCAGAGAACCCGTCAAAATCATGTGGTTCGAGAAGGTCTACGTCTGCCTCTGTTTCCTCGAGAGGAACATCCTCTACCCCATCGTCTTCCTCGGAGCTCTAACCGAAAACTCCCCACAAATCGTCGAGAAATACGGACAGAGCATAGGACCTCTAATCATTGTTGTCTGTGGCCTCAAAAGCTTGAGATCCTCCTACGCAGATCCTGCGTCGAGGTACCTCGTCATCGTCTTCGCAGTTCTCTTCTTCCGGATCGATTACTCAGGACTATCAGAAACTTTCCTAGTGGACTACTTCATCACCAGCATAGCCTTCGCCAAAATTCACGAGTTATTACTGAAGCTGAGGTTCGTCCTGACTTACATTGCGCCCTGGCAAGTCACTTGGGGCTCAGCCTTCCACGCATTCGCTCAACCCTTCTCAGTCCCTCATTCAGCCATGCTCTTCGTTCAAGCCACAATATCAGCAATCCTCAGTACACCTTTGAACCCCTTGCTAGGAAGCGCTATCTTCATCTGTAGCTATGTGAGACCGTTGAAGTTTTGGGAGCGAGATTACAAGACCAGAAGGGTCGATCACTCAAACACCAGGATGTCCTCGCATTTAGAGAGGAACCTCGGGGCTGACGACAACAATCTCAATTCCATATTCTACGAGCAGTTGACAAGATCTCTTCAACACAGTCTCTACGGGGATCTGGCGCTCGGAAGATGGGGCAATGTCGAGCAAGGAGACTGCTTCCTACTAGCTTCAGACTACCTCAACTGTCTCGTCCACGTCGTCCAACTGGGAAACGGTCTCGTCACCTTTCAACTACGAGGGCTGGAGTTCAGGGGGACTTACTGTCAACAGCGGGAGGTGGAAGCCATCTCCGAGAGCATCGAGGAAAACGACAACTGCTGCTGTTGTGAGATGGGTCACTTCTCGAATGTTCTGAGTATGAATGCGGCATTCGGCCAACGCTGGCTAGCCTGGGAGGTCGCCAGTGCCAAGTACGTCCTCGAAGGCTACTCCATCTCTGATAATTCTGCGGGGTCGATGCTTCAAGTCTTCGACTTTCGGAAAGTCTTGGTTACCTATTACGTGAAGAGCATTGTATTCTATGCGATCAAATCGACGAAGCTTAAGCAGTGGCTGGAGAACCCTGACATCATCGAGGCACTGAAGCCAACCCTCGAGAAGAACTTTGTGGATTTGGATCCTGTCTTCAATATGAACATCGATGAGGACTTTGACTTTAGGGCTAGTGGCATCACCAGGAGTAGTTACTGTAATGTTTATCTCGATTGGATTCAGTTCTGCGCTGTGAAGAGTGACAAGTCACTGGAGAGGACTAGGGACTCTTGTCTGGTGTCTTTGTGCCTGGCGCTGAGTCTTCTGGGGCGACGAGTCCTGGGAACTGCGTCTCATAATACTCTCTCCAGTGTTGAGTTCTTTCTCTACGGACTTCATGCCCTGTTCAAGGGGGACTTTAGGATTACGTCTATCAGAGATGAGTGGGTGCTGCATGATGTCGATCTGCTGAGGAGTGTTGTGGCGAAGGGGGTGAGGATGGCTTTGAAGCTTCATCAGGATCATTTCATGAGTCCTGAGCAGTATGAGGAGCCTGCAGCCCTGTTCGAGGCGATCGACAATCATGATAGACATCTTGTCATCAGTCATGAGGCGGATCCGTTATGGAGGAATGCTGTGCTGAGTGGGGCACCTAGTTTGCTGGCGTTCAGGCACATCCTGGATGATGGCATCGACGAGTACAAGGTCATCATGCTGAATAAGAGGTTCTTGAGCTTCAGGGTCATCAAGATGAACAGGGAGTGTGTGAGGGGGCTGTGGGCCGGGCAGCAGCAGGAGCTGGTTTATCTGAGGAACAGAAATCCTGAGAGGGGCTCCATTCAGAACGCCAAGCAGGCGCTCAGGAATATCATCAATAGCTCTTGTGATCAACCCATTGGCTATCCGATTTATGTTTCTCCGTTGACCACGAGTTATGCGGAGACTAATGAACAACTGTGCTCTATCGTCGGGGGACCCTTGAGCTTGAGTGCTATTAAGAGCAATGTGCTCAAACTTTGGAGGAAGGTCAGGAGGAGGTGCGGACAGGGGTGCTCCAGCGGGGGGACTGCTGTGCAGGATGATGGAGGCTTCGGTAATGATGGGGTCTATGTCACTGCTCATAATATTCATTTTGGTGAGTAGTTCTTCGGTTTTTTCGGGGTATGGGGGGATTGATGATGATTTGGGAACTCGAAGGACTCGAGCTCTCTCAGGATTTTTTGGGGAATAATGAGCGTTTTTGAAAAATTCTAGTGCATTCATCGGAATTTTTTTATTGAGGTTTTATTCGCTATTGGTAATCCTATTTGTTTTGCGCGGATTTTTATAGAAAAAAATATCAATAGATTTCGATTTTTATATTCAAGCTTCCCTTTCGATTTTTATCTCTATTACTTACTGATTTGTTCCTGAAAATAGTTTCTGTTGGACATTTTCCATTGAAACCAGCGGATAATTGTATCTGTTAGGGGAAAGTGCGGCAAAATGAAACAGCCGAAAAACTATTTGGCGCAATTTAAGCAAAAAAAAAAATCATGTCGCGCCGTGCAATAAGTCGAGTTTATCGCACGCTGCGCTTCGCGCAGCGTGCTTCAAACTCAACTTCTGCACGATGTGGCATAAAATAGTATAGACCACTCGGGCATAAACTTCGTTTTCAACGAATGTGAATACAGACCTCGCCTTCGGCTCGGCCTGTAAACTTCACATTCGTCGAAAACGAAATTTGTGCCCTTGTACTCTAATGTACTATTCTATTCTAATTCTATTATAATATTCTATTCTATTATTCTATCTATCTATTCTATTATATTCTATTATAATTCTATTATAATTCAATTGATTAGATTAGGCCGATTACACTTTTATTTTTTCATTCGATTGAAATTCAGCATCATATTTCATTTTTCCATTTTACTGAATGGAAAATTATTATTCTCATCAGTCCTCCGAACAATAAACAAAAGTTCATAAAACAAAATTTAATAAACAAAATTTTTGTTCTTAAATTGCGTCAAACAATCGTTTTTCGACTGTATCATTTCACCTCACTCTCTCCTATTTATTTGTATATAACGAATTTTTTTTCTCACAATTTAATTGACAAATTTGATGATTGAAAATGGTTGAATCTATAGTGTGGTCTGTAGCAAAATGTAAAAGATACTTGGATATCCTTAGGCTATGAAAAAGCATCCATTCTCAAGCAAAATCGCATATTCGGAATTTTTATCATATCTAGTTACCCTTGACAGCCCCGAATGCACTTGTGGAGCTGATGAACAAGATATAAATCACGTACAATGGAACTGCCTCCAGTATCCCAATTGCAAAAGAGATCTCATGATATCCAAGCTAATTAAACTCAACTACCAAAGACCATACACCATAAATGCGTTCCCTGGCGTCAACGAACCTGGAACCTCTCAAAATAATCCATAAATTCATTAAAAAATGTAAAATTAGAATCCAGTGTAACTATAGACAACCAAATGCCAACTAATCTCAAAATATAACAAATTTGTTTACAACGTTTTGTAAATAACCCGGTAAGGGTTACTATATATAAAAAAAAAATCTAGTTATCCTAACACAAAAAATTGGAAATATAAATTTGAACGATTAAAAGCTTGGATTCGGAATAAACTGTAAAGCTGCGGAATTTGCCAATAGAAGCGACCGAAAACCATCAGAATTTTCACCAGAAATCCACTACAGATTTCCGTAGAATTCGCTAGGTTTTTCTGCAAAACATTATCGTGTCTATCTGCACCAATGTTTAACTAAATTCTTCACTAACTCACCTATTTCTCTCAGTAGGGTTCAGTCAATCAGGCCACAACACCTCAGGCTCGCAGTCAATGGACTCCGGCTGTCAGATAGGCGGTTCAACAGGTCGAGGTTCACTGGGACGAGCGAACACCGGCTCCCTCGGTGGCAACCGAGGCTCTCTAGCCTCAGTGGGCAAACCCACAAGTTCAACCCTAGCATCCCTCGCTGGACTTCTCAGTAACAACGACATCAAGACCGAATCAAAGTGTGAAACGAGCTTCTCGAAGCCAGAGAAGGACGAAATATCTCAACGAGTTAGGATAATGGATCCCAATCAGGTCTACGACGCTATCAACCTCGGTCGGAGGATCGATGTCATATGGCCTGATGAGAGAATGAGACAACAGGGGGGCAGAACGGGCTGGCAGCACTGGGTACCAGAGAGGGGAATGGAGGGCTGTGTTGTGCACAGGTGGCTGCCCAATCATCGTGATCCCAATCGACGTTCTCACGTCGATAAAGTCATACTTCTTGTCAAAATTGATGATAAGTACGTTCCCATTGCTGAACAGGGCGTCAGGGACTTGGGTGCAGAAGTTTAGGGTAATAGAGAATTTTTTTTATTGAACAAAAGGCGTGTGATGGATGAATGAAGGGTTACTGCTTTATTATTGATTATTCGTGGTTAATTAGCAGCTTCATTCCTTCCTTAAGAGTGATTAATTCATTGATAGAGTTTATCTGTTGAGGTTTTTCTTTGTGGAGAATATTCTGGAGAGGATGTTGATGGTTCGGATGAAAAAAAAATTAATTTAAGAACGTGGTGAATTTGCTAGGAAATTCTGTTGAAGTTTTAGTGAACTTTCTATTAGTTTTTGGCTGATTCTATTGAAATGTTCAGGAGAAAATATTCTGTAGAAAAGGCAATAGAATTCGTTTTTTCTATACAACTTATTCTGTTAAGATATTTTCTATAGAATTCCCTCGGCTCAAATTTTCCAAGTTTTTTTATGTGATTTTCTTGATGAGAAAAAACGAAAAATGGAGTGAAAAAACTTGAAACAATTTAGCTGAGAAAATTCTAAATATCTCAATAGAATGAGTTGTATACAAAAATTGAATTCTATTGACTTTTTTTTATAAGATTTCTTTCATTGAATGTTTCAGTAAAATCGGCTAAAATTAATCGAAAGTTTAATAGAAATCCAATAGAATTGTCTTGCGAATTCGCTGGATTTTTCTATTGAATTTTTTTATGTGTGTCGTTATTAGTTGTGAAGGGGCTGGAATGTTTTGGGTATGGGGTGGAGGGATGAGAAGGGATGAGTCGAAAATCTGTTGGAGAACTAGTCCGCTTATTGGAAATGTAGAGATGAATTTTGTGCGATATTTTGGGTTAAACGAAAGAGGTTCCCAGACATTTTTCTGTGAACATAATAGTGTTGAAGATATTTTAGAAATAATTTCTAAACATTTTTCTGTGACTTTCGGAAGTCCCAATTTGAAACTTGAAGATCTCAATTTTAGTCTTTTGAAAGTCTTAACTTGAGACGTTGAAGTCTCATTTTGAAATCTCATCAGAGGATTTCAATTGATATTTTCAAGTCTCAAATTAAGATTTTCAAATCTCAACTTGAGGCATTCGAAAGTCTTAATTTGAGACTTCCACAAGTCTCAATTTGAGATCATCGGTCTCGAATTAAAATTGTTTTTTTTTGGTGGAGGATAATGGGACAGTTCATCAAATTTTCAGATATTTACCGAAACTCGCAGCTTATTTGGAAAATATCTCAAAGACTATTGGGTTTTGAGAAAAATGTCGGAAGATTTTTGTATAAAGAATGAGATTTTCTGAAAAAGATTTATTTGTGAATTTTTTAATGTCTCCATTTCGAAGATATTTGCAATATTCTATGGAATTCCAATGGACTCTTCTTTTTTCATCACTCTACAACTTTGATTATGATTTTAGGAATAATGATTATTGCACTTATGAAAATTCAAAATTAAAAGTTAAATTTAGAAAATATCCTGGAATATCTCCCTCCGCAAAGAAAAATGATATATACCAAACAAGTTGTACTATATTATGTATTATACCGTATATCATTCAAGGATTACCCAACTGTCAATGAAAAACATGGAGTCCTGAACACTGTACATAAAAGTAAATACTCTTGTCGTTGTTGTCTATATGAGAATTATTTAACTAATGTTGAGTCAAACAGCGACAAAGTATTAACCAAAATAATAGAAATATGCGGCTGTCAAGAATTGTAAATATCGTCATTCGTGTTTTTCTACAATTTTGTTACAATTTTTTTTAAAAAAAGACTATGAAAAAATATATATTAGTCACTAAGCTGTAGATAGCCAAATGAAAAGTAATTGTTTAAGAGTTTAAATAATTGGGGGTGGAAGACAACAAAAAGTATCTGATTATATTGTGTAAATTTAGTAAATAGTTAAGGTGAATGGAGATGAATAAAAATTCTTTATGGAGGTACATATCTATGAGCCAAAAACACTTCAATTGGCCCTGAATTCGAGTTTATTCGAATATTTTCGTGATCTGTAGCTTTTTATTTTTTTTTTGCTCGATTCATGAAATCAGGGATGAAGTTGTATAGCTCATTTCGCGAATATTTAGAGACTATTCAGTAGCTAAGCGGTAAAACTGTTCAAGTCAATTTAGCTCTAGTGGAGTTTTCGAGGAATATCTCCAAATCTAAAGGAGATAACGAAATTTTCGTAACGACCTTTCTTGCAGGGCGAATTGAGGGCTATAAAAAAGGTCGTAACGAAAATTTTGCTATGGCCCTTAGATTCCTAGATATTCATTGAAAACTGGCCAATAGTCAAAATCGACTTGAACAGTTTTACCATTTGGCTTCTGTATGGGATTCAGAAAAAAATGTTGAAACAGTTTTTGTTGAGAATTGTGTGAATGAAATTTTTTTTGACATTTTTTGATAAATCTAGTAGTTTTTGGGGTATTTGCAAAATGACTTGGAAAACTGCAGATTATTTTGCGAATAGTTCACTTTATATAGAAAGAAGTCTTTTGACTTCTCGATATATATGCAAAATTACCACTGAACAACAGAAATTCTCACCTTAAGGAGTGGTTCACCCTAGGAAATAAACTTTTTCGTTTTTCGAGAAAAAAAATTAAAAATATTATTTTCCGTGTAATTTTTCTTTAGGAATTCGATTTTTAGGTCAAACTTGTCTCTAGCCATTAAAAATTAGAGATTCAAAATTTTTTTAATGGAAAAATCAACCTCGAAAAAATCTCCAACATATTTTTGGAAATTATCGATAAACGAATAAATGTCAAAACGTATGTTTTCCCCCCATTTTTTAATAATTAAGGAGCAAAAATGTGTGATCATATTCAAAAAACTATTTTTTAAAATACGTGGGGAATTTTATCAACTTTTTGATTGAAAAAAATTTGAACCCTTAATTTTGAGGCCGGAGACAATTTTGATCGACAAAATTGTTCAATTTTTTTTTCTTGAAAAACAAAAATTCTCGAGATGAACCTCCCCTTAACATTCGTTGGCTTACTCCAATCGTCAGCATCTGCTCAATCTCAATTGTTCTGTTTTTATTATTGAAAAATGGTTACTTACTACTTGCTAACAGAAGTTCAGACATTTTTCTGGTGTAAAGATTTTATAAAAATAAAAAAAATATACACAACCATAATTCACTGGACATTATTAAGGAAATACGAAATGAAATTATAGTTTTTTATGTTATTTTTTGGGCCATAAATTCTTATTCACATCATGAGAATAATTTTAAAAAATCACGAAACTCTGATCAGATGACGTTAATCATCTTTTATAGATTTTTTACACCAAAAATCTTTTAACATTTCTTTTACTTATCATTGTGTAAATAACCAGCGAATCACAGCATTGCCTTATCGTGGTGTTAGCGATTGACACCAGACTGATGATGACGAAAAATAAATAAATACAGAAGAGATGAAATACTTAGCTAGTCTTTCAATTGCTGGGGACAATTAGTTTAATGAATCATCGATTACAGTCGAGAGATGTGAAATTTTAATAGAAACAAATTATGACAACAAAATTCAAACAATGCAACTGTTACCGGCCTATTATCTCTATTATCAATAATTCAATTCACCCATTATTCGTACGAATTGTGTCGATTCATGCGAGAGGAGAGAATGGATTATGCAAATCGAATAATTTAATGAAAAATGAATAAAAAGCTCAAGAAGCAGATTTATATAAATGATAAGCCACGCTATTTTTAATTTCCTCAATAACGATTTTCCATCACCGAAATGAAGAATAATTTTGAAAATTTGATAAATAGCTAACTCTCGATATCAACGAGACCAGCAAGAGAAACATTAAATAGTGTAAATCCGATCATATTGAAGATACAGCTCGTAAATAAAAATTGATTAATGAAGTTATAGCGTTGTAATGTCGATCTTATTTAAACGAATGCAATTTCCTATGACATACGATTTTAGTTGGTAAGTTATAACTGATTCAGCAGCGAAGTGGTGAGAACGAAATGAATGGGGTCCAGAGTGAGCAAATGTGTTGAATATTTTCGAGGGGTGAAAATGAGAAGATCACGTGCAAAAGATGATATATGTGGGCCTTAACGTTGTTGTTATTTCTTCAAATCTCCTGATTGCTTCACACTAATCTATCAGAATGGAGATGATCGAGCCCATTATTCCATATATATTTTCAAAATCACACCTTTTAATTTGTAAAAGTGAAATTTGTCAAAGTGATTGTGCAGATTAAGGTCCGGGTGGATTATCTTTCTGCTCTGATCTTAGTTGTTTTTCATATTTTGATAATCTGAAATGATCTCCAATTGCTATTCAATTTTACATAGCCCTGGAGTCTCCAAAAATTATGATTGTATAATCAAAAAAATGTTGAAAAAAAGCTGAACATTTTGAAAGAGCGTTTTTGAATTATATTGGGAAATAAAGCCAATAGGGAGGAAATTGCAAATTAATAATTTGAATCTAATGGCTGTTAGGTCGTCATTTGTCAGAGTAGTCAATGGCTGTCAGATCGTTAGTTACCATGATAAATTATCCATTCACTATTTCCTCTCTATCGGACTTATTTCTCAATCTTTATTAAAAACGCTCTTTTAAAATGGTCAGTTTTTTCTACTTTTTTTGATTGTACAGTCATAATTTTTAGGGACTCCTGCGTGATGTAAAATCCAATGGAAATTGTGATATATTTTACATTATGAAGATAGAAACACAATCGAGATAACGTTTGAAAGATAATCCACTCGGGCCAAGAATATCTTCGAAAGGCTGAGGTTTTTAGAAATTTACCAACACATATTTTTAGAGAAAATCTAATTCTCCATGGAAAAATTCTCTTGACAAATTCTCTTCCCTCTAAATAATTCTCAGTTTTTTATATTCTCCTCCTCTTCCCCACTTCGCTGCAGAATTATCGAAGAGGATTATTAGATTGAAAGACATAAACAAGAGCCCCTGATTTATTCGTTTATTATCTCAAGTGTATATATATTATAAACGAGGCATAGAAAAGAGAGAACATTTTGTAATTATGCGATAGCACGTAAAAATTGCACTGTCGATGAGTGAAACAAAGTCTATGATACAATTTTATCTCTGAAAAGAAAGAGAACAAGAGTTACTATTGCATTAAATTAAACGTTACTTTTTTCAAGGAAAAAAAAACAAAATAATAGTCATAATTACAAATGAACACGTGTACTTAATCTCCCACTTCCATATTTAATTTCAACTTGATCATTATTTTATTCAATAGTTTTACTTCAACAGAAGCACCGATGATTCAGTCAATTCATCATTTGTCCTCTAAAAATATCTCAGACTAGAGACAAGATTTCGAGTCTGAGATGGTTTTTAGAGACCATTTCTCGAAGTTTATATTTATTCAACAAAAAAGCTCTTCAACAAAATTTCGCCAGCCCTCATGAACGTAGAAACATTCATTACCTATTTTTTACAAATATCTCTGAATTGATGAGAGATCGAAATTTTCATAAAAAACATTGTTGTAGGGGGCAAAAATATCTACAAAAAATGTTTTCACAAAAATTCGTCCATCTCCATTACATCAAAAGATATTCCTAAAAAACCCTTCAATAGAAAAAAATCGACTTCTCATAAATAATCGTATCACTGCGTTCTTCAATTCATTCAATGAAATTCCACTCACTGGCCTAAACGGCAACCCAAAGGATTTAAATCTAAGTCACACAGGCAAGTTCACAATCAGTTAAATAAAATATTTGAGTACGTTTTTATAATTCGAGAAAACAAGAAAACCACTAACAAAAATTAGGACTTCTCATCGACTGCTGGTTTTCTCAGTTTCTTAATTAAATTGTCGATCATGCCGGCTTCAACGAGCCCAATGAACTTATCAACAACTAGACCATTGGACACAGCAATGACAGCAGGCACTGCTTTGACTTCAAACGTGTGTACCAATTCAGGATTTTGTTCCACATCAATAATAGCTAGGTGAAGATCCTCCATGGGACCCACCAATTCCTCCAGCTTTGGTGTTAATATTTTGCATGGATCACACCACTCAGCGTGAAAATTCACTATGACTGGTACACGACTATTCATTACTTTTGAAACAAACTCAGTGTTGTCGGTTATTTCGAATTTTTTGTTGCTTCTGGAGAGAAGTGATATTGCTCTTGCTGACAGGCGCAGTACGTTTCTAACGTTATGTAGCATTTTACGATTTTTATTTGATTATTTAGTTAATTGTTGTTATTTTTTTATTTAGTGGTCGAAGGCCTTGAGCTTGTGGGGCTGTGCAGGAGATTTTATTGAGTTGATTTGGAGCTTGAGGGAAACTTCCTTGAGTTGTTTGGTTTGTTGTAAATTGAGCGATTGGGGGGTGACTAAAATACCCAGTTTGTTATCTTCCTGGGCCTCTTGGATTCCATCAGATCGTACTTGATGTAGGCTATGAGGGCTACCAGGGAGGAGCCGGCTAGGAGGGTCAGGAGGATCACTCGCCAGATGAAGAGGTGATCGTAAGACTGAAAAAGATAATTATTTGATCGTTTAGAGGGTGGATGAGGGATTCCCCTATTTAAAATATTTTCGGGTATTTATTTCACTATTTAACAGTAAAAATATCCCTGAAGCTACTGGATCTAGACAGACATCGGTATAATCATCAATTTCGTATTAAGTTAAATTGTGCATTAGTTAGAGGAGAGTGGGGCAAAATGAAACAGTCGAAAACGACTGTTTGATGCAATTCAAGCAAAAAAAATGTTTTTATTGACGCCCGGGTGGATTAAGTTCCGAACGTTGTCTCGATTGTTTTTCCATCTTCATAATCTAAAATATATCGCAATTTCCATTGGATTTTACGGCACGCAAGAGTCCTTAAAAATTATGATTGTGCAATCAAAAAAAGTAGAAAAAAATGAACAATTTCAAAGCGCGTATTTAATAAAAATTAAGAAATATGTCGGATAGAGAGGAAATAGTGAATGGATAATTTATCGTGGTAACTAAGGATCTGATAGCCATTGACTACTGTGACAAATGACGACCTAACAGCCATTAAATACATTAAATTATTAGTTTGCAATTTCCTCCCTATTGGGTTTATTTTCCAATATTATTTTTTTGATTGTACAATCATAATTTTTGGAGAGTCCAGGGCTATGTAAAACTGAATAGCAATTGGAGATCTTTTTAGATTATCAAAATAAAAAAAAATCAAGTCAATCACGAATTTTCGAAGTATTTTTGATTTTTTTTCAAAAATTCATGTTTTCAAAAAGGGGCCGATTGAGTTCATGAGTGGAACTTTATATTCTTTCGATTCTCTAATAGGTACTACACTTTGATTGGTCAGATTGGGACAATGCCACGTGTGATAGGTGTTTCTATTAAATACATTTTTTCCGTACATGTTACTCTGCCTCACAAAAGATCTCCCCAAAAATATCATTATCTTCCTCATATTTCTCCCGAAAATACATATCGATATGAGATTGACTCATCTCATCTCATCCTTCCACACCCGGCAAGATGACATAATAACGGGGATGCCAAATTACGTCACGTTTCAAAATCTATCAGGCCAGAAAAAAATAACAATCATGTGGCGACCATTGTTCACGTGTCACAATTTCAGTCATACTTTCCCCTACTATTTCAACCTTTGACCTTTTCTGAAATGTTAAGGCCTTATTAAATTATTGACGAAATGGAATAATTTTTTCTTCTTCAATGAAGAGTGAAATCCTTCCTCTTTGTGATGAGCCTAGACTAGGCTCAGTCAATAAATTTGATTCTGAGTCATGAATCTTTTTGAAAAATGAAAAAATGTCCATTTCACCCCAATCGCCCTTAAACTGACAGTCGTCAATTTTTCGATCATAAAATTTTATCACATTTGGTAATGATTCGTATTTTCAATGACTCGACTTAATTTCGATTTGAATACATTGATTGTATGTGTTTAATAATCCCCTCAACGCCTCGCAATCGTGAAATCATGATGCGCAAAAAAAATCATCAGTCAAAATCATCATTCATAAATCATTTTTCGATCAAAAAGTTTTATTACATTTCTGTTTTCAATAAATATCTCAGAATTTAATGCAGATAGCAAAATTTTTGTTATAAACTTTTTTGTACAGCGAATTGAGAGCCATGAAAAAGGTGATGACAAAAATTTCGCTATCTCTCTTAGATCCGGAGATATTCTTCAAAAATTCAGCTTCAAACTACAAGTTATGTTACCACCACGGTCAGATAGAAAACTGGTCATAATTCTCTAAAAAACTCCCACATCCTCAGCCATTAACGGTTATAATAGCAATTTTAATTAGAAATGAACAAAGAAAAGAGTTGAGAAAAAACCATTCTTTCACTAATGGCCAACCTTTCGAACACAGCAAGTGTTTTTCATCAGGGCATTCATTTACTCTGAATATAAAAACAAAAAAAATTTCATGAAAATTATTAACAACAGGGATAGGCCATAATATTAGATTCTGACAATATTAAAAAGGGATTTTCTCCTTATACTGTTCAAAGTTTAACTATATTTAACAAATTTAAAATTTATAGAATTTATTAACTAAATTTTTCGACTGATGGTGAATAAAATATTTGACAATACTGAAATGTAATTTTTTAGTTAACAACCTAATTCTAACTTTAGGTACGTGATTTTCGATTATCCAAATAAAAATCAAACCGATTTCGATTATCTAAATAATCGTCAATCTTCCCACCTAAGTTAGAAGGAAAATATAATGCTGAATTTCAATCGAATGAAAATAGAGAAGTGTAATCGGCCTAATCCAATCAATTGAATTACACGGCGAATAAAAAATTACTATTGTCCTCAGTACTCCCAATAATAAAAAAATTAATAAACAAAAGTTGCAAAAAAAATTTTTTTGTTTAGAAAATTTTTTCTTTTTTCTGTTCATTGTTAGCGTCAACAATGTTAAGGCTAATTCATGGGAATTAGTCATAAGTTTATTGGGAATTTATTTTGCCCACTCTCCCCTATGAAAGGAAAATGAAATAAATGTTTGCCATTATAGAATGCAAACCCCAACATTTTTTTGCATTCCTGTACAGCAATAAAAACCCCAGAATTACCTTGTCGTGGTGAGGCGTCGGATACTCCGAGCTTTTTGGCACACTGACCAAAATTATAGTGATGACTGCTGCAATGGCAACAGCGATGCCACCGATTCTCTTGTCAGTTCTGAGAGCAACGGCGAATATCAATCCCGCTGATAGCCAGAGGGTTACAATAATGAATAATCCAAGGCCAATGCCCAATATGAGAGTTGTCATCACCTTTGGAATAATCAAACAAAAGTTGTTTGTCAGTGAAAAATTCGGAATGAGATAATAAAATTACTGGTGGGAATTGCCAGCCAATGAGAGAATGTTTCAGTCATTTTCTCCTTTTTGCAACTAAAAATAGATGGTCAACATTTCGGAGCAGCCTGATCCTAACCTATGACAATGCAATGTTATTACCTTGTGATTGGAAGTAATGGCCCTCAGGAACTCAGTTTAGTTCGTGAGGACACTGTTGGCTTTGTTGTATCACTTGACGAAATGAGGCTCTCGTCACGGGTTAGTTGTGTACATTGATTGATTTTAGAGTGACGGTGTCATCGAGTTCATTATGTTTGTGTCGGTGAACAAGTTCTCACTGAGGAATTGCTCTTGCTGGTTGGATTCTTGCCGTTGGCGAGGGGCGTCATGGTCGCTTCGCCAACTGCTTTTTTCCCATTGGTTGTTTTGTTTGAATGTTTGAAGTTTATTATGTAATAAACTCAATTTTCGGGGTTTTTAAGGGATTGCTTGAATTTTTCCCAGGTGGATTGAAGAATTAGGTGAATTGGGACATTTTAGGGAGATTTTTTCGCGAATAACTTGGATTTTTATGACTTTAGAGGAAAATCATGCATGAAAAAATTTAATAGAAAACATCGCGAATTCGCTAGAAAATTCTGTTGGAATTCTATGGGAATTGTATGGGGTTTCTATAGAATTTCGATTGGAATTCTATTGAAATATTCTGTTTTTTGCGCTGATTCTATTGGATATTCGATAAGAAAAAGTCGACAGATCTCAAATTTCTGTTTGAATTTTTCTCTTGAGATTTTTTCTATAAGAATACTTGGGCATTAATTTTTTAAGTTTTCTCCACTCAGATTCTGCAATGCAAAAAAAAACAAAATCCAACAGAAAAAACTTAGAAAATTTGTGCCCAATAATTGTAATAGAAAAAATCTAAAAAAACTCGAGAAAAATTCAAACAGAAATTCGAAATCTATTAACTGTTTCTTATTGAATATCCAATAGACTCGGCGCAAAAAACATTTTTCAATAGAATTCCAATAGAAATTCTATAGAAACCCCATAGAATTCCAATGCAATTTTCTAGCCAATTCGCCAGGTTTTCTATTGCATTTTTTCATGCGTGATGTCAGAAAATTTTTTTGTGGGAAATTTAATTCTCTATAAGAAAGGTTTTTTCACTTTTTTGCCGAAACCTACTGTGTTTCGAGATATTTGTGGAAATAATTTAAACCCGTTTATTTGAAGACACAACTTTGTAGTTTAAAAATTTTTTTTTCTTTGCAGATTATTTTCACAAATATGGAGGGAACTGGTAGATTTTGAAGGAATGTCGAAAGATATTTTTTGTGGGAAGTAGATGTCTTTCTTAAAAAAACTCTACGGCATTTTTTCCCAGTCAGTAGTTATGGGTTCTGAGTAGGATTATCTTTCCCATTGGTTGTCTTGCTGGCAAAATGTAAAAAATCGATTTTATCATAATTTGGTGTTCATGTTTAATTGAATTTGAGTTCAATTACTAATTAAAAATTTGGAAAAATGAGAAGAATTCAAGCAAATATATTCTTGAATTTTTAATTGATTGTAAATTCTATTCATTTTGCTACTGACCTTTATTACTAGACTTTCCATATAATTCCAATTGTGTTCAACACTGTCGTGATCGACACTACTTGCCAAACTAATTAATATGTCTACTTTAGAAAAAATACTGCACTAATTCACTCGGACTTTTCTATGAAATAAGATAGCCATTAATACAGTTTTGATCTCTTTTTATTTGAAATAAAACTGAATATCTCTTCCAAAAAACTAAAATGTACATTTTTAAAACATCGTTCCACTTCCATTTCATCGGTAAATTTTGTATGTAAATAACCCAAACATGTCAATCAAAATCTCTTAAAAATCCGCGAAAACTTACATCAATTATTAATTACACCCGCGTTAACACTTGCAACGCATACGCTTGTTAAAATAAAATACGTCATCATTTTATTACTGTAAATATGATGAACATAAAGAGAAAAATAAAGCTCCTGTCCTTAATCAGCTAAAATCAATTGTCTTCAAAATCCCCTGTTGAGTGCCTTAGTGTTTCCCTATAATGAATATTTCCTCGCCGTGTAGCCAAGGGGGCGTAAAAGGTGTGATAAGCCCTGCTGTTACGCCCCTTTGGCCCTACGACGACGATATCTTGTCAATTTTTCTCTCAATCCATTCTTTTTCACATATCCACAAGATAATCTATGAATTCATGCATCTGATCTTTTTCGTAAATGCTACAAAAAAACTTCTTCCCATATTTCCTTACGAATGGCTTCCAAATACCCAAATATTAAAAAAAACTAAAAACGTAATCTTCTCACGATTTGTCCCCTCGATCCTCATCAAAACTCTTCTCAAACTGCACCATATCGCGTGCTAAATGGAAAAGGTCGTATTGACCCTTTAGGGATTTTCATTAACCATTAGAACCTCAAACATGAATCTCGAAGATGTCGATCAAATAATTCGAAACTTATCTACTCCCTTTTATACAATTATGCAAACCATTAAGAAAATACTGCAGAAACTAGTAGATTGATCAAGAAACATGGCAAAAACACTTTCAGAGCTTGCAATCTCCTACAAAAAATATTCCTCTCCTTTTTCCTTTCAATCTATCAATTTTCAAGATGTTCACAAGATCGTGCATCAAGTAAAAAAAATTTCATTCGATATTTTCTTGCAAATACCCTCTAAATACTCTAAAAAAATAAAAACATCAATCCTCTCATGATTTGTTCCCTCGATCCTGATCAGAACTCTTCTTAAACTGTATTTGCTCTTCATAAACCCAGCGATCTCCACAAAAGAATCATTAAACTGACTGATCAGTCAGTGAAACAAGAGTTTTCAATGGCTTATTTTTCTTTATAAAAAAAAAATTATCTATTCCCTTCTATATAATTATGCAAACCATTATATCTTAGTATCTCTCGTCATTTTTCTTTCAATCTACTAGTTTCCAAGATATTCACGAGATCATCGAATTCAAAAAAACGTCATTCGATATTTATTATTATACTGTTGATCAGTCAGTATAACAAGTGCCTCCAGTGGCTTATTTTTCTTCACCAAAAGAACCTCACCCATGAGTCTCGGATATATCGATAAAATAATTCAAAACTCATCTATTCTCTTTTATACAATTATGCGAACCATTGAGAAAATATCCTAGAAACTAGTAGATTGATCAACAAACACGACAAGAGCACTTTCAGCACTTTCAATCTCCTACAAAAAATATTTCTCCTCATTTGTCATTCAATCCACTAGTTCCCAAGATACCCACAGGATCATCTGTGAATTGAGAAGACCCTCTTTCGATATTTTCATACAATTTCTTAAAAAAACTAAAACCATGAATCCTCTCACGATTTCTCGCCTCGATCCTGAGCAAACGTCTTCTTAAACTGCACCATATGCATGAGCTCCTTCTCCACCCAGGTGCACACCTTGCCCCTCATGAACCCGGCGATCTCCCCAAAAGATTTATTATTAAACTGTTGATCAGTCAGAACTACAAGAGCCTCCAGTGGTTTACTCTTCTTCACCAAAAGACACTCAAACTTGATGGGCACCTCCTTCACCTTGCCCACCACATCCTTCATAATCTGCTCCGAGATTAATGCCTCCTTCTCGATGGGACTGACACTAGGATCCAGAGTCTGTCTCTTGCCCTTCCTCGCCCTGTTCAAGAAATACTTCCCCGAGCAACTCAGCATGATCCTTGATCCTTCATCATGATCCCTGTCCTTACTGTGCACATCATCCTCCTCCACGACCTTCATCTGCTTGACCCCAACCTTATCATAAACGATCTGCACCTCAAACATGAATATCCTCTTCAGAATCGCCTCCAGCAGCCTGTAAACCGTGCAGAACCAGTTTTTCTCAATGAACATCTGCTTGTCCCCAACATCGCTCATCTCCTCAAAGTCCTCAGGCAGTCCAAACCTCTCGAACTTGCCGGCAGGAATGACAAAGCTGACGGGCTTAGCCTTCTTAGTCTTCACCTTGAGCGCAGGATCAAACAACTTGGGGAGAATCCTCAGAGGGCTCTCCCCGAGAGACTGGCAGATCTCCACAGCCTGCAGACAGGAGAACCTCAAGCCCTGAAGCTCCTTACTCCCCCACCCCGAGATGATATTGTGATCCAGCTGAATAGGATCCTGGAGGCAAGCACACCTGGTCAACCTGAGACTCTCGACACTCCCCCCTCTCTCCTCAATCTCCCTCTTGAACTCCTCCCTGAGAAAGCTTTTGCCCTCCAGGGGACAAATGATCGTCGTCGAGAAATCAAAGTCTGAGTAGAACTTGAAGAACCCCTCCAACAGCTCGAGAATCGAACTGGAGTTGTTCTTCGAAGTCGATGGATAATTCGTAGTGAAGTTGACCTGCCAGCCTCTGATGTAGACCCTCTCGTGCACCTTCTGCAGCTCCCTGATGGCAGGCAGCAGATTGACACTGGGCTGCTGCAGGTAGAAGACAATCAGCATGACTAGGGAGTAGTTGTTGATCTTCCCACTGCCTGAGATGTCCAGCTTCTTCGCCCAGTATTTGAGGACCAGCACCAAGGGCTTGATCCTGGAGTCCAGGGTCAGCAAGTACTTTATCAACTGGCTGTTGTGGACGCCCAGTCCGTGCTTGAAGGAGATGTCGCAGTCCATCTTGCTGAGAGTGTGATGGAACTTGATGACTGGGATCTTGGCCATCGGTATGGGGACGATTTTCGTGAAGGTCCCTGCGTTCCTGAAGAGCAGGGTCTTCACCTCTTTGAAGATGGTTTTGGGCGTCCAGCCAAGTCGCTGGACAGGTGGCGACTCCTCGTCTTCAACGATCTGCTCGCCGATGTCGAGGAACACGTCGAGGTCACTTCCCACGAGGCTCAGACCAGTCACGGAGGAGCCGAAGGGGATCGCTCGGCACCTGGGGAAGGATTGCTTCATGGTTCTGTCGAGGGAAGAGCAGACCATTGCCCCCAGCTTCTGCACCTCACCGTCGTCACGCTGGACAGTCGACAGGAACTTAGTGAGTTGGTCTTCCAACGCCTCCTCGGACCCTAGGGTTGTCCTCAGGGCTTCGGCTTCTTCGATCTCCTGGTTAGTCTCTGGGATGCTATTCTGCTTTTTTGGTGATCTCTTCTCTGGCCTCCTGTCCCCGGGGTTCTCGATCCTCCTTCGTCTGATCTTCAACTTCCACTGGTTCAGGTAGATCGGGTTGCTCAGGAGGTACTCCACTGGGGACTTGTCCTTGTACTCGACGATCAGGTATCTGGGGTTGAAGGTGTAGTGTTGGATTGGACCGAACTTCGAGAAGAAGGTGACGACCAGCTGGGGGGTGGCGAATGGCGGCATTGGCGAGACGAAGACCGAGTTCTGCTCGCGCTGGAGGTTCAACTTCATGAGCTCCAGCTTCTTCGTGTGCTTTTTGCCGAGGAGGTGACCGTGGAAGGAGTACTCGTCGATGAAGTCGATTGCACAGATCTCACAGCGCTTCGACATTTTGGAGAGGTATTGGGAGATTTGCTTCGGTGGGTAATTTGGTGATGGTTGAGTGGGGATTTTTAGATGTCACAGGTTTTGAAGAATTTCTGGGGTCTATCACTCTGTGGTGGTCTTGGCTGAGGAGGACTCCATTGTAGACTCGAAGAATGAAATTTATTTTTTAATTGATTTGGGGGAATTCTTCTTTAAATGAGATAGTCCTTAAGTTTTTAGGATATTCCCTTTGGCCTCGATTTCTGTCAAGGTGAATTGGGTTTTGTCAGGTCGTGGAGACGACTCGTTAATGTCGATAATAAGTTTGATTAATTAATTAGTTGAGATATCATTCAACTTTTGAAAAATATCTACTAGACTGAGAGTGATTCTATTCCCAGACTCAAAAAACTTAATTTCTATTTTAATTGATTTGGGAGAATTTGTGAGGATGAAGATTTGGTGGTTCCTCTCAAGCCACAGGTGAAGTTCAAGTCTTTGGAGAAGTGTATATGGTTCCTCTTTACACCAGATATCACAATGTCTTTTCGTTTTTATGGTATTTATGGTAAATTAATTGGCTTTTCTCAGTTCGTCGAGACGACTTGTCAATATCGATAATAACTTTAATGAATTAATTAGTTATTACTCGATAATAATCTTTTATCTCTCCACACAACTTTTGAAAAATACCTGGGTTTTATCACTCCGTGTTTATCTCGTGGACTGAAGATGATTTCATTCTCAGACTCAAAGAATTCAATTTCTTTTTTAACTGATTTGGAGTAATTAGTGAGGATGAAGTCCTTGGAGATGTGTATGGTTCCTCTTTATATTAGATAGTCCTTTCGTTTTTATGATATTTCCTTTATCCTCGATTTCTGTCAGAATTAATTGGCTTTTCTCAGATCGTCGAGACGACTTGTCAATATCGATAATAACTTTAATGAATTAATTAGTTGAGTTATTACTCGATAATAATCTTTTATCTCTCCACACAACTTTTGAAAAATATCTGAATTCTATCACTCCATGTTCATCTCGGGGGCTGAAGATGAATCCAATCTCAGACTTGAAAAATTAAATTTATCTTTTAATTGATTTGGAGTAATTAGTGAGGATGAAGTCCTTGGAGATGTGTATGGTTCCCCTTTACATGAGATAGTCCGTTCGTTTTTATGGTATTCCCTTTATCCTCGATTTCTATCAAAATTAATTGGCTTTTCTCAGTTCGTCGAGACGACTTGTCAATATCGATAATAACTTTAATGAGTTAATTAGTTGAGTTATTACTCGATAATAATTTGTTATCTCTCGTCACAACTTTTGAAAAATATCTGGGTTCTATCACTCCATATTCATCTCCTGGACTCAGAATGACTCCATTCTCAGACTCGAAGAATTCAATTCCGTTTTCAATTGATTGAGAGTAATTTATGAAGATGAACACTTCGGCGGTTCTTCTCAAGCCACAGGTGAAGTTCAAGTCTTTAGAGAAGTGTATGTGGTTCCTCTTCATACGAGATAATCCTTGCGTTTTTATAATGTTCCAGTTCCTAAGGTAGGTACCGTGGATTATTTGGAAATTGGGATTGATCAAGGGCTTCAGGGAGAGTCGGTTGACACTCGGTAATGAGTGACCTTGGTTCGCCTTTATCTGGAGACCTCTGTCCTCGTCTTCTACCAGGGTAAATCGATTTTTAGAGTTCGTGGAGACGACTCGCCTGATATCGGCGGTTGTGCAATCGGGCAGTTTCTGCAGGACTTCAACTAGGGAAACGAAACCATCCGGATTTATGTCGAGACCTTCGCGTATAGCTCCATGACGAAGTAAATAGGAGAGCCTTTTACTGATTTTTACATCGTCTAGATGGTTTATCTGGAAATTAGACAAGAGATTGATGAATTTGTTCAATAATTTATTCCTCATGCAAGTGAATTCAGGATAAATTGCATACTTTAACACCGACACACTATTTTCTTGGTGAAATCTGTTACTCACCAGGAAATCCCTTCATTTTTTGACCCATTTGAATTCAGACGTCTATAGAAATTCTTATTCTCGCATTTTAACTGCACGATGTGTATATTGAATTTAATGAAACTGAAATATATAAGTCTAAATGTTGAATTCTTTATGGGCAATTCAAGAAAAAGAAAATCCACAAATCCACTTTTATGGATTCTGTAGTTATCTTGAATTGCATCTACTTGAATTAGACACAATGCATAATTGGAATGGTACATTTTGTAGAATTACATTAAATATATACATAGTGTGATCAAGTTGCATGAATCACAATTTCTGTAGACAAGATTACACTGTAAAACATTATATATGGCAGAAAATGAAGGGACATTTGATATTCTGCAGTGACTGTTGCACAGAAATTGTAATTGTCACATTCTAATTGCACGATATACGTACTGAATTCAACTAAATTTAAATATATCAACCTGAATATTCCATTTCTTGTGTGTAATTTGATAGATACAATTTGAGCATATGAAATTCAAGGAATACAAAATCACAAATCATCAGTTTTATGGATTCTGTGTTTTTCTTGAACTGCACACAATAAATTAGACGTTTCCAAGTTTAAATTGTTCAATGTCAAATTGAGATCTGGAATTGAGTCGGTATATCGTCGTACATCGTATAATTAGAACGTGGGTTTACAATTTCTGCTGACAAGGTCTCAATGCAAAAGACTGTGTCAAAAAATGAAGTAACCCCATTGTACGTAAAACATCGTTGTGCCAAGAAAACGCAGTGTTAGTGTTAGATAATGCCAATAAATTATATACAACAAAAAATGAAGCAAATGAGAGTCTATTATTGTAGTTTCTCCATTTTTAGGACGAGGTTTGAGCATTGACATAGTGCTTGGTTATTCGATAAACTAATAATACTAAGGCACAGTCCATAAATTAGAATTATTACGATTAAGTGGAATTTTTTGAATAAAATAATAACCTTTGAATTCATAAGCACGCCAGTTATTTATGTAGAATAAATAATTCGATATCACGTTGCGCGAATGTTACATTAATAACACCTCCGAAGTTGGCTGAATTCGAACTGAACGGGAACAGCTGTTCTAAGAGCCAAACAATGCACCGCGTCTTTTGTTTTGTTTTTAGAATTCACATCTTGGGACTGTTTATCATCCCAAAATCTGTTCCTCATCCCCTCAATTATTTAATGAACTACTCTATTTTCAGAAATAAAATCAATTTTTATTTTGTTATGATTAAGAATGATAAATAATTTACGTTTTACCTTTTATTCAAAAATAATTGTTGCTGTCTCCGGTTTTATATCGAATAGAATGAGAATCGATTCCTCGCGTACTGGTCAGACCACGTGATGAAAACAATGGCGACATGAAAAGTCGATTAAGGCTCGAAAAATAGTGATAAAATAATAAAAACAAAATGTCATGGAAATCGAGGCTCTTCCTGCTCGGTGCGAGTGGGTTCTCGGGGGGAATTGTGTATTACGTCCACTGCATGCAGTCGATAGAACGGTGAATATACTCAGTTGTTGAAGTTTTGAGGTTACTCGGCTCCAATTTTCGATATTATGGTTGTAGTGAGCAACTTCGTACGGGAGTTATGCGAGAGGTTGAACGCCGAGCGACGAATGCCAGCAGAAAAACGGAGAATGTGAACCTCCTGAATCAGCAAAGGGAGCTGGAGAACTACCTCAGGAAGGAGCAGGAGGTGGAACGTGGTGGTCAGGGGTAGACGATCCGTTGTTTATGGTGTAAATAAGTTATTTAATGTACTTGATTTGATGCTACTGGGTTGAGGCAGTTTTTCTAGCTGAGGTTTTATATTAAAAAAACGTACAGTTATGAAGGGCTGAGAGTGGTTGATTTTATTAACTTCCGGCATGATATTACACGCACGAAAAAATTTAATAGAAAAACCTATCGAATTCGTTAGAAAATTCTATTGAATTTCTATTAAACTTTCTATTAGTTTTTGGCTGATTCTATTGATATGTTCAATAGAAAACATTCAATAGAAAAAGTCAACAGACTTCGATTTTTCTATATAACTTATTCTTTTCATATATTTTCCACAGAATTAGCTCGGCTCAAATTTTCTAAGTTTTTTTCATTCTATTTTTCTTTTCTTCTCATCAAGAAAATCAAGCGAAAAAACGTAGAAAATTTAAGCCGAAGAAATTTTATACAAAATATCTCAATAGAATAAGTTATATAGAAAAATTGAATTCTATTGACTTTTTCTACTGAATCTTTTCTATTGAATACTTCAATCGAATCGGCCAAAAACTAATAGAACCGTTCAATAGAAATTCAATAGAATTTTTTAACGAATTCGATAGGTTTTTCTATTAAATTTTTTCGTCCGTGTACGATTCCTTCGGCACCACGATTTAAGTTATGCTTTCCGGACATCAGAAATAGTGAAAAAATCCATCTTCATTATTTCTCCTGAATTATCGAGATTCTTCACAGAAGACCTGAGATCTTTTCGCCAATCACAGATAATTTTATTTGACCGATGTATGCTTTTCAACTTCGTTCGGTAAAGCAGTTAATGTGCATCGATCCCTCTATTGCTCATTGATTATCAACGTCAGGCGGTCCTCGTTTGTTAACTATTTCAACCCTCTAAGGTAAATTTCAATAACCACACTATAGCTGTTAAAACGGAATGCCGGTGTTCCCACTAACGCGTCTTACTACGCTTTTCCCCTTAGAGTCTATAAATTTAACATTCATAAAAAAACGTTTTCTATGGTCAGGGAATTTCATCAATTTGACCAGAAAAAGTCAGGGAATTTTGTTGAAACTTTCAGGTGGACACACAGGAGAGGTATTTCATGTCATATTCAGGGTTTCAAAAAGAAATTTTTTCTTGTCAATCATCATTTATATGATTAGAGGTATTCCATGTCATATTCAAGATTATAAGGGAATTGCTCATTGGTTCGCAATACATTACAAATTGCAAATGAAATTGAATGAATACGAGTCACAAGTACAATCATTTACTAAAGTTCTGAACTTTAGTAAACGATTGTACAAAGTGATTAATTATTGTTTTTCTTTACTTGACGGGACATGCCGATTTTTCAATGCACGGCCCGCGTATGCGCCTTCTTATGTACCCTTGTTTACAGAAACAGCCTCTTATGTGTCCCTGCAACATGATAAGTATATTCGCTGCTTAGTATTCAATCGCTCTTATAAATCAGAGAAAATTAAAAGTTGGTAGTATTTTCTCATACAAAAACATAAAGTGGCTTAGGGTCGGCACATGTCGGAAACCTGATTATTTTGCGAGTCTCATAAATCGCATTCTTCGAACATTTCACGGCACCTGTAAAAAAATAAAAGATAATAAAAGAAATAAAAGATAAAGACTAACACTCCATGTACGAATTCTGAGAAGTGTTCAGGACTTGACTATAATGACTTCACGATAAAGTGAACATTTTTTTTTTTTTTTTTTTTTTT